ATCTGTCAAAATCCTTTGACCCAGAATTCAACTGTGCGGATCATTATTTCATGGAGTTATACTCCACTCTTCTCATTTAGAAAAAACAGGCACATGCATAAAACGGACTTTGAGGCAGACCCTGGTCCTGCTTTTCTCTTTCTACGGCCTGAACTGGGTGGCTCTCCAACGCTGGTGTGCACCCAGTCAACTCCGGGGCCGGTTATAGCCCAAGTTGCTGGGTCCTGCTCCCAGAGTTTGGGGATTTGATGGGTTTGGGGAAGACCCCAGAATCTCCCTTGCTGACAAGGTCTCTCAGTGCTGCTGCGTGGAAAGCCCCATCATTAGCCTGCTGTGGGCCTGGGGGGCGGGGGCGTGCAGGAGGAGCGCCTGCAGCAGTGAGTTCCTTTGAAGCAAAGGAGAGGCAGGTGTCCTAGAGAAAAGGAGAGAGAGAGGGAGAGAGAGAGGAGAGAGAGGAGAGGAAAGAGAGGAGAGGAGAGAGAGTGGGTGGAAGAGAGAGAAGAGAAGGGAGAGAGAGAGAGAGAAGAGAGAGAGAGAGAGAGAGAAGGCAGGTGGTCTCATGATTGTCTCATGACGCACAAACATTTGAGCCTCTTAAAGAAATAGCACCATGATTCCTCTTCCCCTGAAGGAGGGACTTTACCTCTGTTCAGGTCTCCCAAAGAAGAATTGAAAGAGCTATGCTTGGAATATCACGTTTCACTCAAATGAGAGAAAAAATCCGGAGTTCCGACATCCGTCGACGATCAAGAATCAGGGACGCTGTCTCATTTGCCAAGGTGTCAAAAATCAGATGGGCTGGTCACGTAATGAGACTTAAAGATGACCGCTGGACTAGTGCTGTTACCAACTGGATTCCACGGGATGTCAAAAGACTGCATGGCCGCTCACCTACCAAATGGTCAGACTTCTTCATCAAGATCATGAACGATCAGTTTGAGGCTCTTCATGTTCCTAGAGCGAACAGACGCCATTGGGCTACACTAGCACACGACAGGGACAAATGGAGACGTTACTGGCGCCCACTCGAGCAACTCGATGACTAACAGGAAGTTAAGTGATTAAGTGATTAAGTGATTGTTATGACAATGTTCAACCATACCTATGTGTACCCCCACCCTTCCTGATTCCATATAACTCCTCTGCACAAGAAAAAGGGGGAAGAAAGGAGAAATAGCTACGCTGTAAGAGAGAAGGAGGAGAGGAAAGAAAAATAAATGGTGACTGACTACCAAACAGCCTGTGACCCCTGTTAATCCATTTCCCCTTCCCCCACCCAATTCCTCTATCCTCCGTTAGTCTGTCACTGTTGGTCGGCCAGGGGAGGTGACTCTTGGCCACCGAACGCAGGCGATGTGTGTGCCCATGCTTTTTAAACCCACACCTATTCAACTCCTGCCCAGATTAACACACTGCGCATCTCCAGGATCGCAGACCGATCCCTTTTAGTCCAAACTTAGTCCAAAGTAATCTGTCCATTCAGTTTCCATTCTACCTGGTTGTAAACGAATCAACTGAAATCATAAGCATTCCACCTTATTGCTTGACTTCTTTTATTTAGTATGGTTTTCAAGATTCAGGTCTGCTATTCTAGGAAGCAATTATCCCCCTTTTTCGTTGCCATGTAATATTTTATTGTAGGGCAAAGCATTTATTTCTACTCACCAATTGGCAAATCTGCGTTGTTCCCTGTTTTAGAAGACCATGGATAAAGCTACTGTAGCAATTTTATTCTTGTCTTTTCCCGAACACAACTCCTGGTTTCTCTTGGGTAGAAGCTGAGGAGTAAAATTATAAGATCATAGCGCTTACCTATGTCTGGTCTTTTGTAGTTTCTGCCAAGTTACTTTCCAAGTTCTATAAATTTGCTCTCTCACCAGCGATGTATGAGCTTTGGCTAATTCTCAAGTTTGTTACTTTTGGCAGTCCTTTTAATTCTAGTCTTTCTGATGGGAATGGATTATTGATTTGTTTGTTTTGGGGCCATACCCAGCTGTACTCAGGGCTGACTTATGGCTCTGCACTCAGGGATCACTTCTCTGCATTCAGAGGACGATATGGGATGCCAGGGACCAAACCATGTCTGCTGCAGGCAAAGCAAGTGCCTTACCACTGTACTAACTCTCCAGTCCCAGATCATTGATTTTTAATTGAAAAATATTTTTAAACTCACATTTAACAAATATTTGCCTTAAATGGGTGGTCCATGATTGCTGGGATTTTGAACTCATCAGACTCTTATAAGTATTCAAATTCTCTGAGGGGTGAGGGGGTGTTCCTGCCTATGCATGGGCCTTAGTCCCCCCAGATGGCTGCTGCTCTGTACCCCACCCACCTTGCCTTGGAACACGCCCTTTATTTCCCCAGGAACAGGAAGAGCTCAGCTAGGATCCCACAGGGAGATGTTTCCCATCACCGACAACATCTGGGGAACATCTGGTGAGCCCATCCCAGGACAGAGAGAAGGCTTACTGGAGAAAACATTTGACTCTCTTTTCAATTCTCCTCTATTTTCCCTTATTCTTCCATCTTCCTGCTCTCCTCCCAACCCATCACCCATTAAGCTCTCTGTTCCCAGCAGCTTATGTTTCGGGTCTTGCTGACTCCCTGACCTGGTCTCAGAGCTTTCCCAATAGTGCCCAGCCAGTACACAAACTGAGGTCTCTTGGGAGACCCCCCATCCTGAGCGGCAGAACTGCAGCACATTCTTGCAAACTGACACAAGCATGGTAAAACTGATAAACTTCTCTGGTCTGGCCTATCTTTTGCAAACTAGAAGCTTGAGTTTGAGAGACTCCACTGGAGAAGACAAGGATAGAGAACATGAACTTCACTGAAAATCATAGGGACCCCCTTTTTCCTGAGGACCTGGCCAGGGCATTAGAGGCACTCAGGAAGAAGGGGGGAATGAAAGGATTTCCCACAGTCCAGCTGGCAGTCTGGACCCAGCAGCTAGAGGAAGAGTGGGGGGGAGGGATCTCTGAGGAGGTGGGGGTGGGGCACCACCTCTAACCACAGTTCTGCTGCCTTTAATCTCCCTCCTGAGCTCATCCACACCAGGGCCTCCACGTCCCTGCTGTAGTACTGACCCTTCCATTTTCAGCTCCCCCGTCTCTTCAACTTGTTCTTACATATTCCAGGTATGCTATTCCACAGGTTCTTATCCAGCATACACAGTCACCAAACACACACACACACACACACACACACACGCGTGCCCACACAGAGCACCCAGTGCAGCAGTGCAGACAGAGGTGCAGGGAAGGGAGCTGGGGTGGGTGAGAGCTTGGTCAGACACAGAGGGGAAGACAGAGGCCCCCAGCTCTGAAGGTCCCCTGAGTTGAGACTCCATCCTGAGGGACCACAGCTGACCTTCCTCCTACACACCCAGCTGTCTCTGAGGCTTCCTGGAAGGAGCAGCTGGAGCTCCCCCCAACCTTCTCATCTGGCCTGAGCCCCTCTACACACACCTGGGGCCCAAGGGGGCCCTTTTCACCAGCTTCTCCAGCCCAAGGCCATCCAAGGCAAGGATCTCCCAGGCCACACGTGGAAGATGGAAGGGCCAAGAAACTTGTGTGGGTCCAGTCAGTCCTATGGCCTCCAACTAGGACCTGCAGGGAAGGACCCAGAAGATAGCCAGAGCTGGGGGGAGGGTCAACGGTCTGCTGGAGGCAGTGCAAGCCAGTCCCTACAGGCCCTAGGACTGGGCTACAGGAGGGGCAGAAAGGCATTTCAGGCCAGGAGCTGCAAGGCCCAGATGGGGGGTTGGGGAGACTTCGGAGAGGAGGAAGGTGGATTACTGCAGAGCACAGTGACACCACTGAGGCGCTGACCCCAAGTCTCATAAGGTCTGGTGGGCACGGAGACAGTGGGCCATTCCTGAGCACTTTTACATTGCCTATCGACTCTTTTTATTTTTTGGTTTTGGGGTCACACCCAGCAGTGCTCAGATCACTCCTGGCAGGCTCGGGGAATCCAATCGGGGTGGTCTGGCGTGCAAGGCAAGCTCCTTTGTCCGCTGAACTATTATTTACATTCCCAATATTTCAAACGTAATGCTCTTAATTTTATACTTAAGGGAGGGGTGTATGGGAAGCAGGCTGGGGCAAGCTGAGGTCTCAGACCCGTGGTTGGGGGCTTCTGCCGTCTCTGGTCCATGGGCAAGAGGTGCTGGCGGGGGGACCAGTACCTCCTTTGCCCTCACCCAATGTCACTACCCCCATCCCAGGCTCGCCTCAGTCTTCCATAGATTTTGCGATGGGGAGGGGAGGGTTCAGGGAGGCGCGAGATAGGGAGGGGGCCAGGGCGGGCAGGTTTGGATCCGATTACGGGAGAGCGTGGCGGGTGGAGCTGTGGGGGGCGAGCGAGGCGTGTCCCCCGCTCGATTCCGCCACTTTCTCGGCCGCCCGCTGGCCTTCGGGGGGATGCTGCGCGCCGCTCCGAGCCTCAGTCTGCCTATCCGTGAGCCGGGGCGACCGGGCGTCGGTGGGGGAGTGTCCGCGGGCTGCGACTTTGGGACCCCGCGCCCGGAGCGCGAGAGGGCGCCGGGCAGCCGGGTGCGGAGGGCGGAGTGTGACCGCGGGGGTCAGAGTCCAGCGGGAGGCGCCGGTGCCGTCGCCGTCGCCGCCGCCGCGCCAGCTCCCGGCAGCCGCGGGGAAGCGCGCCAGGACCGGGGGCGTGGCCTGAGAGGGGCGTGGCCTGCTAGCGTCCCGACCGACGTCAGCGCCGCGAGTCCCGGAGTTTTCCACTGCCGGGGGCGGGGCGGAGCCACGGGAGGGGCGGGGCCTCCGTGCCGGGGGCGTGACCGGAGAGGGGGTGTGGTCGGAGAGGGGCCCGACCGACGTCAGCGCTGCGAGTCCGGAGTTTTCCGCTCCCGGGGGCGGGGCGGGGCGGAGGGGCGGGGCCTCCGCGCCGGGGGCGGGGCCGGCGAAGGCCCGGCCGACGTCGGCGCCGCGAGTCCCGGAGTTTTCCACTGCCGGGGGGCGGGGCGGTGGGCGGGGCCTCGCGCAGCCAGTCTCCCGCCGCCGCCGCTGCCGGACGCGCAGAGCGTGGGGTGGCAGGGCCCGCGGCGGCCGGCCGAGCGAGCGCAGGGTCGCGGTGCGGGGGGCCCGTGCCCCGCCACGACGCGGCTCGTGTTTGCTGCCCTTGCAGAGCGCCCGGATCGCAGGTGAGCGCCGTGGGCCGCCGGGCCCCGCCGGACGGTCGCGACTTCGGGGAGGGGGCGTGCAGCGCGGGTGGTGGTCCCTGTCCCCTCCGGACTCTACCGTTTGGGCCCCTCTGCCAAGCGCGAGCGGGCGCCGTGGGGATGGGCAGCCCCTCGGGAGCTCGGACTCTGCGCCTCCACGGTGGGCGAAGGGGTTGGGGGCGACGACGGGGACAGGGGCCGCTCCGGTTTCGCGCTCTGGTGCCCGCGACACCCCCTCCCCGCAGGTCCCCTGAGAAGTCGCGGCGACCCTTCCCTCCCCCCCGAGCCCCGTGGCGGGTGGCAGCCGAGTCCCGACTGCGTGCTCGGGCTCGGGGGGGGGGGGGTGGGCGGCGACGCGGGCACGGGCGCGCATCCGCGGGGCGAGTTTCCTTTTGACCCAGTTGCCGGAGAACTTTTGAGAAGTTCCTCGCGTGGCCGGGGCAGGTGACATTTGTCGCTTTTCTCGCCCGGCGCCCTGCCGGCGAGCGGGGAGCGGGCCCGCGGCGCGTGCCGGGGCGCCCCCACCGGGCAGGGGTCGGGGCGGCAGGGGGAGGCCCGGCCGCGACTCGCCGACCCCGGGCGGGGGGAGCGGGACTTGGGGGGTGGGGCGGAGCGGGAGGGATGGATTGTGTCGTGCGCTCGCTCACCTGTTTGTCAGGCACCGTCACACGCCGTGAGTCACGGGGACCAGCGGCGCGGGCCACCCGCGGGCACTTCGTAGGCCCTGTCCCACGCGCGCGCGCGCTTCCTCCGGGTCCTCAGTTTCCCCTCCCCGGGGGCCCTCTCCGCCGGCCCACGTCGCGCCAGCAGTCACACACTTACTCACTCCTCTGCGCTGGCAGAGTCACAGAGCCAGAGCCCACATTCCTGACACACAGGGTCCCCACCCCTCCCCGGCTCCGCTGCCCACCCACCCATCCACCGCCGGGCCTCGCCCCCACCGCCGTGACCTCACGGCCCTCCCGGGGAGGTCACCGAGGCCGGCCCCCTTCCTCCGGGGGGCCCTGCTGCTGTCACTGTCAGCTCTCCCCGAGCCCGTCACACCCCCTCCGCTCCGGGTGCTGAGCCACCTTTTTAAAATGCAAATCTGGCCCTGCCCCTCCCTCCTGACACCCGCGGCGGCTTCCTGTGCCCTCGGGCGAGCGCCTGCCTCCCCGCCCGGCCCCGGCCGCCCCTCCCCCTCCGCACTCCGGCTCTGCCGGCTCCCGGGAACTCCTCCTCCTCCCCCTCCTCCCCCTCCTCCTTTCGCATCCCTTCCTGGGAGAGACCTGCCCGCTGCCCGCGCCTCCCCGCCTCTAACTGGACTCCCCTCCCCGCCCCAAGTCTCTCGCGCCCTGCACTCTCCCGGGCTTGGCGCCGCGCTGGGCCTGTCATCGACCTAATGAGCGTCTGTTGGAGGAATGAATGAATGAATGACTGAAGGGGAGGCCTCTTAGGTGGAGGAAGCTGTCGCCGTCAGGTGCGATTTCCCTTCTGCCGGAACAAATGCTCCCTGGACCAGCGGGCCTTTGGCTCCCCGCCCAGGCCCCGGGCCCCTGGGGGCCAGGTCAGGGGAGCCGGGCCCCCTTCCCCAGGGATCCCTGGTGGCGTCAGCGCGCGGGGCGTGGGGTGTTCCGCGGCTTTCTGCGGTGCCTCTCTGGCCTGCCCGGACTCTTTCGGCAGCCAGTCCCATTTGAGGATGGTGGGAGAACTTAGTGCCCGCTGCTTCTCCTGGGGGGTGGGGTGGGGGGGACCTTGTGACCCCAAGTATTGGGGAGAGCTGACCTCTGCCTGGACACAGCCTGGGGCTCTGAGGCTAAAGGACACATTCTCCAGATTCCAGGAGGAGGGTGGAGGCAGCTGAGGGTGCCCCCTCCCCAGTACCGGCTTGGGCGGGGGGTTGTGGGCTGGGGGCATTGAGACTGTGGGGGACTGTGGGGGGGGTGCATAGGGGATGGGAAAGAGCCCTCCACTGCCCAGCAAGTCTGTGTATGTGTGTTCGGTGTCAGAGTGAGGTGGTCCTCCCGGCGTCCAGATGGTGGTGGGGAGCGGGCCCCTGGCCCTGAGCTGTCCTGGCTGGAGTGTGGCCCGATTCTCCGGGGCCCAGGCAAATCCCGGAAGAAGCCCGGTGCTCTGACTCAAGGCCTGTCTCCAGGGCTCCTTGGGGGTGTGGTATTTCTGTCTGAGCCAGCTCCTGGGAATTGCTTTTCCTTCCTCCAGGACCCCGGGAGGGGGGCTGTGCTCACCCTGGGAACGGAGCCACGGCCAGGATCCTGATTCCTGGGGAGCTGCTAGGGCCCCTCCCCCACCCTCTGACTCACTGTCTGACGCTTTTCTTGGCCGCTTTCGCGATCTTTCATTCCCTTTTTCTGACTTGGCCTCTTCTGGCTGCATCTTTTGGTCTCATCTTCTGCCTCTGCCTCTGTTGGCCTCTGGATTCCCAGGTGGAACAGACGGACTGACAGAGGGTCAGTCGGTCAGTGGGATATGAGGTCTTGAGGCTCTTTCTCCTGCCCCCTGACCCCCATTCTCCCTACACGCCTTGCTTGGGGCGGAGTTTCTCATTTCCCTCCTGATCTGCACACCCCTCGTGGGACCGTGCAGCCTGGCAGGCCTCCAGGGGCCCCTATCTGTCCCCCTACCAGCTCCCATTCTGCAGGCCTGTCTGAGGTACAGCTTGCGGGGGGGGGGGGGGGGTCTGGCATGCCCCTGCTTCTCTGCTGCAGTGCTCTCTGGGGCAACAGGGAGCCTTCTGAGATGCCACCTGCCCACTGCCTCAGCTTCCCTCTCTGGGTCCCTTTCCTTTCCCACCTTTTGGTGCAAGGGCGGACATATAGTTTGGTGGTTGGGTTGCATGCCTTGCACCAGTTCCATCCTCTGTATCACATGTGGCCCTCCTAGCCCTTCCAGGAGTAGTCCCTGAGCATCCCCAGGTGTGAATCCCAAACCAAAACAGGTAGAAAACCAACCCTCAGCCCTCTGGTGAAGACTGGGAATGGGGGGGTGGGGTTCGGTCATCATCACACTCCTACTTTCTCAGTAACTGGCAGAGGCCCTCCGCTGGACTTGAGGGAGTTGCTCCCAGGAAGCCCAGGCAGGACCAGGATTAATTTGTTTGTTTATTGGCTTTGGGGCCACACCCCACTGTGCTCTGGGCTCACCCTTGGCTCCTCATTCAGGGATCACTCCGGGGACCATAGGTGCTGCTGCGGATCAAACCCAGGTTGGTTGCTGGCAAGGTAGCCGCCGCCCCCACTGTACTGTGGCTTCAGTCCCAGCATCAGGATTTTATTTTCTTAAGATCAAGACTTGTGATGGGGAAGTCTTGGTGAGGGGTTGCGGGTGGGGCGGGCATCTATAGGGAAGGTGGGCTGGGCTCCAGCTTGTTCAAAGGCCAGGAGGTGAGCAGGTCAGGGCCAGCAGGGCAACTGCAAGTTCAGCTAGAGTATGGAGAGAGGGAGGTGGGGAGAGAGTGGAGGGGAGACAGCGGCCAGGCCTGCTTTAGCTGCTCCTGGAATTCTGGACTTGATCCTAAGGGCAAGCTTCCCTATGCTGCGCGCGAGGCTGAGGAGCGATTCTGAGCATGGGTGTGGCAGGTGACTTGGTTTAATAAGATCACACCTGCTGCCCAGTAAAGATTGGGTGTGGGAAAGGGCAGAGCAGATGGGCCTTGGCGAGGGTCCTCGCAGGTGAAAGGTAATGAGCTTGAGCCTGAAGGCACATTGAGTGCCTCGAGCGAATCTTGAACACACCTACCCTGGGCGAATTTCGCAGAGTTGCAGACACCCAAGGATCAACATAAAACATTTCCAGATCCTGCGTCTTGGGGGCCCCTCACCCCCACCCTGCCAGGCTTTCTGGTCCCTCCCCCTTCCCCAGAGGCTCCTCTGACTTGTTCCATGGCTGATAGGGCCTGCCTCGCCCCAGCTGCAGTCAAGACAAGAGTGTGTGTCTATGCGTGCCGGTGGGAGCCTGTGCACCCTGAGTCCGAGTGTCCATTTTCACAAGGCAAAGAATGTTCACTCACTAAATGCTTGTCACTGTTCTAAGAACGGGACCAGCCAGCATCGATTCCCGTGAACTTCCGCAGAGGTTCTTGAGGCAGATCACTGGAGAAACAGAGAGGGGAAGGAACTTCCCTGAGGGGCACTCAGCACCCCTCCCCCCCAAGTGGCCAATCCAGGTTTCACGTGTGGTAGGCCATCTGGGTCTGCAGTGGAGGCCCAGTTCTGCTGGGGCACCCCCTCACCATCCCCCCCAAGACCCTGCCTGGCTTTGTGTGCATGGCCTGAGTCAGAGTGAATTCCCAGGGCCAGGACGGGGGGGGGGTGGCTTCGGCTGTGGCCGGAGGGAGGAAGGAGTGGACCGCCTGCAGATTTTCTGGCCGGTGGAGCTGGGTGGGTGGCATGCTGTTACTAAGATAGGGAACACAGGAAGAGGAACAGATGGCATGGGGTGGGGGTGGGGGACAGGCAGGGGTTCAGTTTGGGGGCCTGTGGAATTTGGTTTCGAGGGGACAGCTTGGGAGCACTTCCCAGTGGGCAAAACAGACTCACAGGCAGGCGGTTAGGGGTGCTTGGAGCATCCTGTAAGTTGTGTCTAAAATTTGGAAGAGGACGGGGCTTTCCTTGCAGGCCTGCAAGGGTGTCAAGATTCGGGGCTTGGTACTGCATGGGTGTGTCTGGAAGTCTCCATGCGTGCACCCTACTTGCTGGGTCCTGAGCCCCCCCTCCCCCCATCTTCGGGGACAGCCTGCAGGTCAGCTGGAAGCAGGCTTGTTTTTGTTTGTGGTTTGACCCTGGGAAGGGGGTGCAAAGCCTAGAAACTACCCGAAGAAGCCCCCGGAAACACCTGTGTCTGCTCTTCCCCCACCCCCTCCCCCCTCCACCAGCCCTGCCTGCAGCCCCAGCGAGCCAGGGAGCGCAGGAGGGGGTGACAGGGAAGGAAGGGTTCTCTCCCTGCGCTGGGACACAGCTTACCCTGCTGGCCACTCACTCGCAGGGACCGAGGGGTCCCAGCACACCTTGGAGGACACAGCTTGCCACAGGGGACCCAGAGCCCTCTGGTTCGTTTTTTTTCCCCCGTTCTCTCGCGTTTCCTGTGATGGCCTGAGGTGGGGGGAGGGCCTCCCCTGCACGGGGCCTCTGCATCGGTTCCCCTTCCTTCTGGGGGCCCCCCCGCCGCAGGACAGGGCAGAGACCAGAGGAGGTAGAGGTGGCCACACTCAGCCCTTAGGATGGGGGTGGGGGCTAGAGCAGCGGAAGGGACTTTTTTTTTTTTTTTTTTGCCAAGGCATTTACCGGAAGGGGCCCGAGGCCCCTAACTTGGATGTCACCCTCCAGCCTGTAGGGATCTGGTTGCATTGTGGGATTATGGGGGGTGGGTGCTTAGCCCCTGGGTGGGGGGGCGGGGAGACTGGCGTTTCCTGGGCACTCTGCCACCCACGTGTCGGTGAGTCTGTTTCACTGGAAACCATTTATTTCCATATGAGGTTCTTTGGGACAGACAGGGTCAGCCCAGGCTGGGATTTTAAGATCAGGCAGGAGATGTTCCGGCAACCCGAGAGCTTGGATGGCCTTGGTTTCCCCCTTTCACCCCACCCCACCCCACTCCCCCGCCCCGGGGATTTCTGCGGGTGGGGGGTTTCTGAGGGAAAGTCTGGTGCTCCCTCGTGGGGAGGGGTGGGACTCTGGAATGAGGGTAGGGGGGCGAGTCAAGGCCAGGCTCTTCCCCCATCCACGGCGAGGGCCCCCGTGTGGGGGTGTGCAGGGACGGCGGCGGGGGGTGGGGGGTGGCGGTATAGTGCGGGGCTGTGCGGCCGACTCTGCACACGCAGACGCACAGATGCGAGCAGTGTGAATCATGCAGCCTGTGAGTCAGCCCCAGGATTCCTGCCGGGGAGTGACATCGGCCAGGAGGTCTGGCCGTCCATCTGGCAGTCTGGGCGTGCGGGTGTGGAGGTGGGTTGGAGGAGTCGCCAGGAAGGTGCCCTGCACTGTCCTGGTGAGGTGTTTGGAGGGCGGGGAAACGAGGGGGGGGGGGCGTGGTGGTTTCTGCACGTGCCTGGAGGTTTGGGACCTGGGTGCTGGCTCGGCCTCCAGCCACCATGGGGCCTCAGGTTAGCCGGGATGGAGGAGAAGCCTCACCTGGGAAGCTGGGGGAGGCAGGTGGACGAGGCCGGTGGGGCTGAAAGCCCACCTCGGCACCGGGATTGGGGGCGCCGCGGCTGCCTGGGAGAGTGGGTAGAGGAAGAAGATGGGAACTCGCTGCTGAGCCCCCCTTCCCGCTGCAGGTACAGGCTCAAGGCCGTCTGCCGGCCCCCGCTGCGTCCCCGCGCGATGGCTGGGCTACTGAAGAGGAAGTTTGACCAGCTGGACGAGGACTCCTCTTCGCTGTGCTCATCGTCCTCCTCCTCACTCTGCTCCTCTGGTGGACCCTCTCGCTCCTGCTCCCCGACCTCCTCCGTCCCCCTGGCCTGGGACTCGGACCAGGAAGGCCCCTGGGATCAAGTGCCCTTGCCTGTCCGTGACTTCTGCAGCTCCCCAAGTTTTACCCGTGAGTAGCCCCCTCGCCCGGGGACCCCAGCCAGCCTTCCTTCCTTCCTGAAGGTGAAGCGAGCAGCTCCCTGGAGGTCGCGAACCCTGTAGCTTTAACACTCTCACTGGTTCCCCCCCCCCTTGGCCACTTCCCCTAATACAGTGGTCACTGAGCAATGGAACCTGCACTCGCCTGTGACCCGGGGATGCCCCGGCTTATGGGACCTATGCCCAGGACGGCCCTGGGAGAGGTCTCTCCATGCTGGCCGTGATGTTCCACTCCACTTTCCTATCCCAGCTGGCCCTGGAACCCCTTGGGGGGGGGCCTGGCCAGCCGGCCAATTGTGGCTTGGCTGTCTCTGGATGCCTTGAACAGGTCTTTCTCCCAGTGTGCCAGGCCGTGTGACCCTAGACTGACCGGAGGTGGAGGGCACTGCTTCTCAGCCTCTTTTTGTCACCACTCCCTTACCCAGCCCCAACCAGCTCTTATGAGCTGTTTCCCTCCCTGATCTTGCCCTCCTCACAACGTACTAGTGCCCCCAGATAGTGTTTGTGTTTCTGTATTTCCATGTACTGTGCATAAAAAAAAAAAAAGAAAGTGATTATTGGATTTCATTATCATGGTTTCGGTCTGCAAGTACAAGATTAGCTTAATATTGTAACATCCAAATCAGGGTAATTTATCAAATACTATGTTAGAAGAGGGGGAAGTATGTCTGTAGATGCTGAAAGAATATTTGATCAAATGTAATTTTCTAGATAAGCCCCTTGATAAAGAGAGGAATAAGTGAATTCTACTTTGAAGTGGTTTAAAAAAAAAATGTTCAAAAAGTACCCGTCCCAAACCAAGCGAGTGTTATGTTTCATGAGAAAAATGCTAGAATCTTGACCACCAAGTCAAGCGCGGGATGAGGATGCCGTGTGTCTCCACAGCTGGTTAACATCATTCAAGAAGCACTAGCACACATGAGTTAGCAGAGAGGACAAACGTTCCGTGCAGGAGATTGTGATCGGCAAATGGCCATTATTTACAGAGGGACTGTCCCAGGCGGGTGTGAGTGGGAAACCCCGCTAGAAGGGAATTCCTCCCGGGAGAGCTGTGGACCAGATGAGCACACTAAGTGGAAGTATCTGGAATTGTCAGTATCCCACTATTTTTCTGGTGGTCTCTTGTGGTTCAGTCTTCAGCAAAGGTCTTCGAGCGAGGCCTGTTGCATGGTGCGGAAGCTCTCGAGTGGGAAGATGGGGGGGGGTTATATCTTCGATTCCATAAACCTCAGAAGTTGTTTAATAAAATGGCATGAGCAAGAACAAAAGGCTGACATGTTTGCACAGAGAGGCGAGACAGACAGTCCGTGACTCTCAAACAGAGAGCACGCCTACCCATCAATTGTGAAAAGGCTAGAAAACGATCCAGGGGCCCTGCAGTGCCTAATAAAGATGAGCAAGATGTTTAATCTCACCAGTGTGCTCCTTTCCTTGGGTAAATAACAATTAGCCCGTGTTGACATAGGTGTGGTGTTGGGTTTTTACCAGTCCCTGATCCGGAGCTAGTCTGGCTCCTGAAGAGAACAGCCACAGTTTCTTTCCGGCAGGGATGAGGGAGGGGTGTTGGGGGGGGGTTGGCATTGGCTCCTGGGACGTTCAGCTGTGTCCCCCCCCCTCCCAGAAGTGACGCTCTGCCCCTCCCCCCCCAGCTCCATCCATCCTGAGGCGGGCTTCTCGCAAGCGCCCCAGCCGCGTCGCCTTCGACGGCATCACCGTCTTCTACTTCGCCCGGTGCCAGGGCTTCACCAGCGTGCCCAGCCGCGGGGGCTGCACCCTGGGCATGGCCCCTCGCCACAGTGCCTGCCGCCACTTCTCCATGGCCGAGTTCACGCTGGAGCAAGCCCAGGCACGGCAGGAGAAGCTCCGCCTCCGCTTGAAGGAGGAGAAGCTGGAGGTGCTGAGGTGGCAGGTAGGGGACCCTGGTCTGCGCCTGCTGGTAGCTGGCAATTGCTTTGCCTGAGGGGCTGAGGGGGAAGGGTGGTACATGGGCATCGGACGGTGGGCACTGCTTTGCCCCTTCTGTTTGGGGAGAAAGAGGCCCAAGGGGATACAGGGTGCCGGAGCTGCCTTCTAGGTCATCCACAGGGCAGGGTGGCTATGGGAGTGGGGGTGGGGGGGCGGTCTGTGGACGGGCAGTCTCACAGGGAAGGGGGGAGGGGGTCAAGAACTGGGAGGGACCCGGTTAGGTTAGGAAATCGCTTTGCAAATGCCCCGAGGACAATGTCCTTGGCCGGGGCTGCTGCCACTGTGGTATGCACAGGGCCCAGCCCAGCGCCCGCTCACTGGGGCAGTCCTGCGACAAGATGACCATGAGCACTCAGGTCCTCACACCTGCTCTCCATTCCCCTGCCCACCTGCCCTGCAGCAGCCCGACGCCGCCGGGACGCCTCTGACAGTGGACGCCATCGACGACGCCTCCGTGGAGGAGGACTTGGCCGTGGCTGTGGCCGGTGGCCGGCTGGAGGAAATGGCCTGCCTGAAGCCCTACCCGGCCCGGAAGCGGCGGGCACTGCTGCGGGCCGCCGGGGTGCGGTGGATCGACCGAGAGGAGAAGCACGAGCTGCAGGCGCTGCGCCAGTCCCGGGAGGACTGCGGCTGCCGGTGCGACCGGGTCTGTGACCCCCAGACCTGCAGCTGCAGCCTGGCGGGCATCAAGTGCCAGGTAGGGGGCCCGCTCGGACCTGTGGGGTGTGGAGCGGGGGGTCGGGGCTGGTGAGCTGGGGAGTGGCGGAGCGTTGTGGTGGGAGGGGCTCCTCGCCACCCTGACGACCACCTCTCTCTCCCCCCCCTGCAGATGGACCACACGGCCTTCCCCTGTGGCTGCTGCAAGGAGGGCTGCGAGAACCCCGAGGGCCGGGTGGAGTTCAACCAGGCGCGGGTGCAGACCCACTTCATCCACACCCTCACCCGCCTGCAGCTGGAGCAGGGGGCCGAGGGCACCCAGGAGCAGGAGGACCCCGCCCAGGGCGCCCCGGCCAGCCCTGGGGATCCGGCCCTGGCTCCCACGTTCTCGCTGGCCAAGCCGCCCGGGAGCGGCGAGCTGGGCGACAGCAGCTGCAGCAGCGACATGACCGCCTCGTCCGCCGCGTCGGGCTCGAGCGAGGCCCTCGGTGGCCCTGGGCACCCGGCCCTGCCTGGCCCTGGCCTCCAGCCCGGCATGGATGATGACAGCCTGGCGCGCATCCTGAGCTTCAGTGACTCGGACCTGGGTGGAGAGGAGGAGGACGAGGAGGAGGACGCGGGGATGGGGAACCTCGACAACCTCAGCTGCTTCCACCCCGCCGATTTCTTCGGCACTGGCGACCCCGCGGGCCTGGCCAGCTGGACCCACAGCTACTCTGGCCTCCCCACGGGCCTCCTGGATGAAAACGCCAACCTCGATGCCAGCGGTTTCCTCAACAGTGGAGTGCTAGAGTGCTCGGGGGGAGGCGGCCTCCCCGGCCCCTCGGGGCCGCCCCGCACGGACGCCGGCCACAGTAGCTCCGTGGACCTCAGCTTGTCTTCCTGCGACTCCTTGGAGCTGCTGCAGGCCCTGCCGGACTACAGCCTGGGCCCCCACCCCACCGCCCGGAAGGTGACCGACAGCCCCGACCACCTGGAGGCCCACCTCTTCCCCTTGCCCGCCTTCTCCCCGCCCAGCGACACCAGCACCTGCTTCCTGGAGTCCATCCTGGGCCTGTCGGAGCCGCCAGCCGACACCCTGGCCCCCCTCATGGACAGCCCACTGCTGGAGGACCCCACCCCAGCATCGCTGGTAGAGCCCGTGCCCGTGTGAAATCGGGGACCCTATTGCTGTTTTGTTACTGGGGGAGGGGGAGCCCCCCTCTCTGAAGCCCATGTGTAAAGTTGGCCTGACTCATCCGTGTGGCTCATCCCGTCTTCATGCAACACTCGGGATTGACATGATTTTTTTTTTTTTTTGTAACTGTGCTGCCAGGTGGGGCAGGGGACTTCCCTTGGTAGCCCCCTCCTCCCTACCTATCCCCAGCCCGATCTCTGGCGCCTGCTCCTCTGGCTCCCCTGTGGTGTCAGCTGCGTCCAAAGACAGCAAGTCTGGAATCAGCCCCTGGCTTCTCTGTGCCACCCCCGAGCCCCAGACCCACGGGCGGTGGAATCCTCTGGACTGTGAAGACTATAATTTATTTCCATAATTTATTTGGAGACGAGGCAGATTAGCCTCTAGCCTCCTCCGCTCCAGCTGGTGGGTAGTGTTGGGGTCAGGGTGGGGCAAAGGTCTCAGAGGCGCCTCTGCCTGCAGCCCCTGTGGCTCCCGGCGGGGTCTTCGGTGAAATCCGGGTGTGGATTGAAGCCCCACGGCCCACACTTTGGCGGCTGCTCCCGAGGACGGCTGAGCAGGGCCGAGCAGGCGGGCGCGGCTCCATGGTGGCGGGGCAAGGACTGGGCCATCAGGGCCCCTCCTGTGGAGGGCTGCAAGGCCCCCTAGCCCGGCCCTAGCTACTCCTGGGGCTCGGGAGCACTGAGCCCCGCCCGGGTCCTTCATTTGCTGAGATGGGCATTTTGTGCCCCGACTCTGATCCCGCCCGCTCCCCAGCACTGGACGGCTAATTTATTTGTGTTTCTGTGTCTGTGCCAAGAAGCCCGGCCCCGGGTCTGCCCCTGCCCAGGAGGCTGACCAGGGCCCGGGTGCCTGTGGGCCCACCTGTACCCGAGCTTCCAGGTACCAATAAAGAGGCTCTCGTGAATGTTGTGGTCTGTTGTGGGGGCACCCTGGGGGGGCGGTGGTAGGGAGTCCACACAGAGCGGTAACCCCTGGGCCCCTCCAGGCAACCCCTGCAGACAGCCGTGATGCAGCCCTTTGCTCTCTGCAGGAAATGCCTCAGGTGAAGTGGGGTCAGATATTGGGGGTCCTCTGAAACAGGGAGGTTAGAAGGGATGGGACTTGGGTTCCCATGCCCCCAGACTGATATAGGTCGGCCCAGAGGCCACCTCGAGGGGCAGTGGTGGGAAGTGGCAGGGGGTGCCCAGTGTGGGGCCTGGCTTGAGTCCCTGGGACCTCAGCACCTCATCCACCTGCACCCCGCCAGACCTGTCTAACCTGTCCCTGCAACCTGGGCCACTGGCCAGAGGAGCCCAGAAGGCTATACCCTGCCCTAGGGGCCCCAGTTTGGGGGCCAAAGGAGGATGGTTGACCTAACCCTTAGGAATAATGAATCACACATGTCCTGGGAGGAGGGACCCAAACAGAGACTTGATTTGGGTCTCCTTGCTTCGATATTCCTATGTGACTTGCGTGGGGGCCCCCTGATTTCGTCTAGATGGCAGCAGTGCCACCGTCACCTCAGAATCTGGCTTCAATAGTACTAGGGGTCGGGGGTTTGCCTGGCGTGAGGCCGACCCATGTTTGATCCCTGACCAACCACCAGGAGTAATTCCTGAGTGCAGAGCCCGGACTAAGCCCTAAACATCGCAGGCTGTGACCGCCCCCCACCAAAAAAATTCGATTCGTGTCTATCACCTTCAGAAGACCACCTGTTCCTTAGAGTTGAAGCTTCTGCTCTGTCCAAATGTGGCAGTGACAGCCTGGCTCCATAGGGTGGGTTTCTAGGGTCCTTCACTCTTGTTGGCCTCCCCTTTGTAGAAATGCTTCAGCAAACCCTGTTCCCAGTCCAAGTCTCTCAGGGCCTGCAGCGCCGCCCCCCCAACCCCCATGACTAGACCACCCCGGCGAGGGCCATAGGGTCATTTGACCTTTTTGGTTTGTGTGTGTGTGTGTGTGTGTGTGTGTGTGTTTTGGTTTGTGTTTTTCATTGTTTTTAAATCAACGAAGACAAGTTAGGCAACAAAAGTGTGACTAATGCCCCGTCCTTGACAGCGTTGTTTCTCCAGGCAGAGCGAGAACTGTCCCTCGAAACCAACCTTGCCAGCACATGCTGTGAGGAACGTCCCAGAGAGGGCGTCCCCGCAGGGTGACAGTAGCAACCTGGACGCAGTTCCAGATCCTTGACTCATTCCAAGAAGCCCCCCGCACCCACGACGTGACTGGCAGCAGGTCACACAGAGCAGACTCCAGCAAGGAGGCAGCTCTTGAGGTCAGCTGGGGCCCTCGTCTGAGGGGCCCACAGTTTCACAGAACATACCATCATCTTGGCCTTCTGCTCGTGTTTTTTTTTTTTTCCAATTGCTACCCATGTGCCTGGTCTGTGCAACGAGGCCCACATAACTAACATTTGTGAGGTTTTGGTGTGCTCTCTTCCTTCCATGCTTAAAAGTACGCAACTTCCAAGTGTTGGCTGGCTATCGCTGGTTACCGGTCATACTGAGATTTGGGGAGGAGGGCGTAGACCCAATCTGATTTCCTGCTGCAGTTGAGGGGACCCAGCTGGGAGGGGCCGAGGGTCTTGGGTAAGGTCATTCAGATTTGAAAACCTCCCGACTCCCAGAGTTCCTCCCCCTGGGGCTCCACAAAGCTCATTCCTGCCATCCTGAAAAACAGGAAGAGAGGTGCTGGGAGAACAGCAAAGGTGACCTCCGCCCCCTCCCCCCTCCCCGCCGCCAGTCAGACCATTATTCATCTAAGTAGGGAGGAATTCATCACTCAGCAATTTTCACAAAGGCTGAGGTGGTAACTTCTTTTTTCCTGCCCTGCAGATGGGTGACCAGTTGTCCCAAACCTTCAGAGCCGCTGATGAACTGGATGGAGGGCGGGGAGGGGGGTTGCCCCGGGGGAGCAGAGGGAGAGGGGCTGCCTTCAGGATTCTGACTTCACATGACACCTCAGACAAAGATGCTTCCACACAGCTCCTGTCTGGATGCCAGATGGTCCAGAGGTGGGCAGTGGGCACGTGGGCAGGGAGCAGTCATTGCTGCTTTAGCTCCAGGATTCAGGAGCTGAGGACCAGCTCGGTCCTCAGCTTTGGCTTTGTGAGCAAAAAGCTCTCAGGTGTTTATTTGTTTTCAATTTCTTTATTCTCCCTCTGCCCTTTCCTGCCCCCTGCCCCCCCGAAATTAAAAGTCTAAGGCTGCCACTCCGGTCCCTGACCTCATTCTCGACTGCCATCCCAGCACTGCCATTTGGGGGTAATGGCATCACAGAAGGGGTGGGAGCACAACCAAAATGCATGACCGCGCCCCCCCCCCAAGTGCGAGTGAGCATAGCCACCCAGTGTGGCCCCCACCCCAACCCCCCGCACTGCATGTTGCCCGCCCCCTTTGTTGTGGGTCTCTTGAGGGTTGCACCCTCTAGGAGCTCATGTGTGCGCATGTGAAGTTCCCATGGCGGCTCACGCATGCTGGCCGGGGACCGCACACTGCCACTTGGCGTTCGCACACGTCCGGGCTGGGTGTGCCCAGAAATGCGTTGTGGTGCCAGCGAGCTGCCAGGTACCCTCAGTGGAGCCGCCGGGATTATACGTGGCACATGCAGTGCTGGAACTCAAGTTTCCCCCAAGAAAGGCAGGTGCTTCAGCCACGGAGCCACCCGCAGCTCCCGGAAAATACACATATAATATCAGTACAGATGCGGAGAGGGGAGGAGAATGTCGTGTGCTTTAAAAAAAAATTGTTTTATTTATTTGTGTTGCTTTGGGAGGCACATCTGGCATGCTCAGGGTTTACTCCTGGCTCTGTGCTCAGGGATCACTCCTGGTGGGCCCACGGCAGCTGTGTGTAAGGCACTACTGTTTTGCTGGGCCCCAAGTGTCATTCTGAATCTCTCCTCCACTGGACCCTCTTCCCAGCCTCTCCGTGAAAGCTTCCGCTCCACCTGGCTTCTACCAGCAGCCCTAGGGCCTCAGAGCGCTTTGGGCCTTTTGCAAAATTTCTTCTCTGATTTTCGGATAGTTGGGGTATTCCTTGAGGACCTGGAACAGAGAGGAGTGGGTGTAGCATCCGGGGTGCCACGGCCTGGGGTCCCCGTACCCCACCCTCGTCCCAGGCCGGGGGCTTACGCTGTGGCAGACTTCGACAGCCTCCACGAATCGCTTGTCCTTCAAGTAGTTGAAAGCGAGTTTGAAGCCTGTCCAAGGAGGGGCGGGGGGGGGGGGGAGAGAAGAGCCAGTATCACAGCCAGGAACTGAGAAGCTCTCCCAAGTGCCCAGGCCTGGAGCTGGAGGGGGCAGTAGGCCTCGGGCTGGGCCGCTTATCCCACCCCCCACCCGCCAGGTCCTCCCTCACCAATGGCGGGGTTGGCGCAGTAGCTGTACTTCCAGGCCAGCTCGTAGTTGGTGGCTGCGTCCTTGTAGGACTGCTCCTTCTCCATGATCAGGCCCATGTACTCATAGGCCTTCCAGCAGGACTGCAGGAGGACTGGTCAGAGGCTCTGCCGAAGGGGGGAGCCAAACCCGCCCCGGCTCCTCTCTCCCCCTCCCCACCTCTTTCTCTTTCTCTCTCTTTCCTCTTCTCTCCCTCTCTCCCTCTCTCCATCTCTCTCCTCTCCCTCTCCTCTCACTTTCCCTGTCTCTCCTCTTTCTCTCTTTTTTCTCTCTCTCTCTCTCTTCCTCTCCTCTCCCCTCTCTCCCCCCTGTCTCTCTGTCTCTGTCTCTTGTCTGTCTGTCTGTCTGTCTGTCTGTCTGTCTCTCTCTCTCTCTCTCTCTCACACACACACACACACACACACACACACACAGTAGCACTGAAGCACTGTCCTCCCGTTGGTCATTGATTTGCTCGAGCGGGCCCAGTAACGTCTCCATCGTGAGACTTGGGCTGGAGCGATAGCATAGCGGGTAGGGTGTTTGTCTTGCACTCCACCCTTGAGGCCAACCCGAGTTCGATTCCTCCGCCCCTCTCGGAGAGCCCGGCAAGCTACCAAGAACGTCTCGCCCGCACAGCAAAGCCTGGCAAGCTCCCTGTGACGTATTCGATATGCCAAACACAGTAACACACACTATTTTTTTTGTTTACACACCCTATTTTTTGTTTGTTTGTTTTGGTTTTTTGGGCCACACCCAGCAATGCTCAATACTTATTCCCGGCTGTGCTTAGGAATGACTCCTGGTGGTGCCCAAGGGACTGTGGGGGATGCCAGGAATCCAACCCAGATCCCTGGCCCATGCAAGACAAACACCCTGCCCGCTCTACTATTGCTCCGGCCCCAGCATAACCTGAGAAGTGAACTGTGTACCCTTCTAGCTACCCAGACTCTGGCTAGCCCTGCTTTCTGCTGGCTGCCACCACCTTCCTCTCCTGCATGCCCTTCCGTCCTGTGACCCCTTTTCTAAGGTCCCCCCACTCCAGGCAGTCAGACCCTGTGTGCCTCCCTGTAACTTACCCTCCCCCTACCCCCCCGCCCCGTGCTGCACTCTCCCATCCAATTCGCTGACCCTGTGCCCCTCCTCCACCCCAGCATCTGCCGGTGCCTCCATTGCCACCCCCCACCCCGCACCCCTCTCCACCATCCCATCTTCCACTGGGAGCCCCTGCACCCCGCTTGCCTTGTTGTACTGCACGCAGCGCCGGAGCAGCTCCGAGGAGAGGTCGTACTTGCCGCTCTGGCAGTAGATGTCCGCCAGCAGGAGCCAGCTCTTCTCCAGGTCGTCGGCCTCGGCCGGCGTCCACGGGGCCTTGGCCAGACGCTTCAGCTGCGTGCGTGCCTTGGGAACCTGCTTCAGCAGCATGTACGCCTGGGACATGGCCAGCAGGACGGAGACGCTGTCCCTCTGTGCCAGGGGTGGGGAGACGGGTGTGGGCACTCCTGACAGGCTGACGCTCCCGCCGGCCGACCCCCGCCCCCCACCCTCAAGGCCTACCGCACCGAGCATACCTCGGACTGCGCCATCTCGATGAAGGTGCTCAGTGCTATCTCCACGTTGGTCTTGTCCCTGGTGGCCAGCAGCCAGAGGCCTTTGAGCAGCAGGAGCTGACTCTGGGCCCCGGCCGCATGCCGGTAGAATTCACGCAGCAGCTTCTCGGCCGTGCACAAGCCCTGTTCCTCTGCCTGCTTCCTGTCCGAGGGGCTGCGGCACCCGGGAGAGCTGGAGGCCACCACTCCGGCCAGGACCCCTCCAGGCTCCCCACTTTCCCCCCACCCCTGCCCCGGGGAATAATGCCTCAGGCTGGCTGGGGAAGCCCCTTACTTGCTCTCAACTGTGATGTTCTGGAAGGACTCCCCGCCCACGATCTCGTTGTCGGGGTTCAGGCAGATCTGGACCATGTAGGAGATGGCACTCTGCCCCCACGTGCTGTCCTTGCGTGCTTTGTTGAGGAACTTCAGGGCTTCGTTGGGCTGCCCGAGGTACCTGGAGTACGGAAGAGCAGAGCCGAGAAATCAGACAGGGAAACTGAGGCCCAGAGTGCAGGGACTCCGGCTACCCTGAGGCTGCACAAGCAGGAGTGTGTGGCTACCCCCTGACTGTGTCCCCAGAGGGTCAAGTCCCCAGGGTGCCGGACCCTGCCCCTCTCACCAACAGTAGATGCCTCTGCAGTAGTTGAACCCCGGCTCCAAAGGCACCCGGCTGGACTTCTTCTTGGCCAGTTCAAAGAAGTTTGGGGCGTCCCCTAGTTGCCCACACCGTCGTAGCAGACCCATCATCTTATTCAAGAGTGAGAAGTTGTCTGGAAGGAGAGTGTGTGGGCACGAACTGGGGGAGAAACCAGTGTCTGGGTCCGGTGGGTTTGGGGCTGGCAAGGTGGAGCCTGGAGACCCCTGGGCACTGCCCAGCAGGGGCTCAAGGGCGGCTTTCCTGGTCCACTAAGTGCACCAGCCTCAGAGCAGAGGGACAGCTGAGGACGAGACTGAAGGGACGGCATGAGGCCCAAAGCCGATCCAGGGAGACCCTTGTCCCCATTTCCAGAGGAGGAGACTAAGGCACACAGCTAGCTGGGCACTGGCCCGAGGTTATTATTATAAGCTGGTGGCAGGGCCGGATTCGCAGCTGGTTCGAGGGTCAGGGTGACTCCCCCAGAACTGATCTTCGGTACTGTCTCCCCGTCCCCCTCCCTGGCCAGCACAGAGGGGTGAGCAGGCAGAACCCCCATCCCCGGAGATCATGTTTCCATTGACAGGGCAGGGATGAGGGGGGTGGGAGTGGGGAGGGGAGGCGACACCCCCCCAAGGGGACTCCGCAGCTGCAGTGGCTTCGAGGTGGGAAAACCACGGGCTGTCCTGGGTCTGTGCCCAGCACTGTCCTTCCTGCCCCCAGGAACGGGCTGGACCCAGAGGGCCAGCACGTCCCGCTGGGCTGTGCGCTTCCTGCCGGTGTGGGAACAATCAGAGAGGAAGGGGCTTCCGCTGCTGCCCGGGCAGGAAGGAGGGGAGAGGCCTGGGCTGTGTGGGGCACAGCCTGTGCTGGGAGAGAGGGGTGCGGGAGGCCACAGGGGCCACGGGCAGGCTCGCACCTGGGGCTCTCTGCAGGACCTGGTGGTAGAGGTCCACGGCGGCTTCATACTTCTGCTTCCGAAACAGCAGGTCGGCCATCATCTGCGAGGGGACAGCCAGCTGCAGCCCGGCTGCAGGCTGAGGCGCGGGGGCCGGAGGAGGGGCAGACCCTGGGCCCCGAGAGTAGCCCAGCGGTGAGGTGCCCTTGAAGAACCTTTGCTCTGGGATGGCCCTGGGGGAGCCTGGGGTGGGTGTGGGGGGCGGTCCGGGGAGAGGCCTGGGCAGGCTGTCCCCCTTGCCCCAGACCCCCAGAGCCCTGGCTGTATGTGCCCTCAGGAAGCAGCACTCAGTGCCTTTCCTGTCCTCGCTGCCAGCACCCCTCTTCCCAGGGGGCCGGTGCCCCTCACCTCCAAGGCGGCCTCGTGGTCCTTGTCGGTCTGCAGCAGGATGGTGCAGTGCTGCTCGCACAGGTCCAGGTGTCCCTGCAGCAGGTAGAGCTGCGCCAGCGCCAGCACCACCTGGCAGGGCACACAGGGTGCTGGGGCCGGGATACCGGGGCCAACGGCTCTCTTTGGGGTCTGACTGTGGGGATGGGGGGGCGGCGGCAGCACACATCCTCCATGGTCCTCACCCAATCTGCTTTTCTCCCTCTCTCTGTCCCTCTCTGTCTTTGTCTCTCTGTCTCTCTGTCTCTGTCTCTGTCTCTGTCTTTCTCTCTCTCTCTCTCTCTCTCTCTCTCTCTCTCTCTCTCTCTCTCTCTCCTGCACCACTTCCTGCCTGCAAGCCCCGCATCCTTCTTTATTTCACCCCCTCACCCCACTCCCAGGGGCCCCAGCAAACCGAAGTCTGAATCAAAGCTGGGGTTTCAGCACTGTTTCCTGCCTCTCCCCAACCCCAATAGTGGGACCCCCCTATCCCCAGACTCCAGGACTGGCCCAGGGCAGTCCTGGGAGAGCCAGGGCGGGGGGGCGGGGGGCCACACTGGGGCCCCTCCCCTACCCTGGGGGTAGCTGGGATGGGCGCCCAGACCCACCTTGTTGTCCGTGGGCACGTAGGAGAGGGCGTCCTTGTACGCCCGCTCGGCCTTGGCGTAGTCCCTCTCTGCCATGTGGTGGTCTCCGCACTGGACGCAGATGGCCCCCGCCAGCTGCTTCTGGGACGGGATCATTTCCGGTTGTTCCAGGGGGACCCGCTTCAGGATGCGACACTGGAGCTCCAAGGCCTGGGGACCCAGCCCTGGTCTCAGAACCCAGAGTGGGGCAGCCCAGAGCACCCCGCCGCCAGGTCCTGCCCCTGGTCAAGCCTGCCCGCCCCCCCCCCACCCCCGGAGCAGGAGCCCCGTGGGCGAGCGGGAGACAGGCCCCAGGCTGGGGCACCAACATGGCTGAAGTGTGGAGCCTTCCAGGTGGCATGGTCCCCGGGCACTGCCATGTGTGCCACCCCCCAACCCCCCGCCGTGCCAGGCTAGAGCCACCCTGTGGCCTCTGGGCCCCCAGCACTGATGGTTTGAAAACCAGCCGCCTCCAGTCAGCAGAGAAGGCCTCCCTCTGCCAGCTCAGACATGGGGAACAGGGCTCAGGTGACTCTCTGAGAGGAGAGTGGGGACAGGAAGGGCCAGGTCAGAGGGACACGCGGGCTCAGTTCCGAGCGCCACGGAGGAGCTGGGCCTTAACCTCTTTGACCCTCATCTGAGCTGTCTGTGCAGCGCTGGCTGGGTAAAGGCAGAGCTCTCACGCCCAAGCCTGGGGTCAAGCCCTGGACCCCCGAGTCAGCATCTCTTAGATGACAAGGGCCCAGTGCTGCTCACAGGCGGCTCCTGTGGGAGAATCCGCCCAGAAAGCAGAACGGGGCCCAGACCAGGGGCTCGGGGGTGAGCACATGCTGCTTTACATGGCTGGCACCGCGGAGATGGAAAACGCCCAGGGCCCAGCCCAGCAGGTTCCTGGCAGGGCCCCCCGCTCTGACAGCCGCCACCAGCAGCCTCCCCAGGACACGGGCCCTGCCCATCTCCCAGCCGGCCTGGCCCTGCCGAGCCCAGAGCCCCGGGAGCTGGGCCAAGGAACAAGAAATCTGGAGGGGACAAGAAAACGGAGGCCAGGGCTGGACTCTTGTGTCCTCTTTTGAGGACCAGGCCCCGGAGCCTTCCAGACTGGCTGTCCCCTCCTTTTTTCCTCCAGATTTCCCCACCCCCACCCCATCCCCCTGAAAACAGGCACAAGAGCTCGGGTCTCTGGTCCATCACCTTGTTCAGGGTCTCGATCACGTCTTCTTTTTTGTGGCTGCTGTAAACCTTGGCCAGCAAGAGCAAGCACTTGACATCATTCATCAAGGAGGGGACATCTTTATCTGCAAGCAGAGAAGGCAGCGGCTTAGAGGGGCGGGTGTTCTGGGGGTGGCGGCGGGGTTGGGAGGGGTGGGGGGACCAGGGCAGGGTGCGAGGAGGCCGCCGGACCCGAGTCCCGTTCCAGCGCCAGCTTCAGCACTTTTTCTGCTTTGCTGAACTTCTTCAACTTGAGCAGTAGCTCTGCCAGGTCACAGCACAGAAAGTCAGACCCGCTCATCTTCTGGGCCGCCTCGTAGTAACTGATGGCCTGAGGGCGAGCAGAAGGGATAGGCTCCAGGTGATGGCCACAGGCCTCACGGGACCACACCGGTGGTGTTCCTCCCCATTACAGAGACCTGCTCCCCCTCATGAAGTGCTCCCCCTTCCCCGCTGGCACAGGGCTCAGGACAAGCTGGAGGGTGGGGGAGGGTGCCCTTGGCGCCCCCTTCCTGTCCACAAGCCTCCTCCATCTCCCCTGCACACTGGGCCTCCCTCCCCTCTCCCCCACCCCCAAGCCCGACCTTGTTGTACTCATGGGCCTTCACGCAAGCCTTCCCGATTCTGCTGACCAGGGAGGCATCATGTGGGTTCTTTTTGTAGGCTTCGTCATAGACCTCCAGGGCCTTTTCAGGCTGTAGGGGAGAGTCCAGAATCTCTCTCTCTCTCTCTCTCCTTGCCCACTGGAGAAGTGAGATTGAGGCGAGGGGCGCAGGAAACCCTTGGAAAGGCCATTTCTCACCTCCAGAATATTCATGAAAGCATCACCCAGTAGCAGGCTGGTATGGGGGCCAGGCAGATGTTCGCAGAGCTCCCTGCAAGAATCATCACAAACTTCTCTGGACCTACAGCCACCATACTCCTGATTCCATTTCCTTCTCTTACTGATTCTTGTATCCCTGCACTCTGCATCCATGCAGTCTCCAATGCATACATCCATCCGTGCATCCCTCCATGCATTTATCCATCCACCCACACGTGTGCATCCATCCATCCATCCATCCATCCATCCATGTGTTGATCCATCCATCCATCCATCCATCCATGTGTTGATCCATCCATCCATCCATCCATCCATCCATCCATCCATCCATCCATCCATGTGTTCATCCATCCATCCATCCATCCATCCATCCATCCATCCATCCATCCATGTGTCCATCCATACATCCATCCATCCATCCATCCACACATCTGGGCTCCATCCATGCACCCATGTGTCCATCCCTTCACCCTTCCTTTCCTTGCCGAAAGCCCACTGTGAATGAGACCCGATGCGTGTCTCACAAGCCAGGGGCTCCAGCTACCCCACCGGGGCCTCTCACTACTGGGTGGGCCATCCTGCTTTCTTGTACTCCACCGTGACAGTGTCATTCCAGTTGGCTGGCCTTCTGCTCTCTCAGAACACAGTGCCCTAGCCCTGATCAGTGCTCCTTTTTATTTTTATTTATTTATTTTTTTGCTTTTTGGGTCACACCCGGCAATGCACAGGGGTTACTCCTGGCTCTGCGCTCAGGAATTACCCCTGGTGGTGCTCAGGGGACCATATGGGATGCTGGGAATTGAACCCGGGTCAGTCGCATGCAAGGCAAAGGCCCTACCCGCTGTGCAATTGCTCCAACCCCCAGTGCTCCTTAGACCCACACTGCTGACAAGGGGTCTCTGTCCCTACCACACACATCAGATAGCAACAGAGCCTCTCTGGGCCTCAACCGCCTACTCGCCATCTCCACCTCACACCAGTCCCATGGGTGCTGCATGCAGGCCCTTTCACTTCCTCAAGCTCCATCCAGCCTGAGCAGTAATGCATTCCCCATTGATCTGCTCAGTGTGGGAGCCCAAGGGTGGTCTGGGGGTGCGGGAGACCAGTAAGCAGGGCTCAGGCTAGGTCCAGTGCAGTACCCTCAGAACTCAGCAACGAACTAGTCTGGCTGCCTCCACCAGGCTCCTAGTCGAACCCACGGTTGAGTGCAAACACTTGTCACACATCCCGGAACTGGCTTGGGGGAAGGGCCAGGTGGAGGAAGTCTGGCTTGGAGCAAAAGCCTGCCGGCTCCAGCTGTGGCCCCAGGCCTCACCTGTAGCAGCCAATATAGAGGCGGACATCCTTGCGGCTCCGCAGGTAGATGTCGGCCATCTTCTCCTTGGCCTCCGTGTAGCAGGGCTGCTTGGGCGTGATGTTCCTCAGCATGCTCAGAGCCATGTCCACGCTGCCTTTGCTCAGGGTCAGGTCCACGTTGGCGATGGTGATGCGGCTCTCCTCGGGCGTGCCGCTGAACTCCTTGATGGCATCCTGCATGACCCTGGTGGCCTCGTGCTAGATGAGGGGGAACCCAGCAGACTGGCCTCAGGGGGCCTGCCCATGCTCCACGCCCAACCTAACGCCAGCGCCCCTTCCCTTGGGGCCTGGGGAGAAGGAATACCAGGGCTGGAGACTTAAAAAGTCTCCCAGCAGTGAAAACTTCAAAAGTGGAAAACTTGTTATTTCCAAGGATTTAAATGCCCAACACGAATGCCCTCCTAAATGCCAGCTGTCTTCACATAATAGCTTCAGCATATGGAGTGTTTTTGAGGGAGAGGCCTAATGGCACTAGAGAAAAATCTTTAAGCTAAGAATAGTCATAAAAGTGGGTTTGTGATTCCACTTCAGATGTGTCCAAATTGTCACCCCTTTGTGCCTCCAACCAAATTTCCAGGGGCACTCACAGCAAATGGTTCCAATCATTCTATATATAAAATGTATCAAGCAAACATTAAATTTCTGGGATTTTTTTTGGCTTTTTGGGGGGGGGGGCGGGGAGGGTCACATCTGGCGATGCATAGGGATTACTCCTAGCTCTGCACTCAGGAATCACTCCTGGTGGTGCTGGGGGACTATATGGGATGCTGGGGATCGAACACAGATCAACCGTGTACAAGGCAAATGTCCTACCTGCTGTACTGTTGCTCCAGCCCCTCTGGGATATAAGAAAGGAAGAAAGGAAGAAAGGAAGGAAGGAAGGAAGGAAGGAAGGAAGGAAGGAAGGAAGAGAGAAAGAAGGAAGGAAGGAAAGAAAGGATGGAGGGAGGGAAGGGGGAGGGAGGGAAGTGGGAGGGAGGAAGGATAGAAAGAAAAAAGAAGAAACGAAGGAAGGAAGAAGGAAGGAAAGAAAAAAGAATAAAGAAAGGAAGGAAGGAAGGAAGGAAGGAAGAGAAAGAAAGAAAAGAAAGAAAGAAAGAAAGAAAGGAAGGAAGGAGGAAGGGAGGAAGGAAGAGTAGAAAGAAAAAAGAAGAAACAAAGAAAGGAAGGAAGGAAAGAAAGAAAGAAAAAACAAGAAAGAAAGAAAGAAAGGATGGAAGAATGAAAGAAAGGAAGGAGGGAGGGAGGGAGGATAGAAAGAAAAAAGAAGAAACAAAGGAAGGGAGAAGGAAAGAAAGAAAAAAGAAAGAAGAAAGGAAGAGAAAGAAAGAAAGAAAGAAAGGAAGGAAGGAAGGAAGAAAGAAAGGAAGGAAGAAAGAAAGAAAGACAGACTTGAGGCCATGGGGAGCAGCTCCCCAGCAGAGTGGCCTGTGGGGCAGGTAGAGAGCCTGGCCCTCCTGCTGTCCCTGTCCTGCATCACTGCCACTGTGCCTGGGGCCGGGTCGAGGTGCCCTGCAGCAGGGATGGCAGAAACCACCTGGCCCCAAGTTGGCGAGTCTTGGGGTGGGGGGTGGCAGGCAGGGTGCCGGGATGCAGCTCTCCAACTGGTACTCAGAGGCATAAGACCTGGTCACTGGAGTTGCACCCTGGGCGATTTTGACCCTGACTCTACATCCACTGCTTTGGACCCTGCGTCAGGCCTTCCCGGGCATCCCTCGCCGTGCCCACCTCCATGCACCACTCCTGGCTTTTCCCCTTTGCTTGGCTGTGCTTTTTGCATCCTCTCCCTTGGCTTTCTGGGCCCTTTGCAGTAGAGAAGTTCCACTGTTGTTTGCTTGAACCACTTTTTTTTTTTCTTTTTTGGGTCACATCCAGCGATGCACAGGAGTTACTCCTGGTTCATGCACTCAGAAATCTCTCCTGGCAGTGCTCGGGGGACCATATGGGATGCTGGGAATCGAACCTGGGTCTGCCGCGTGCAAGACAAACACCCTACCCACTGTGCTATTGCTTCAGCCCCTTGAACCACTTTTTTAATCATTAAAAAAAAATTAGGTACTTAAATTTGCTTTAAAAAAAAACACTTTTATGATCACAGGCGTGGGAGGGAAAGAAGGGAGGAGGGAAGGGGGAGGGAGGGACTATTTGGGGGGGGGGGCAGGGAGAAGGGCTGCACACCCAGCTATGCTCAGGAGTTACTCCTGACTCTGCACTCAGAAATTACTCCAGTTGGGGCTCGGGGGACCATATGGGATGCCTAGGAGCGAACCTGGGTCTGCAGCATGCAAGGCAAGTGCCCTCCCTCCCTGCTGTCCTGGCTCTCTGGCCCCCCTTTTCGTGATTCCCTTTCTCGTCTTGCAGCCGGGCATCTGCGCCCCTTGGGTCTTTCCTGCTCTCCCCTCGGCTGCACCACCTCCCACCTGACCTTTCCTGCAGACCCAGGAACCCCAGCACCCATCCACTGCACTTCTCCTCCCGCTCTCCCACCAGTGGAACTGCAGGCAGGACAAAGTCTCGATCTGGCCTGCAGCTTGGCGTCCCGCATGGAGGAGGAGCAGGAGCAGGAGGAGGAGGAGGAGGAGGAGGAGGAGGAGGAGGAGGAGGAGAAGGAGGAGGAAGAGGAGAAGAGGAGGAGGAGGAGGAGGAGGAGGAGGAAATACCAGCGAGTGGGCTGCGACTACGTGGATCAGCTACGCTTAGAGGCAGCTGCTCCTTCCTCTTGTTACGGGCGGAGATTCTTTCTCTGCTTTTAGTTCTTTTTTGTTCCTTGTCGGCCAATTTAAGGGAAGTACAAAAGTTTTTGTTTGGTTTTGACCTGGCAGTGTGCAGCGCTTACTCCTGGCTCTGTGCTCAGGGATCACTCCTGGCAGTGCTGGGGGAACCATATGAGGGTGCCGGATCAGACCTGGGTTGTTTAGGTGCAAGGCAAGAACCTTGCCTGCTAATTCTACCTGTCTGGCCCCTACTCTGAAGCAGCTTTTTGGGGGGGTTGGTTTATTCGGGAGGACCACACCCTTTAGTGCTCAGGGCTTACTCCTGGCTCTGTGGCTCAGAGCTCACTTCTGGTGGGGCTCAAGGGGCCGTATGAGGTGCTAGAGATCAAATAGAGATCAAATCTGGGCCAGTTGCTTGCCAGGCAAGTGCCCTAACCCACTGTACTATCTCTTCAGCCCCTCCAAAGCTATTTTTATCTTTTTTTAAATTTAATTGTTTTTTTAAGAAGAAAAGGTTTCACAGGCTGGCCCCTTGTTTGCTGGGGTTATCATAGAGAAGGCTGGGCCCCCCCGGAGACAAGTCCCCAGAGCTCTGCTGAGAAAACCCTGTCTGTCCCAGGAACAGGTGTTAGCTGTATCAGAGTCCCCACCACCACCCGCCCCTCCCCCCCAGGACTTCCTTCCTGTCTCTGCATTCCCGGTGCTCACAGGATGCCCAGCTGCTCCCCGCCCCTGCCAGCCAGAGCTTCCCTAGCCGCTATAGACAGTTGAGCAGGTTGCACACTGCAGAACCCTAAAGAGACATCCTTCATGGAGCTCACAGGGACGCTGGCACTCTCGAGCTGGGTGCTGCAAGATCTGCACACCCGCCTCCAGAGGCCCCCATGGGCCTGGCGCCCCAGGTCCCTGGAGGCCTCCCGGGCTCAGTGAGGTCAGCAGGGGATACATCAGGTAGATCCCCAACAGGGTTTGGACTTGGCATCCCTGGGCACGGGGTGCTGCTGATAGCCCCGAGGTGGGGAGAGACCTGGGCTATGAGTGACGAGGGCATGGGGCACCTGAAATGGGAGGCCGGGGGTTGGGGGGGGGGTTGGTGAGTAGCGGCCACCTGGCCTCCGGCCCCCTCAGTCCCAGCCCGGCGGGAGGGAGGGGAGCAGCCTCTCCCTTACCAGCTCCCCGTTCAACCTGAGGGCGTCCACCAGCTCCAGCAGGATGCAGATGCGCTCGCTGGGGCCCACGGACGGCCCCCGAGGCCTCCTGCCCGCCTCCTTCACGGCTGGCAACTTCATGATCATTTTCAGCGTCTTGATGGCCTCTGGGTAGTCCCCAGACTTGTTGAGGGCCTTGGCCTTGATGAAGTGGTAGAGGGGGTGGTCCCGGACCTAGAGAGGCACAAAGAGTGAGTGAGTGTGTGTGTGTGTGTGTGTGTGTGTGTGTGTGTGTGTGTGTGTCTGGGGTGGGGGTTGAGGGACTCGGGTTCCTGACGGGCTCATGGCAGGCAGAGAGGAGGAAGGAGCCATGGAGGGGCTGAGGGCACAAGGGCCTGGGGTCATTCTTTCAGCGCAAGAGGAGGCTGTGGCAAGCTGCAGGGGGTGATGGTGGGGCCCCTCAGGCTGCTCAGTGGGAGACCAGATTCAGGGGAGCCCCGACCTGGAAGTTGTGGCTGACACCCGTCTCCAGACAGTGGGAGCAAAGGGCAAAGTTGCCCTGAGCCAGGTAGTTCTGGGCCAGGAGCAGGTGGGCATCCACGGAGGTGGGGTCCAGCTCCAGGCAGCGCTGCAGGGTGCTCTGGGCGTTCTCGAACTCTCCTAGGAAGCAAGAAACAGGCCTCTCCAGGTGGGGCCCCCGGAGATTTGGGGAAGGCTCCATGAAGGGGCCACGGGATGGGTGCTGCCACCTCCCCCATAGCCAGTTCCCTCTGCAAGGTGCAGACCACGCGGCTGGCACCCCCGCCACAACGGACGTCAGGAGCTCACACTTGTCCCAGCAGCCGCGGGACATGGTCAGGCCATACACCACTCTCTCTGGGAGCTCGGAGGACACTGAGGTGAGGGCCCAGGAGCAAACCTAGAAACCTCCGCCGCGTTAGACCCAACTTCTGCCCAGAGCCTGGCAGTGCTTTGGAAAGGCTGCCGCCCCGTTCTTCTCTGCCCAACCCTGCACGGTGGGAACTGGACTCCTGCTCCTTGCCACAAGGAGCTGGGCTGGGCCCGGGAAGGACCCAGTCAGCCCTGAGCTCCAGGCCCGGGTTCTGCCTCATGGCACCCCGGCAGCAGCGAGTGAACACGTCCTGGTGGGGCAGTGGCAGCCTCTGGAGCGGCTCCTGCCTGGGCTCCATCACCTGAAGGGTGGGAAGTGCTGGCTCTGGGTGCCCAGTCCCTGCCCTACCTGGTGCCACAGGAATGTGTACATGTCCAGCTGGAGACCTTGCTTTGGCCCTAAGCCTGCTGGCACCTCCAGTGCCTCACCTTGGACCCAGTGGGTGGCACCCAGGCCTGGAACCCAGATAAACTCAGCCCTCAGCTGAGCACACCCCCTGTGGGACATAGGACCAAAAGACAGAGACCACCCTGGGTCCTGGAGCCACTGAGAGCAGAAGGTTCAGGTGGAAGGTCCCTCTGCTGGAGACCTGGGTTGGCGAGAAACCCGGAGTGCAGATAGCCCCACCGGGCACTGTGTGCGAGAGCATGTATGTGAGTACATGCACAAACATGTGTGCACATGTATGAACATGTATGAGTGTATGTGAGAGCGTGTGTGTGCATGAGAGCATGTCTAAGTGCATGTGTGAACCTATGCGAGGGTATGTGTGAGCATGGATGTGTGTGAATGCACATGTGAGCAGGTGTAAAAACATACGTGTGAGCACGTATGAGAGGGTATGTTGAGAGCATGTGTGTGTATGCTTGTCTAAGTGCACGTGTGAGCCTGTGTGAGCATGGATGTGTGTGAATGCACATGTGAGCAGGTGTAAGCACATGTGTGAGCACGTATGAGGGTAGGTGAAAGCAGGTGAGAGTGGAAGAGCATGTGTGAGTGTGCGGGGGCACGTGAGAGCGTGGATGAGTGTGTGAGAACATGCATGTAAGCGTGTGAGCATGTGAAATGCCTATGAGGGTTATTGGGAGTGTGTGACACTTGTGTGTGTGAGGGTATGCGGGCGCAAGTAAGCATGTGGACACCACCTGGGCCCCCACCTGGGCCCCTGGCAGGAGGACCCCGGCTCACCTGAGAGATACTTGACCTGAGCCATCACATACAGGGGGTCGATCAGAGCAGGGGCTGCTTTGACTACAGGACTCAAGATCATGGCTACTTGTTTCAGCAGCGGAGACACGATCTGGCCTGGCGAGCGGGGCTGTAGGAACATGGGGGTCCTGGCTGTGTGGCTGGCCCCGTTCCGGGGGGGCCCTCAGCAAACACCGTCCCCGTGGCGGGACCCTAGCGCCGCCCGTGGCGTCCTCGTGCCTGGCCAGTTGTGTGGCTCAGAGCCGAGCCTCTCTAGCTGCCTGTGGGATGACTCACTGCCAGGCACCACGGGGGGACTGAGCACCGGGCATGAGCCTGCCTCTCAGGAATCCGGCCCGGCTGGGAGAGCAGGCCAGGCCAGTGGAGCCAACGTGCGCTCCGCGGAGAGAGGAGCAGGCCCAGTTCTTCTCCAGAAGGGCAGGGCCAGGCCAGGGGCCTGCTCCTCCCTCCCAGGGAGTGTTCTGCATCAGCGGCCACAGGCATCACCTGGGAGCTTCTTCCAGATGCTGGAGGTCGTGGGCCGTGAGCCTGGCCAGACGGGCACGGGCACCCGGTCCAGGCGACTCCTGCACCGTGCATGCAAGTGTTGTTTTTGGGTGATTCTTTGGGGCCACACCCAGGGGAGCTCAGGGCTCACTCCTAGCTCTGCACTCAGGAATCACTCCTGGCAGTGCTCTGGGGGCCCCTAGGGGATGCCGGGGATCGAACCTGGGTCGGTCATGTAAGGCAAGTGCCCTGCCCACTGCACTATCTCTGCAGCCCCAAGTTTGGTAAGCACTCGGCTGGCATCCCCAGGGCCGGGGTTGAGGCCAGCCCACAGGCTGAGGTCATTGGCACTGTCACTAAGGTCCTCGAGACCCCCCACCGTGAAGGCACGCCCATTTGTCCCCACCTGCTTGGGGCAGAAGACCAAATATTCCTTGGCGATGCAGACCAGGAAGAGGGGGTTCAGCTTCTCCAGGTAGTCGGGGCCCAGCGGGAGGCCCTGCATGTTGGAGAAGTGCAGCTCCACGGCCTCCTTCAGCAGCATCCGGGCCTCCTGCGCCCCCTTGTGCTGCTTGCACATCAGGAGGGCCTGCAGGAAGACCAGCACCTGCGGGGCAGCCAGGGCAGGGGGTGGGGGAGAGGCGCTGGAGCCTGGGGCAAGGCACCCCCTGAGGAGGGAGGGTAGAGGACACAGTCCTGGGGTGCCCCCTCCCATCCCCCTAGAGGGTGCTGACCTCAGACTTGCCCAGAGACTGCTGCACCTCCTTTAAGAACTCCAGCTGGTGCTCTGCCTCCTCCAGGTGGCCCTCCAAGATCTGGCACCAGATGATCCCTGTGGGCGGCAACGGAATCCCCAGGCTGAGCAGCCAAGGAAGATGGGTGTGAAGGGGGTCTCAGGAAAGGGAGGGGGGTGTCTCAGGGAGGAGACCTGACCATTTCATAGACTGAGCTCAATTCCCAAGGCGACAGAGGGCTGACTAGCAGTCTCGGGTTTGGGCTCTGAATCTAATCTGTCTCTTGAGATACCCACTGAGAATAATGGGACCGATTCCTTCAAACCTCCTAAGCATTTTGTTTTGTTTTGTTTTTCCCTTTGAACTCTTGGGCCACACCCGAGTATGATCAGGTGGTCACACATGGTGAACAAGGATGTTTTTCTTTCTTTCTTTCTTTCTTTCTTTTTTTTTTTTTTTGCTTTTTGGGTCACACCTGGCGATGCTCAGGGGTTACTCCTGACGGTGCTTGGGGGACCACTGGGATGCTGGGAATGGAACCCGGTCGGCTGCATGCAAGGCAAACGCTATTCCTGCTGTACTGTTACTCCAGCCCCATAGTGAGCAGGATGGAATCCAGCATGCAATTCTTATTCTCCAGCCCTCTGAGTCTCTGATTGATATATATATATATATATATGTATATATATATTTTTTCCCCCTTCTATTGTATTGTTCTGCCATGCAAAGCAGGGCAGCCAGTCCAGGGTCTCCCATATATGAGAAATGCACTCCCCCCCCCCCCCCAAGCCACTCTCAGGACCCTGCTTCTAAGCATTCCCGTGAGATTCTTCACACAAGTCTCTTCCACCCTCTTTAATGATGCAGCATTCCACTGTGAGGGCAACTGCTGAAGCACTGTACTCGGCTCACTTCACCTTTTTTTTTTTTTTGCTTTTTGGGTCACACCTTGCGATACACAGGGGTTACTCCTAGCTCTGCACTCAGGAGTTACTCCTGGCGGTGCTCAGGGGACCATATGGGATGCTGGGAATCGAACCCGGGTCGGCCGTGTGCAAGGCAAACGCCCTACCCGCTGTGCTATCTCTCCAGCCCCTCACTTCACCTTTTGCTTTCAAAGTTGAAATACCATGCCATGGGGAACAGGTTCTAATTCCTGAAGAAGAGCTGAGGGGTCGAAGGGCATGCACACCTCAAATGTGATGGATCCACTGTCCACCTAGCGGCCTCTGAGATAGCTTTGCAAGAGGTGGAACAGTGTCCCTTCCCCACAGCCACGGAGACTGGCCTTTGCTCTGCCAGGATGAAATATGAGGTGTCACATATTTTCAAGTTACAGGGTTTTTGTATGTGTTTTTGGGCCAGACCCAGTGGTACTCAGGGCAGACTCCTGGCTCTGCACTCAGGGATCACGCCTGGCGGAGCTCAGGGAACCACATCAAGTGTCAGGGATGGAACCTGGGTCAGTCACGTGCAAGGCAAGCGCCCCTACCCGCTGTCCTTTCTCTCTGAATTTATGTTTTTATGTTTTCCCTCAATTTATGTTTTTAAAAATTAGGAAGCAGGTGCTCCTCCTAACACTTATACTGGTCTTCTGGGAGTTTCCTATTCATGATTTTGCAAGGCATTCTTTTGGGATAACTTGGTTTATATGAACCCTTTATTGCAGACCTTCCGTTAATTTGCCATTTATTGTTTAACTATCTTCACAATGTCCTACTCACTTATTACATCTTTAGTCTTTGATCCCTGGCACTGCATGATCCTCTGAGCACTATGAACGAAAGCCAAGACCAGCGAAGTTCACATAGAAGCTTGAGAAAATACCTAGGAACGTCCTGGGCACTTGACAGATATTTTTTAGGGCTTGATCCCCAGGTGTGACCCCAAACTAAAAAAAAAAATAAAAGGAAGTTCACATAGTCTGGTTGGTAAAATATTTTACTTTGCAATGTCTGAATTTGGAGTCATAGTTAAGAATCCCCAAATTATTTTTTTTCCTTAAATACGTAATCTGGAATTCTTTTTCAAAATTTTGCTTTTTTTGGGTCACACCTGACTATTCCCAGGGTTTATTTCTGACTCTGAGCTTAGGTGCTCATTTTTGGTGCCGGGGATCTAATTCGGGTCAGTTACATGCAAGGCAAGCACCCTACATGCTGTACTATACTATCTCCCCAGCCTTTATCTGAAATTTTATTTTGAGTGCAGTATGACATAGGGACTTGCCTTTATTTCTTGTCGGTTGGCAGGTTTCAATCATGAGTTATAACAATCTATTTTTTGAAATGCCATCTTTATCATAAGACCTATTTCTGTCCTATTTGCCTATTTCAGCTTTAATCCCAATTGACCCAGCTACTGCTGTTTTAGGATATATTTTGTTGTTGAGAGGTCATACATTTGTCCTTATTTTAATACAAATTTATTATTATTATCACTATTTTAAATTTTTGCTTGTTTGGGGGTTACTCCTGGCAATGTTCAGGGGTTACTCCTGGCAATGCTCAGGGGTTACTTCTGACTCTGCACTCTGAAATTACTCCTGGTAGAGCTCAGGGGACCTTATGGGATGCTGGGGATTCAATCTGTGTTGGCTGCGTGCAAGGCAAACCCCCTACCCACTGTACTATGGCTGCAGCCAGGTCTGCTCCGTTTTTTGATCTTCTATCGCTGCCACTGGAATCCATAACTGCTTGGCACGTCTGTCCATGGATTGGCTGCCATCTATTTCATCTTTTTGTATTGGGACCACACCCAGTAGGGCTCAGGGACTCCTTTTTTTTTTTTTTCTCTTTGGGTCACACCCAGTGATGCTCAGCGGTGACTCCTGGCTCTGCACTCAGGAATTATTCCTGGCTGTGCTCAGGGGACCATATGGGATGCCAGGGATTGAAGCCAGGTTGGCCACACGCAAGGCAAATGCCCTACCCCTTATGCTATTGCTCCGGTCCCTCAGTGACTACTCTTGGAGGCCAGCAGGGTTGGGGGGGAGTAGCAGAGGCTTCAGCCCCTTGAGCTACCTCCCTGCCCCTCTGTCTTTGAGAACTGTGAAGCTCTTCCCTTCGGGGTCTGTTGCAGGCACCTTTCCTGTTTCTAGGCCAGTGGCTTCATCCCTTCCCATTGTTTTGTGGGATCCAGGGTCAGAGGAAGCAGAAAGGGCTGGGAGTCAGCGTGGTTTCCAGGTCACCCTGGACAAGCGGTTCTGCACTGACGGGGACCTGTGAGCACAGGACAGCGAGAGCTTCTCTGCAGACACCCACCAAGGGGGCTTGTAGGCAGCTCCGGGGTCGAAGCACACGCTCTGCATGCAGGGGACCCAGGTTTGATCCCGAGAGCCCCACGGTCCCCTGAGTGGTCCCTGAGCAATGAGCTGGCGGTGACCTCTGAGTGTGGGTAGGTGTGGCCCCAAAACAAAGAACAGAGGCGCCCCTCAGAGCCAGGGTCCGAGGCCCCCTAGCCTTGAGCACCAGTCCAGATAGGCTCCTCAACCCAAAGTAAGCTTGGCTAGTTCAGCATTCAGCAGCAACCACAGAATTGAGGTGGTGTTTGTGTGTGTGTGTGGTGGTGGTGGTGGTGGTGGGGTTGTTTGTTTGTTTTGTTTTTAAGATACATGGAGAATAAAAATTGGGGAGCTAGGGAGAGCGCCCAGAGAGCTGGAGCACATACTCTGTAGGCAGTAGCCCCAACTCAATATTATGTCACATGGTCTCCCAAACTCTGGGAGAACCCCACCCCCACCCCCCACAAACAAACAAAAACCCAGTCTCTAGAAAGTTCCCACTGTGGTGTGGGGTCAGGGGCACCTGGGGCCACTGAGTCACAGGCAGTGAAGCAGGGTCCCGGGCGGGGGACCCCTAACCAGGGCTCCCAATGGGGCACCAGGTAGGCTGCCCCCCAGCTAGGGCTGGAGATGGGGGGGCTGCTGAGAAGCCCTGGGCCCCTGACCTCCATCCCCGTGACTCCGTGGAAGGTCATCCCCAAATGTCCACCCCCTTGGGGCCCACAGGGACCTGTCAGCACTGTCACATTGCTCTCCTCCAGCTTCATGGCCTCCTTGTACCACAGTCGCGCCTCCTTCACCTGGCCGTGCAGGATGTAGAGGTAGCCCAGCTCCGTGGCCGCCTGGGCGAAGGATGACGTGGTCATGAAGGTACGTTCCAGGAAGCTGCACACCTGCTGCAGGACCGCCTGCTGCCTGCCACACTGCAGAGCGACAGCCAGACCCGGAGACCGTCAGCCGGGCCTGCCCGCCCGGAGGGGTCAGGAACATCAGAAGTGGGCATGGGGTGGGCTAGGCTGGGCTGGGGGGCCCAGCGGGTAGCTCCTGTCCTGGTGGTCAGCAGGGAGCATGATCCAGCAACCATAATTCTGCAAATCCCCTCCAGCTGCATCCCTGCAACCCTCTCAAGCTACATCCCTGCAATCCCCTCCAGCGACATACCTGCAACCCCCTCCAGAGACATTCCTGCAACACCACTCCAGCTATATCCCTGCAACCCCCTCCAGCCACTTCCCTGCAACCCCCCTCTCTAGCTACTTCCCTGCAACACCACCTCCAGCTACATCCCTGAAAGCCACCTCCAGCTACATCCCTGCAGCCCCCTCCAGCGACATCCCTGCAAACTCCTCCAGCTACATTCCTGCAACACCCTCCAACTACATTCCTACAACACCACTCCAGGGACATCCCTGCAAACCCCCTCCAACCACATCCCTGCAACCCCCCTCTCTAGCTACATCCCTGCAACACCACTCCAGCGACATCCCTGCAACCCACCTTCAATCACATCCCTGCAACCCCCTCTAGCTACATCCTTGCAAACTGCCTTGCAGGATTAAAGGTGCCCCACCCCCACCTCCAGGTCTTTCAAACGCTGAAGGAGCTGGTAGGTGGGTGGGTCCTTGTGTCCCAAAAGGAGCTGTGGCCCAGAAGGCCAAACCGCTGCATCCCCTACTGTGGTGCGGAGAAGAGGAAGGGGAGTTCTGACACAGACTGGTGTGGGGGGGGGGGGGGAGGGGGAAGAGCATCCTACTGCTGGTTCTAGTAAGAACCTGCGTGGGGACTGAAAGGGCAGGCAGTCCGCAGGGCTGGCACCCCTTCGCAGGTCTGAGGGTGAAGCCAGCAGCCTTGGGCAGGGAGTGGACTGCAGGTGGGGGTGGGATGGGGTGCGTGGGGCGGCTGAGCCATGTGATACTGCCGGGTGGGGCAGTGCTCACCCAGGAAGCACGAGAAGCCAGGACAGAAACTCACCAGTCGACTGACCACAAGGATCTTTTTGAGATAGAGGTGCGGGTTCTGAGGCTCTCTGGTCTCCAACGCCTTGATCAGATTTCTGATGAGCCGAGCAGACTGCAGGACAGAGAGAGAGAGAGAGGAGGAGGCGCTAAGGCAAGGGGGTGCGAGGTCCCCAGCCTGGCTGCCCTGCACAGAACAATATTCATTCTTTCCTTCTGCTTTGGGAGCCACTCCTGGTGATGCTCAGGGGATCATCATGCGGGGGAGGGGTGAGGTGGGGGTGCTGGAGCATGAAGCCCGGCGTCGGGCATGCAAAACGTGTGCTCAGTCCCCTGTGCTGCTGTCTCCAGCCTTGGCGACCAGAGAAGGAGAACCCGTGCGGCCCACAGTTCAGGGGACCCAGACTTCATGGGGCTTGGCTGGACCCAGGAAAACTTCTCAAGCATCTTCCGGAGTGTTGCCCACCCGCGGCTGGCCCCGCCCCAGGTGTTCCTGAATTTGTGCCGGGAGGCCCGGGGTTGCTGTGCACACACGGGCCCACTAGGGGGCAGTCAGGAGCCTTCACTTTGCCTGAGGGCCGAATGGGGGGCAGCACCCAGGCCACCGCCACCCTTTTGGCGCCTCCCCAACTCTCTGGCGAATCGAGTCTCTCCAAGTCTCGGCACCTCCCAGAGTTCTCCCCAGCAGACGGTAGCGGGTGAGGAAGGCTGGGTGATTCGTCCACAGCCACCCAGCCAACAGAGGGGTGCTGGCAACCAAGGCTCGGAGCTTGCCCCTGAGCCCCTGCCCAGCAGAGGGGTGCCCAGAGGGAACCCGGGGGGGGGTCCTCCGCTCGGAAAGTGCTGGGTGGGGGGGATGGAGACACAGTACAGGGCTCTCCCCCTTCCCTGGCACGCCATGGTCCCCATCGCTCCATCCTCCCTGAGCGGTAGCTGGAGTGATGCCCACAGAGCTGGAAGTAGCACCGCCAAGGATGCCCACTTCTTCCTCCTCAATCCAAGCGAAGAAAAAAAAAAGATCAGGGCTGGGAAGGGGTTGAGGTAGCGCCAAGGAGGTGGCATGGGTCACCGTGCTGAGCTCTCCCGAGGCCTGGAGAGCCTCATGACTCCAGGCCCTGGCGTGGAGCTGGGGTCCCTTTCAGGGGGGCCCCCCCAGAAACGCACAGCTCCCTCTGTTTCACACAGCCCCCCCCCCCCCCAGTCTCTAGGAGCTTCCTCATCCCACTTGGAACCCTTCAGAGACGCTATTATCTGCACGCCGCGGACACAGTCCTGACCCCAGAGCCGGGCTGGACACAGGAACAGTGTGTCTGGGGCGTGGAGGCAGGGGCTGGTCCCTGGGGCAGCACTGTGGGACGCCTGAGCACAGATGGGGAGTGGTCTCCCTCCTTCCTCCCCACCCCAGCGTGGTGCCACTCTAACAAAAAGAAAGACTCTGCCTGGGCATGGAGGGTCCACTGAGAGTTCCCAGTGCTCCCTGCTGCACTGCGGCTGGTCTTGGCCTCTGGCAGGACCAAGTCGGGGGTCCCCAGGGGCCACCGGCAGCACAGATCAGCGCAGCCGTTCCGGCCATCACAGGGCCACTGGGACGGGAGCAGGCAGGCGGCGTGTCACAGGCACTGGGTGCGGGGCCTGGCACCGTCCAAGCTCCTTCCCAGGGCAGCTCCCTCCATCCCTGTCGTCACAGTACCCCGTGGGAAGGCGGTGGGACCCCGGCAGGACATGAGGAGAGGACCCAGGCTGTCCCCGGTGGGTGGAGGCTGTCCCGGGCACACGGAAGCTTCGGGGATCAGACTCCTGCTTGCTGCGGGCCTCCTCGGAACTGCAGGCTCAGAGCACCCCCACATGGGCGGGCTCAGGGGCTGAGATGCCAGGCAGGACCCGCGAGGCCCCCCACGGGCACCCAGGAACTCACCAAAGCCGTGTCGCCCTCTCTGGCCAGCGCGTGCAGCGCCAGGGTCTGGCAGGCGTCGATGTTGCTCTCGTCCTTCTCCAGGATTCTGGGTAGCAGAAAGAGGAACCCCGTGAGTACAGAGTGATCCCCCCACCACCCCGGCCCTGAGACTGGGAGGGCGGGCTGGCCCCTCCTTGCTTCTCTGGGGGGGCGGGGAATGTCGGGGGGGGGGGGGGGGGGGAGGAGCTGCTCCCAGAGCGAAGCCCAGCTTCCCAGCAGCCTGAATGTGGCCAGGCCTGGAAGGGTCCCCGAAGAGAGTGGGGGGGGCGTGTGACGCCCACCCAGGAGCCTTCCTTGTCGCTCAGCCCCAGACTGCTGTCTGCTCTCCTGGGGCGGGGGAGGGGGACGCAGCTCCAGAAAGTGAGACCAGGGTCCAGGACCCACATGGGGGTCACACATGGGGGTTACTCCTCCCCCACCAAGAAGCAGCCTTCTCTGCTGTCACCTCTTGAGTGCCCGTGACAGATATTGTGAAGGGTCCGGCTCCCACAAATGTCCATGGAGAAAGTGAAGGGGCATGTCTGGGTGGGCAGAGAGGAGCTTGGGGGTCTGAGGTTGCGAATGGCGGGGGGCGGGGGCAGGGTGGGGTGTGAGCCACGGATGCCTGTTATATGCTATAGGGAAACACATGGCTTCTGTGCAGGCTGGCGGAGTTCAGTAGTTCGTGTCTCTGCAGGAAGCTCAGCCCCTCTCAGCCTGCGGGGCCAGTGCCCATCGACAGAAAAGGGGGTCACTCTGCCTACGGTCAACTCCTGCACATCAAGGTGGTGCCCACGGAGCTCTGGCCACGGCTGAGGTCTGGATGCTCTGACCTCTCATCCATTTTGGGGGCTTTTGAATCATCATGCTGGGGGCGTCAGACAATTGTTGGTGCCCAAGGATTCGGAAAACACCCCGTCTGGAGAGGTGCGCTGGGCTGTTCCCAGCTGGACAGCCGCTGAGCTGAAGACCCCACGGGTGAAGCAGGCTTCTAGCTGGGGGCTCCAAGCCTGCGCCCACCGCAGCAGGCCAGCAAGGCAGCCATCGGGAGGACGAGCAGATAGGTGAGAGGAAGCGACAGTGGGGAGCGTGCAGCGTGGACAGAGAAAAGGCTCAAGTGTGGAGTCCTGGCCGGGCACAACTGAGGCCCAGAGGCCCCTTCCTGGCCCCTCAGGCGCCCTGATGAGAACCTGGAGGGACCCCTATGAATACGTCTTTTTTTTTTCTTTTGGGGTCACAGTCAGCAATGCTCAGAGGTTAGTCCTGGCTCTGCACTCAGGAATTACTCCTGGTGGTGCTCGGGGGACCATACGGGATGCTGGGGATTGAACCTGGGTTGGCCGCGTGCAAGGCAAACGCCCTACCTGCTGTGCTATTGCTCCAGCCCCTGAATACAGCTTTTTATAGGGGTTTGAGAGACTCAGTGATGCAGGAGTCCCCCAACCTGAGCCCACCCTCCCCTATCAGGCTCACTCTCGGGCACTTCCTGTCACAGTCTGAACACACAGTCTGAACACAGGCTCCTGCAGCGACACTGGCAATATCCGATGGCCAGTCCTCAGCGTTCTGGGGAACGGCCATCTCCCTCCATCTGGTCCCAATACAGCCTTGGTATCTCCTAGCCAGCTGCCCCCCTCCCCCCACCCCCAGCCCCTACTTGTCACCCTGGGCTCTGGAGGCATCAGGTGGCCCTGCCCTTACCTGTTGGCGGTCTCCATGGCCTGCTCCCAGTCCTGCTGTGCCAGGAACAGCCTCATCTTCAAGACCAGGGCAGGCAGGAAGGCCCCCGAGGCCACGGTGATCTGGTTCACCACCTCCAGGGCTCCCGTGTAGTTCTGCTGCATCAGGAAGTAGGTCGCCTGCCCGGAGTTGGAGAAGAGGCCATTGGTGGACGGGAGTTGGGACCGAATCTTGCAACCCGCATGTGGGCACTTGCGGGCCCCTCAGCTGGGTCAGGGGGGCCTACTGGGTCCAGGGGCTCCTGGGGCCCGGCTAGGTGACGATGGGGAGTTCTGAGGGCCTGGCGGAGAGAGGGCGGGGAAGCTGGGCACTGCCCAGGGCTGCCCCCTCTCCTCCCCACTCCTCCCTCTGCACTGCCTGGGCCCAGGGTAGTGCTTGGAAGAACCTACATGAGCTGGAGGGGCCGTCTGCGCCTCTGTGGACAGTGGGCCATCTGGGGGTCGGACACAGAGGTGGGCTGGGCTCTCTGCTCCCCCAACACAGAACCTCTCCCTCCAGGCCATGGTCTCAGGAGGCCCATGGGCCAGCTGGGAACCCTTGGGGTCCCTCCTCGGGGTGCAGGGCTGAAGGGCACTGCACTGCCAGTCACACCACTGGGGTGACCACCTCAGCACCTACAGTGCAGACTCCCGTGGGGACACCACAGAGTTCCCCCGGGGCTGGGCTTGGGTCACCTCCCACCTGACCCTGCTGTCTCCCCTTTCTCTGGGGCATTCCCTCCTCTTGCCCATGGCCTGCCAACTTACTAGGGGCCTACTTGGGGCCCCGTGAGCAGGTTGGGGGCCTGGCTGGGCTGAGCTGGGGCTTGGGGAGCATGGGGCATGGAGAGCACTTGTCTCGGGGCTCCAACTGCTCTGGGCAGCTGGGAACTCTCGGGGTTCTTTCCCAGAACCTCCCTTTATCCCCCAGCCCCACCAGAGAGAGGACCAGGAGCCTCTCCTGAGTAACAGGGAGCATATACTGGCTGGAAATTCATCTTGGGAGACTTTCAGAGGTTTTTTTTTTTTTTTTTTTTTGCTTTTTGAGTCACACCCAGTGATGCACAGGGGTTACTCCTGGTTCATGCACTCAGGTATTACTCCTGGCGGTACTGGAGGGACCATATGGGACGCTGGGAATCGAACTGACCCAGTTGGCCATGTGCAAGGCAAACACCCTACCCGCTGTGCCATCGCTACAGCGCAATCTCTCTCTCTCTCTCTCTCTCTCTCTCTCTCTCTCTCTCTCTCTCTCTCTTTAACATGAGCACAGACTCCTAAAGAGATTTTTAGGGACGCAAACCTGAGAGAATTTTATTCTCTCATAGTTCTCTCATAGCATGATCATAGAACCATAAAGTCAAATAATGGGTTGGGGGGTGCCTTAGCCAGAGGGTGGGACATGCATGAAGACCAGATGAGTTAGTCAGGGGACCTTCTCCAGGGGTGGGTCAGGCCCCCCCCCCCCCCGCTGCCCACCTTCCCCATCATCCCCAGCACATCTTTGTTGTCCTGGATCCCCTGCTCCAGGTACTTAATGGATTTCTTCACCATGTGGGGCTCGCCGCACGTGAGGTCCACCCAGCCTCTGAGCACATAGCCCTGGAGGAGAAAGCCAGAGAGAGAGATGAAGGGATCCCTGCTCCCCACACCCAAAGAGCACGGGGAGGCCCTGCCTAGCCCAGCCTTGCCCCTGCAGACACCGAGACTTGAGACTCGGACGGGCACAAATCTTAGCGAGCTCAGAGCAGGCCTGCATCCTCACTGCCTTCTCCTCCACTATCCCCTTCACAGTGCAGACCCCAAAGGAATCCCCCCTCACCACAGCAATGACAGTGAGCCTTAAAAACTCCAGCCATGGGGGCTGGAGAGATAGCACCATGGGTAGGGTGTTAGTCTTGCACGTGGCCAACCTGGGTTCAATTCCCAGCATCCCATATGGTCCCCTGAGCAGCGCCAGGAGTAACTCCTGAGTGCAGAGTCAGAAGTAACCCCTGTGCATCACCTGGTGTGACCCAAAAAAAGAAAAAAAAAACTCCAGCCATGGGACTGGAGCAATAGCACAGTGGGTAGGGCATTTGCCTTGCACACGGCTGACTCGGGTTCAATTCCCAGTATCCCATATGGTCCCCTAAGCACTGCCAAGGGTAATTCCTGAGTGCAGAGCCAGGAGCCACCCCCGTGCATCGCTGGGTGTGACCCAAAAAGCAATAAATAAATAAATAAAGCAAAACAAACAAACAAACTCCAGCCATGAGTGAATAAAGAAGTTGTGGTACACAATGGAAGACTATGCAGCCACGAGAAAAATTGTCACGCTCTTCAAGGCTGGGGTGTGGGGGGGAGGGAATCAGAGGGGATGGCGCTGAGCAGAAGGGCCAGTACAGCATGGTGTCACTCCTCTGCAGCATGGGCAGATAAAGGGACGAAGGGTGTGGACAGTCTCCATCACAGTCAGCCCTGCATAGTGGCACATAGCCCCGGGCGCGAGGTGCAGGGAGGGCGTCAGGGGAAACAAGAAGGGGGAACCAAGAGGTTGGTGGGAGTAAGAGAAACACAGGGGCTAAGGGGGATCAGGGATGCACCAGACAGGGGCTGGAGCGATATTACAGGGGTAGGGTGTTTGTTTGCTTTGCACGCGGTTCCATCCCTGGCATCCCATATAGTCCCCCAAGCACCGCCAGGAGTAATTCCTGAGTGCAGAGCCAGGAGTAACCCCTGAGCATCACTGGGTAGGACCCAAAAAATCACACACACACCACAAAAGATGCACCAGACGATGGGGGCAGGGGTCAGAGGGCAGCAAGGCCAGATAGGAGGTGACATAGGGTGTGTGTGTGGGGGGAAGGTCATAGGCACTTTGGTGGGGGTGGGGTGCAGTAACTTGAACACATCAACACCATAAACTTGAGCACTAGTGTAACCCTGTCACCTGAACCATAATCACATTTTAATAAATAAATAAATAAATAAAACCTTCATCTCAAAGACTTTTCTCCCCTTTATAGGCACCTTCGCTGCCCTTCCACACCGAGTCCAGCACCCTCCCCCCTCAATTTGTCCCAAGTTCTCTTCCCCTATCCGGAGGCCCTCGTGTGAGCCCAGACGGGAGGTGGGAGCCCAGCTCCTGCCCCGTGAGGCCCCTGGTACCTCTCTGAAGCAACTTGAGGACATCTTCAGCGCGCGGTCGATGTACTCCTTGGCCTTGTCGTGGCGGCCCATGAGCCAGAGGAAGAGGCCGGCGTAGTATAGGGCGTTCCCACTGGCAGTTTTGCGCCTCTCCTTCAGGCTGCTCTCCAGCTCCTGAACCGCCTCTCTGTCTGCAAGCATTACGACCCATGTTGCTTTCACCGTTAAGGTTATTTGTTATGATCTGCTATATTATTATAGACTTTCCAACCGTGGACCAATCCTCCTGGCCCTTGTTTTACTGTCCATAAGTGTTAGCCTCATACTATGTTTTTTTTTATTTTTATTTTTTTAATTTTTTGCTTTTTGGGTCACACCTGGTGATGCACAGTGGTTACTCCTGGCTCGGCACTCAGGAGTTACTCCTGGCGGTGCTCAAGGGACCATATGGGATGCTGGGAATCGAACTCGGGTCGGCTGTGTGCAAGGCAAACGCCCTACCCGCTGTGCTATCTCTCCAGCCTGTTTTTGTTTTTTATATCCTATAAATGAGTGTGATCATTCTATGTCTGTTCCTCTCCTTGGTCCATGGTATGGAAGCTTGTCTCAATTGCTCAGGGGAGAAGGCAGTTGGGATAGAGAAGAGACCACTATGACAATGATAGTTGGAAATGATCACTCTGGATAAGAACTGTGTCCTGAAAGTAGGTGAAAAAACATGCATGATAACCTATTTGTATTGTAAACTAAAGTGCCTAAAAGAAGGGTTGGTAGTGGAGGGGTGGTAGTGGAGGGGAGGGAGGGAGAGGAGAGGGGAAAGAGAGAGAGAAAAGGGAGAGAGGGAGGGAGGAAGGAAGGGAGGGAGGGAGAGAGCGAGAGCGAGAGAGAGAGAGAGAGAGAGAGAGAGAGAGAGAGAGAGAGGAGACTGGTGGAGGGGTGGGTGATGGAACATTGTATGACTGAATCCCGATCATGAACAGCTTTGTAACTGTAAAAATATGACTATTATAGAGTTTAAGAAGACATCATCCACATACTGTTGGACAAAGGAAGGGCTAAGAGATTTTTAGTAGTTAGTCCCTCAAAACAGAAAAGCAAACTCATCTGTGCTGGCCGTATAGAGCCCTAAGAGATCCCAGGGTGAATTCCTAACAGACCCCAGGATTCACAACCACCAGTGCTGATACGGGGTGGCAAAGAGCATGCCCTGACCCTGAGCTGTGTAGAGAAAATCTGCTCCTCTGAGAGGTACGGCTGGGATGGAAGTTAAAACTGTTGGCTGAAGTTAAGCCCATTGATGTATGTCTGTAAATCATATTGTTTTAAACATAAGTGGAAACTGTAGTTGATCTTGTATGACCTTGATTGACACTTTGGAGAGTAGTTTTTTGTTTTGTTTTGTTTTAGGGTCACACCTGGCAATGCTCAGGGGTTACTACTGGCTCTACGCTCAGGAATCAATCCTGACAGTCCTCGGGGTACATATGGGATGTCGGGGATTGAACCTGGGTCGGCCGACCGAGTGCAGGAAAAGTGCCCTGCTTGCTGTATTGTCTCTCTGGGCCCTGGAATGTAGTTTTAGAGTATAAATGCAGCATATAAATGCAACCTCAACTTTTGAGTCATTTGTCGAATGGGTTAGAGTCCCCAGCCATCGTGATTTCTCGGCTCAAGACAATGAAACAAACTTAATGTCCTTCTCCCCTTTTGGGTCTCGACTATGACAAATCATGACAAACTCAGGTATGCCACAAATTTCAGAAACGAGGGAGATAAAGAGCTAGGGGAAGAGGTAAGCCTGGTCCTAGATGGGGCCATCCCTGGGCACTCTCCACACTTCGGCTGACGCCCTCCCCCCACCTGGGGCCCAGAATAGAGCCCCTCCCACCCTGCCTCTCTGTCCTGCACCCCCGCCCCCCCCCTGCACCCCCATCCTTGGGGACAGTCCAGGAGCTGCCCAGCCCAGGATGCAGGTCAGGTCACACTTCTCTCTACGCCCAGCAGCACTGAGCAGAGCCCAACCCGGAAACCCAAGACCCCGGTGCATTCTGGGTCAGTGACAGAAGTGCACAGACCTGGGCTCTGTCCCTAGACTAGATGGTGGGCTGGGAGTGGGGGGGCATGGGAGGGTGGAGGGGGGTTGAAGGGCAGCTGTCTGTGGGGCTGATGATGCTTCCTAGTCAGACGCTGACAAAGGAGAGGGTTCCCCACTCCGAGTCTGGAGGGAGGACTCCCTCTGGCATGGTCTCTGCCTGTGGCCCGCCCCCCCCACCTCTACTTGGTCCAGCCACAGAGTGCTCTCAAGGGCTCTGGGTGAGGGAAACAGCAGGGCTGGGCTGTGCCCCGGGACAGACAAGGCCCTGCGCTCACCGACGCTCTCCCAGTGCTTGTGTGCGTAGATGAGGGCCATGGTGCAGCACAGGGTCACGTCGGGGTGATTCCGGATGCTCTCCAGGCTGTTGATGGCCTCTTGGATGTGGTCTGCAGAGACAGCCCCCGACTGGGTGAGACACTGTGGCCCTGGGCCTGGAGTGTGGCGGGGGTTCTTCAGGCACGTGGGAAGACTTCTCTCTGCCCCCTCATTTTACAGAGAGGGACACAGGGGTACAGAGTAGGCCTCCGACCCGCTGGCTGGGGCATCACAGGTTCTACGAGCACCTTTTATTATTGGTTTTTTTTTTTTTTAGCTTTTTGGGTCACACCTGGCGATGCACAATGGTTACTCCTGTCTCTGCACTCAGGAATTATTCCTGGCGGTGCTCAGAGGACCATATGGGATGGTGGGGATGGAACCCGGGTTGGCCGTGTGCAAGGCAAACACCCTATCCGCTGTGCTTATCACTCCAGCCCTTTATGGACACCTTTTAGCAGCACACGGGGTGCCCTGTCCTGCCCGGAGGCATCCTCACCTTCTCTAAGTACTCCGTAGGCTTTGAAGAAGTGTAGCACCGGGTCATTGCTGAACCTCTCCAGGCCCGCAGCTGCAGCCTGCTGCACATGGTGGAAGTACTTCTCCTGGCTGTAGTAGATGACCCCGGCCTGCAGGGAGAAGGCAGAGTTCAGAGTCCCTGGCCCTTCTCTACTCTCCCTGCCTCCTCCCTCTCGGCGTCCCTCTCGCTTCCGCTACGTCGAGAACAGTGAACCTGGGGTCTCATCCTGTGCTTACAGCTTAGTAGGGACTTCTTGCAGTGTCCCTGGGAAGGAGTCTGGAGATTCCCCCCAGATTCTCCTCCTCGCATGAGAGGGAACAGGCGAAGGCCTGATTTAGGCTGGGAAGAGGAGAAGAGGGGCCCAAGAGGGAAAATCCCACCCATAGTTAAGAGCTACAAGTTACATGGGATGCTTCGGGGGAGTGGATCAAGGGCTTCAGTCATTATCTTTCTTTCTATCTAGCCATCCCTCCATTTATTATCTCTATCATCTATCAATACTCTATCCTCTATCAATGTATCTATTATATCTATGTATTATCTGTCATCTTTCTACCTGTCCATTCATACCTCCTGATACTCTGACTTGGGCCATCAGGGACACAGCCGGCAGGCTGGCAGGGGTGTGGAGGGGCATGGATGGAGAGACATAAGGTTCCTGGAATGGATCTCAGGGCTGTATGCCTGCCAGGTTAGTGCTCCACCAGGTGAGCTACATCCTGGCCTCTGTTATCCACCATCTCATGCACTATCAGCTGCATCTCCACACTTAAGGGAGTGGAAATCTACAGAAACTATGACTTGGTAACGGTCTTTCGGTGTGTGTAATGGCTGAAATTTCAAAGGGAAAGTTCACTTCCTGTAAGGCTGATGTCTGCTACTGGGGTGATAATTTTGTGGTCAAAGAGTACACAGCAGGCCTATAGGTAAAAATGCAGATACCAAACTCTTAAGTCATAAGGAGTTGGAACGTTTAATTGCAGACATGCAAGTCTCTCAAAATCGACTCGGGCTGTGTGTGTGAGCCTCTGTGTGTCTGTGTGTCTGTGGGGGTGTGTGTTGGGGGTAGTGAGGGGAATGACAATTAATTGGTGGTAATGGTGGTGGTGGTGGTGGCGGTGGTGGGTGGCTTTTGTGGTGGTGATGATGGTAGTGTTAAGTAGTGGGGGTGGGAGTGGTGAATGGTGAGTGGTGGGTGGTGAGGGTAGTGGTGGTGATTGGGTGATGGTGAGTAGTAAGTGGTGGGTGGGTATTTGTAGTGGTGGGTGGTTATGGGTGGCAGTTGTGATGGTGGTGAGTGGTGGTGGTGAGTGGAGGGTGGTATTCGTAGTGGTGATGATGGCAGTGTTAAGTAGTGGTGGTGGTGGTGAGGAGTGGTGAGTGGTATTGGAAGTGGTGGTGGTGTGTGGTATTGAAGTGGTGGTGGTGTGTGGTACTGGAAGTGGTGGTGGTGGGTGTGTGGCAGACAGAACTGAAGTCAGGAAGCAGTGGGGGAAAAGATTGTAGCAGGTGTCCAGGATAGATGGCATTCCTAGATGCAATGAAAAGAAATGGGAGGGGGCTGGAGCAATAGCACAGTGGGTAGGGCGTTTGCCTTGCACTCGGCCGACCCAGGTTCAATTCCCAGCATCCCATATGGTCCCCTGAGCACTGTCAGGAGTGATTCCTGAGTGCAAAGCCAGGAGTAACCCCTGGGCATCGCTGGGTGTGACCCAAAAAGAAAAAGAAAAAAAAAGAAAAGAAATGGGAGACTCAGGACACAGGAGCTGACTTACTGGCTGAGATATGGGCAGAAGGGGCAAGACCACCCTCTCCGCCAACATCAGAATAAGGAGGATAAAGTGGGGGAAAGAAGTGGAGACGTTGTAGTGGGGTAACAGTTTGCCTTGCATGGGGCAGACCCAGTTTGATCTCCAGCATAACGTCTGACTATGGCCAGGAATGATCCCTGAGCACAAAGCTGGAAGTTAAACCCTGAGCACCGCAGGGTGGTGGGCTTTCCCAGTCCTTAAAGAAGGGGCCAGAGAGAGACAGATCCCTGTGCACGTGATTCCCGGCATCGCAAATGTTCCTCAGCAAGACCCCTGAGCACAGAGCCAGTAGTAGCACCTGAGAATCGCCTGATGTGGCCCCAACCCACGCCAGTCAGCCAAAGAGGGGTAGCAGTGGACAGCGGGAGCGGTCAGAGCAGAAGCGCGGGCCAGGAGGGGGTGGAGGGAGGAGCCAGCGGCCAGTCGGGGGGTTGGGGTGGCGGCGGGGGGGACACGCACCATAAGGGAGGAGGAGTCATCGCTGGCCATGTCGGGTGTGTGTGTGTGTGTGTGTGGAGCTGAGGCGCCAGGCACAGGATGCTCCGGGTCAGGAACCGGACACGCCTCCTGCGGCCGGCCGCAGTTGGAGGCGCGCGCGTCCTTGACAACGGGGCGGCCGGCTGGTTGCCAAGCGCGTCACAGCCGGGGGCGGGGCCAGGGTGCACGTGACCAGACCTGGCTAATCTAGCGCCGAGTCGGAGCTGGGGGCGCGGGGAGGAGGGTCTGCGCGGGGCTCCGGGGGGCGCGGGCAGGTGCTATGGGGCTGGGCGCCAGCGCCGAGCTGCCCGCGGGCGGCGACGAGGGCTTCCACCTGCACGGGGTGAGTTCCCGCGACTGGGGCGGGAGCCCGTGGCGCGGCGCGGCGCGGCGCGGCGCGGCGCGGGGGCTTCTGGTCGGGGGGGGGGGGGTTCGCCTTGGGTGGTCGCCCGGGGTGGGTGCTGTCCCCTGCCCTCTCCCTAACCCCGGCTGCTGGGCGCGAGAGGCGATGGCCGGTGCCCGGCTGCGGTGCCAGCTGTGCCGGAAGCCGGAGCCCGTCCAGGGCGGGCGGGCCCGGGGCGTCTGCGAAGCCCCCGAGGAGGGGGCCCCCGGCCCACCCGGTGCGACCCCGCGCGCCCAGGGCCCGCCCACGGTCGCCCACTGTGCTCCTAAGCCCCCGTTAGAGCTCGCGGGACCCGGACTCCGCGGCCCCAGCCCCGCGCTTGGGGCCAGCTGGAAGCGACCCGGGGCCCTGCTGTCCCGGGGTGGCGGGGTGGACACAGAAACAACGCGGTGGGCTCGGAGAGGGTGGGACCAGCCAGGCCAAGTGGCAGAATTGGAGAAGGGGCCAGCGCGCGCCTGGAGACCCCTGGTGGGGGGGGCTGCAGAAGGGGCCGCGGGTGGAAGGTGGGCGAGGAGAGGGGAGGCCGGTCCCTCCAAGAGGGTGAATGCACAGCCTGGGCAGGTCGCGGGGGCCCGGTCCTGAGCCTCAGGCCAGGGCCCCTTAGCCTGGGGGATTTTGTTGCAGGCGCCTGTTGCCGGTGGAGGGGCTGGATGTGTGTGGGGTGAGGTGGGTGCTCTGAGGCCCCCTGTCTCCAGTGGATGCGGGGAGGGGTGTGGTGTGTCCTCGGGGCGGGGGTGGGGGTGGGGGTCTGGCTGTTGGTGTCTGCAGTGGGAAGGGGCTCCAGGGAAGGAAGAGCAGGTGGCCCAGGCCCCGCCGCTGGGAGGGCTGGCCCGGGGGAGGGGTTCCCGGGGCGGGGAGCAGGCGTCGGGGTCGCCCCGTGCAGTCCCACGGCCCACCAGCAGGGGGCTGCGCCTGCCGGCCCCCGCGGACAGAGGCGCGCCGGCCGCAGTGAGGGGACCCAGGGACAGCCACCCGAGACCCTCCCGCCTCCCTCTCAGGGGGATCCGGCCGCATCCTCTCACAGATCAGGAGCTTTTGGGCGCTTGCCCGGCCGCCTGTGTTCTAGGCCCAGAGACCCGGGCCCGTTGCAGAGAGCCACACGTCCCGTTCTCCTGCTGCGTGTTTGCAGGGGATGGGGGGAACAGGGACAAGACAGGAAGCATCCACAGGTGTGCGGCCCGTGATGGCCAGGACTGACCAAGCAGGGTGATGGTGGGTGGATGCTTAGATGGACAGAGCTCAGCTAAGGCCGTCGGCTACTTGGAACGGTTTGTGGGAAGGGAGGAAGACCAGGGGCCTGGGCCTGGGGGATGTGGGGTGGATGTGGCAGAGAAGGCCCTGGAGGGGTGAGCAGGGAGGTGAGGCCGATGTGCCTGCAGGGGGTAGTGGGGGAGGGGAACGATGGTGGAAAGGTGGGTGTTGAAGATGCCCGGATTGAAGGGTTCCAGATGGTATTCAGACAGGTGGAGCCTGGGGGAGCTTTTGAGTGGAGCTGGTCTGTGCCCACTTCACCCTCAGGAAAAGGGGAAAACAGGGGCCGACCCCCCCCCCCCCCCCGCCCCGCCCTGGGAATGGACAGAGAGTAGCTCAACTCTGGGATGGAAGAAGACCCGCCCCTAGGGGGCTTGGTTCGGAGAGGCTCTTGATGGGGCTGAATTTCAGGGGCAGGGGACAGGGATCCGTACCTGGCCCAGTCACTGGGCTCTCCTCTCCTCTCCTTTCTGGCCGGGGGAGCCAGCACCAAAGCTGAGCAGTGGGTGCAGGTCCCCTGGCCCCTGTGGCCCCCCCGCTGTGTCAGCTCCGGCCACTGGCACTGAAGATTGTGAGTGTGGGGCTGCAGGTAGGGTGTGCTAGGAAGCCGCTGATGCAGGCCCAGGTCGTGGACCCCTGAGAGGGTGGGACAGAGGGAGCCGCAGCTTGTGGGTTTGGAGGTGCAGCCGTGTAGATGGTTCATCACTTGCTGGGATCCTGCCAGCCCAGCCCGGGCGCAAGGTGGCATGGCATGGGGGCGCTGCCCCCCACTGAGGGAGGCGGAGCGGCTGGAAGTGCCCCCTGGCAAGAGCAGCACCTCCTCCGCACCCTGGTTCCAGCGCCCGGTGGGGGTTGCTTGTGTTAGTCCCTGGGCTGACTCACGGCACCTAATTGGAGACGCTGCCAGGAGGGAGCCCTTCATGGGGGTGGGGGGGCACCTGGCCTGGAGCCAGAGGCCTCCCCTGGGATGCAAGATTGGAGGGCGGGCAGCGGCACAGGGTCTCCCCTGGAGAGGCACCCAGAGCCCCAGGAACAGGCTATGTCCATGGAAACCTGAGAGGCTCCTCCTGCAGCCTCCCCCACCCCCTGGCCCAGGGACCACTGTGAGTCTTTGGGGAATTGGGAGCATGCTGACGAGGGACATTGGCCATTCGCATTCGTGTCCCTCCCCCCCCCCCCCCCGCCCCCGGCTTGGGGTCTGCGTGCCCCGGCCCTGCTGCTGTCTCACTGCCCCTGTTGGGACACAGCCCGGGCCCATCTCTCCCGGCTGGCTTTTCTTCTTAGCCTGGCTTCCCCTTTCCCACGTGGAGAAGGTGGAGGGGGGTCCCCCCAGCACCGCCACGGGCCTGTGAGCAGCTCTAGGCTGCCCTGCCCTCTCCCGGGAAGTGTCGGGGCGTGTGGTCTGTGGTTGTTGCCCTAAACGGGGCCGAATGCCCCTGTGGGGGGTGTTGACTGGGAAATAGGAGGTTCTCGGCCCGAGAAGGCTGTTCCAGCTGGCGGCGGCGGCGACGGGGAGAGGGCGGTGCAGTGCCAATTGCTTGTTTGGGACTCCCAGCGATTTCTGAAATGGTGTGTGGTAACCGGGTTTTCTGTGCTGGGGACAGGTGCAGGAGAACTCCCCTGCCCAGCAGGCCGGCCTGGAGCCTTACTTTGACTTCATCATCACCATTGGGCACTCGAGGCTGGTGAGCTTCCCTTCTGCCTCTCAGGGTGGTGGTGGTGGTGGTTGTGGTGTGTGTGTGTGTTTGTGTGTGTCGTGTATGTGTGCATGTGCATTGCATACACACAGCTGGTGAGCTCCCTCCTGCCTCTGCATATGTGTGTGTGTGTATGTGTGCGCACACAAAGCTCCCTCCTGCCTCTGCATGTGTGTATGTTGTGTTTGTGCACACATGCACACACACAGCTGGTGAGTTCCCTCCTCCTCTGCATGTGTGTGTGTGTGTGTTTCTCTCCCACGAGAGGCCCAGCCCTGCCCCGTCCTCCTGGAGGGAGGCCCACCCTCCCATTCCCCCAGGGCTGCCCTCCCAGCCCAGCCCTTCAGCCCTTGTGTTCCCTGCGATGGCACCTCAGGGGTTGGCCTCTGGCGCCAGGGCAGGCTTTGGGCTCTGCCCACTCGGGACTGGTTCTGACCCGGAATGGTGCTGGCAGCTTGCAGAGGGAGGCAAGTTGTGCCTGACCACCGGGGCTGCAGGCCATGGACCGGCGTCCAGCCTTGGCTCCGGCTCATCCCTGCTCTGGACCCTGCTGGCGTGTGGGTGGGGGTGGGTGGGGTGCCCCCCACCAAGACTGGCGTTATGGATGTGCTGGGAGTGCCAGCTGTGCCACCCTGCCCTGTAGAACAAGGAGAATGACACCCTGAAGGCTCTGCTGAAGGCCAACGTGGAGAAGCCTGTGAAGCTGGAGGTGTTCAACATGAAGACCATGCGGGTGCGCGAGGTGGAGGTGGTGCCCAGCAATATGTGGGGTGGCCAGGGCCTGCTGGGCGCCAGTGTCCGCTTCTGCAGCTTCCGAGGGGCCAGCGAGCATGTGTGGCACGTGCTGGTGAGTGGACAGGGGCCGGGGGCATGGCTTTTTCTTGGTCTGGGGACTCCTAAGGGGGCCAGGTCCCCGGAACAGGGTTACCCTGCTATTAGTCTTCACCTTGACGAACCCCGGCCCCTCACTCTCTCACTTCCCGGAGGCACATCTCAACCTTGTCAGCGTGCCTCAGTTGGCCCACAGGTGAAATGGGAGCTGAGGCGTTTGCCTCTCTTGGGGGAGGGGCTGGGCTGGGCACTGGTTTGTTTTGTTCTGGGCTCGCACCTGGCTGTGCTTAGGGCCTCCTCCCTGCAGTGCTGGGGGACCTTGGCCAGTGCCAGGGCTGCCCTGTGCGGCTCACAGGCTCTCCTGCAGTCCTCAGAGCCATCTCCCTAGCGCCCCCCCCCTTTTTTTAATGTAGGAGTACTACTATTTATTCAGCCATTGACCAAGCTGATTGAATAGGGTATGAACTCGTATTACTTTTTAAAAAAAAAGTCCTTTTTTTAATTGGATATCTGTGAGGTAGACCATTACAAAGCTCTTCATAATTGGGTTTCAATCATACAATATCCAGCACCCGTCCCTCCACCAGTGTACATTTCCCACTGCCAACGTCCCCCGTTTCCCTACCACCCTCCCCCAGCCCCTCGTCCCCCACATCCAGCCTCCCTTTATGGGACACACTTTCTTTCCTGTTCTCTCTCTCTCTGTCCTTTTCCTTTTGTGCATTATGGTTTGCAATTCAGGTGCTAAGCAGTCATGGTGTTTGTTTAGGGCACTGTAGCACTACACGGTCCTCCCATTGTTCATCGATTTGCTCGAGCAGGCCCAGTAACATCTCCATTGTGAGACTTGCTGTTACTGTGTTTGGCATTTCGAATATGCCATGGGGAGCTTGCCAGGTTTTGCCATGTGGGCGAGATACTTTTGGTAGCTTGTCGGACTCTCCAAGAGGGGTGGAGGAATCGAACCTGGCTCGGCCGGGCTGGCCGTGTGCAAGGCAAGTGCCCTACATTGCTCCAGCCCTTGTTTAGGGCATTCAGTATTTTTATCGGGATGGTAAGGCTGGAGTAGCTTTTCAACTGGGTGGCAGCTCTGGGGTGTGGATGTGACTGCTGAGTTCTGGAAGTACAGGGAGGTGGGGGGAGGTAGCACACCCCAACCCCGAGAAAGCCTGGAGATTTCAGTCACAAAACTTGCCTACCCGAATTTTCAGCAGATTATATCTTGGTGAGGTCCGTCCTGAGATGGTGGAGTCAGGCCGGGGGTATGGAGGCAATTTTGGATTGTGGAAGCCAAGTGGCTGCTGGGGACTCTGCTTGGGTGTGCACAGGCCAACCCACCCACCTCTGATTTATCCTGGTCTGTTCAGCCATGCACGGGTCCACGATTAACTGTGGCTTTTGATCTCTTTCAAGATTACGGGTCTCTGAAATAAGGCCAGCAAATGAGCTTGTACAGCTGAACTGGAGGTGGTTTGTGGGCATGGCTCCCACATACCTAACTCTTGGCCATTTAATTTCTTCGTAAACTTGGTCCCAAGTTGTTGGGGTCCGGCCAGAGGCACAGCGGCAATCTTGGGGTATCAGGAAGCCTGAAGGCACCATCAGGCTGCTTGATCCACTCACCCCCACAGGTATAGGTCAACCTATACTTGCTGGAGGCACCCCCCCCCCCCCCCCCCCAGGCCCATGGTTTTAATCCTTCACACGTGCTACTTCAAAATCGCAGTAGCCCAGTAATGACTACATAGCCTGCTAGGTAGGGAAAAATGAGGCTGTGGGGTGAAGCCACCTGTCCTGGGTCACAGCTGTGGTGGTGACTGGGGGCCAGGGGAGGACCAGCTAGGGAGTTCAACTAGGCGGGGACAGTTCCAGGCCACAGTGCTGCCCTCTGCTGGGCGGGCTGGGTGGAGGGGGACAGAATAGAGAGGTAGGAGCTCTCCAGGTCCCCTTCTCCCAGTAAGGAGAGGGGGGTCTCTGGTTCTCCCCGCAGGACGTGGAGCCCTCTTCACCTGCCTCCCTCGCGGGCCTGCGCCCCTACACGGACTACGTGGTGGGCTCGGACCAGATCCTGCAGGAGGTGAAGCGGGCCGGCAGGCGGGCCAGCCGGGTGGGGGGCAGGCACTACCCGGCACATGGGTCTGGCAGAGGGCGCTGGGTTCAGGCGCTTTGTGTCTGCCACAGTCCGAGGACTTCTTTACGCTCATCGAGACCCACGAGGGCAAGCCGCTGAAGCTGCTGGTCTACAACTCCGAGTCCGACTCGTGCCGGGAGGTGACCGTGACTCCCAATGCAGCCTGGGGAGGAGAGGGCAGGTAGCTCATGGGTCCCCGGGGCCGGGGGCGGCAGGAGAGGAAGGGTTGTGTATGGGCGGGGCAGCTCTCTGGAATGAATGTTCTTGGCCTTTGGCAGTTTGGGCTGTGGCATCGGCTATGGGTATCTGCACCGGATCCCAACGCAGCCTCCCAGCTACCACAGGAAGCCGCCTGGGGCCCGGCCGCCTGCTCCCTCACCACCGAGTGGCCCACCACCAGGACCCACCCCTCAGGGTGTTCCTGACCCTCTGAGCCCAGAGTCGGGCTCACGGCAGGATGACTACACAGAGGTACGTGGGGGCCATGTAGCAGCCGGGGAGGAGTGGGGGAGGGGGAAGTCTGGGCAGAGGGGCTGCTCAGGGGTGCGTCTGTGCAGTGCCCCGGAAGCCCCTATGCTTTTCGATCCAGCGGGAGCTGCAGGTGCTGCCTTTGTCCCCTGCCACTTGGGTCTGGACCTGAGGCTGGTGCTCGTGAGGTGACGGAGGCTCAGGGCAGACAGCAAACTGGCCCCGTCTGCCAGTCTGCAGGGGAGCCTGGCCGTGGCTCCCGGGTGGCTGAGCGGGTCGCCGAGTGCCCCCTGGGCTCCGGGCTGATACAGGGGTCCCCGGTGGGCCCAGTGCTCCCTCTGCGTCCTGTCCCAGCGTTTCTGCAGGGGAGGCCAAGCCCCAGGCACGTGTAAGCTGGGCCTTGGGCTGTCAGCGCCCGTCCCGACCGGCCCTCTCTGCCCACTTCTCCCCGGCTCCCGTAGGCTCTGCTGCAGGTCCCTGGCTCCTACCCGGAGGAGCCACTTGCTGAGGCCTGGAGTCCCGTCCACGGCGCTCCAGACCCGGACCCTGCGGCGCCAGCACGTTCTGGGGAGATTCCTCTTCAGCCTCCGCCTCCACTGCAGCGAGTGATGGATCCAGGTAGTGGCCAGTTCAGGCAAGGTGGCTGAGGAAGTGGGCACGGGGGGGATGGGGTGGGGGCAGAAGCAGGCCGCGGCAGGACGGGATGCGGCTGAGACCACCCAGACCTGCTAGGATGTTGCGTCTCACCTGGGCCCCAGTGGTCTCAGGTTCCCCCAGTCAAGTGCGTGGATGGATTGGGGGGGGGGGGGAAGAGTGGTGCAGTGGGTGGAGGGCCCTCGGCCATCAGGCTCCTCCCAGCTGCTCAGGCCCAGGCCCAGGCCCTGGAGGTGGGCTGGGGAAGGGAGCCGCGGGCGCCCTGGCCACGGCCTCCCTGCAGTTGGGCTCGTTCCCCCGTCCCAGGCTTCCTGGATGTGTCGGGCATCGCCCTCCTGGACAATAGCGAAGCCGGGGTCTGGTCTGGCCCGCCGCCCTCTGCGTCGCTCACCTCCACCTCGGGCCCTGAGGAGGTGGGCTCCAGCAGCTCTCACGAGCGAGGAGGTGAGTGGCCGGCGCTTTGGGGTGGCTCCCTTGAGGGGCTGGTACGCTGACCTGCTCTCCCTGGGTGGACCCGGGGGGCTCGGAGGCCACCCTGGCCCGGAGCCCAGGAACCGCCTCAGCCCCCCGCCCTCTGTTCCAGGTGAGGCCACATGGTCGGGGTCGGAGTTTGAGGTCTCCTTCCTGGACAGCCCCGGGGCCCAGGCCCCGCCAGACCACCTGCCTCAGCTGACGCTTCCCGACAGCCTCACCTCGGCGGCGTCCCCAGAGGACGGGCTGTCTGCCGAGCTGCTCGAGGCGCAGGCAGAGGAGGAACCGGCCAGCACAGAGAACGCTGATGCAGAGGTGGCCAGCCAAGCCCGGCTCTCTAGCCCCGAGTAACACACTGGGCTGGGGCACAGCCCCGGACGTTCCCCGTGGCCCCGCGATTCCACTCAGACTTCTGCGCCTTTATGCTGCCTGATTCTGGTTGGGGGAGCTGGGCTCTAGCCAGTCCGTGCGGGATGAGAGGAGATGAAGCATGCTTGGGAGGAGTAGGAGTGGGAGAGGAGAGGCTCTCTGGAAGGACACCTTTGGAAGCAGCTGCTGGGATGGTGCGGGGGTCTCAGCGGGAAGGGAGGAAGGGGTGGTGTGGAGGGTCTCCCTGGCCACACTGCCACAGTGCAGGGGGGGTCTCTCTCTTGCTGCCCTCCCCTGCAAACATGCATCCTATGCCCCTCTCTTTCTTTCCCCCCACCGCGGGCAGGAGAGCTCACCAGCTCCACCGTGGTGGCTTGCGTCTCTCCAGGGGGCAGGGGGGTCTCGAAGTGCTAGGCCCTTTATGCTCCGCCACTTTCTCTCCCAGGCTTACACCCCACAGCCCCCACAGCGACTGCTCTCGGCTCCTACGCTTACACAGCTCGGTCTCTGAATACCCGAGGCAGCCAGCCAGCCTTAGTGGTGAATGGAAGTTGCCGTTTTTAGTTTACTTCCCTAAGTGGACTCCCCAAAGCAGACCGCCCAGCCGAGGGCTGCACAAGCAGGCCTACCCGGCTGGGCCAGGGTGGGAAGGAGCCCTCTGCTCGCCCACGGTCTGGGGGGGTCTGCTGCTCTTACCCTCAGTGCCTTTGGCAGGAAGGGGAGGCTTTGCCCTGGGTGGGGCCCCTCACCCAGAGCACCCTCCACAGCAGAGCCCTCACGTTCCCTCTTCCCTCGCTCACTACACTCAACGCTTGTTGCAAAGACCCACCTCTGCATCCTGACGTGTGATGTTTGCACTTACAAGGAATTCTGAACCCACAGAACCATAGCCTATCACATGACAGCAGGCCCCCAAGGTCGAGGGCACCTCCTACCTCTAGCCCCACAAGTTACCAAAAGCTCCCGTGCAGCTACGAGCAGTGCTGAACTTGTCCTGCAGGGGGCAGTGTCACTGCCCACGGCAGAATTGTCCTGCCCCCTCCCCCCCCCTCCGCTGTGCTCACAGGTGCCATCTAGCACCTCACCCAGATTTGCTACCACCCACGGTGCCCAGCTCTCCCCCCTCTCTCCCTAACCCCCTGCCCCTCCACCCCAATGGGGCAGAAAATAGATATTAATGTCATTTCCAGGGTGAACATGAAGCCAGAAGTTTCTCTTTGCCTCTGTAACCGTGAAGGAATGTGATGAGTGGGGAAAAAAAATAAACGTGTGCTACACTTTGAAATATTTTAACTAAAGCCTTTATTCTATACAACTGTGAATTAACAGGTCTTTATTCTTTTGGCATAGCAGATGGTCAAACTCTCTGGAAGTGACTACTGGTTTGACTGGGGGGAGAAAAATATACAATCATGCTTGGGTGGGCGGTGGAGGGAGGGGCTGGGTCAGCTGAGACCCTCGGATGGAGGGGGCTTGGCCATGGGGCGGAGGGTTCGAGGGCCCATACAGTAGGCACACCCACGGCTGCTCCACGAGGGTGGGGCTGCTGTCGCCACTGAGTCACGACTATTGCTACAAAAACGCGCACCTGATGTGCACTGCTGTATCTGACAGATAGAAAGGGTTCTCGACGAAAAGAAACTGGCTGCTCTCTGCGTAAGGGAGAAAGACTCGCTGGGAATGTGGCATGTCCTTGCTGCCCTCTGCCCAGCGCCACAGGTGGCCGGTCCCTTTCCAAAGGCAGCTGGCAGCAGGGAGGGGCCTGTCTGCAGCCCACTGTGAGATGTGGCCCCTGCCCCCGTCCCAGACTGCTGGACAGGCCACACACCAGCTGGGGAGGGAGGCAATCAGACCGGAAGAAACTGCCCTCTGAAGGCACTTGTGCTCTGGCTTCACGCGGGAGGCCTGTCCGCATCCTTCCAAGAGCTCAGGCCACTGAGCTGCTCTGAATGCAAATGACCTTGGGGAGAACCCAAAGTTTGTTTTTTGTTTTTTTTCTGCCCAAAGTTGGTGCTTATCCCCCGATAAGTCATATACTGTACAAGATCCAAATGATTCTATGAAAGCTTTAGAGTGTTAGAAAGAACAGTGAAAAGAAATCTGAATACAACAACAACAACAACAACAACAAAAACCCTGTATAGAAAACTCTGGAAAAACAAGTATGTATACGCCCTCTCCTGCCAGCTCACAGATACCCTTTCATTTGTATCCCATTGAGTGTCCTGTTTAAACGAAGTCAGAATTTCATCCTGGCCTCAGGTTTCAGTGCAGTTAGGCTGCAGCTCCCCTGAAGCAAAACCCGTGAAGTCAGCTGCCTTCAGAGTGGACACCACAGAACCCCTCATGCCCGCTGCCCAGTCCGGGCACTGCTGAGCAGGAGCCGGGCACACTCTGGGAGCAGTGCCTGGCATCTCACCGGATCTTCCTGATAGAACAGAACACAGCTGAGGGGCAGTCTTAGAAACAAGCCCAGCAATAAAATTTATTGTGAGATGGGCTGGCTCTTGTGCAACAGCAAATCCCTAAAAAAATAACTGCCTTAAACGGTGGAAACACATTTTTTTAATGACAAACTTGGAAAAAAGCCTTCATAGGTCCCGCACGAATGGAATGTACTCTTCAGAAAAGCTGGAGCGTGTGGGCTTAGGGGGACACAGTGACAGAGAGGGCCCTACGAGGAGTCTCTAACAAGTGCTAACAGACAAGAGAGCGGGTCCCCGGGCACAGAAGGAAGCAGAGTCTGCACTGGCCTGTTGTCGCGTCTCTGCACAGCTCACGGGTCCACGCCAGCTTGGGGCTCCTCGCACGCGCGTGCGGCCTCCCTGGGGACAGCTTAATCTACACATGGAGACTGGATTCTATATTACATCTCGATTAGTCACTTGGATTGAGAGAATCTCGGTCCATACCAAACCGGCCGTTAGAAGTCTTGCTCCCGTGGGGGCTCAGTGGGCTTCCTCGGACTACTCTCGGGGGGGCCCCCGAGGAAGGTCAGTCAGTGAATACCCAGGAGCGCTCACACACCCTTCACGTGGATTTCTGACGGTAATGGAGGGTGAGGTCGCCACCGCTCTTCCATATGAAGTGTTTCACTGTTCGGAGGTCCATATTAGGGTCCAGAACCTGAAGAGTAGAACAACAACAACAAAAGTAATAAACGCCCGCCTGTATGGGGGTCTGCCACCTCTACCCCCCAGGTGTAGACAGGAGGGAAACTGGTGGTCTGGGGCTGGGTGCAGGATAGGAGCCCGCCCCAGGCGTACAATGCTTGAGGGGCACGGCTCTAAGACCCTAATTATGAGCACAGAGAGTCTGGCTGGGGACCCGGCTTGTCCGTGTATACAACACACAGATATGACCTGGTGCCCACAGTGCACACTCCTGCCTGGCCCTTCTCGGGAAACTGAGCAAGCCTGCTTCTCCCCAACGCACACCTCCACTGCAGTGGGGCAGGTGCTGCTCTGCACAGCCTGAGCTCGCGTCTCCTGGCCAAAAACATCCCTTTGCCTGTGCACTGAGAACGATTTCCTGAGGATCTCCCCAGCAATAAACGGGAGCTTCAGGGTGGACTGAGGGGCCCTGGAAGGCGCTGGCAGTGGGGAAACCGGGGCATGCTCCTCAAATCCACGTACCTGGTCCTGGCACAGAAGTTCAATTTTCTCCTCTGCTAACAAGGCAATATCCTCCTCTTTTTCCTGTTCTCCTGGTTTTTCGTTATTAGAAGAGCTAGTAGTTTGAGACTCATTATCCAAGTTGATGATTTTCTCATAAACATGTTCCATTACTTTCCGGACCTGCAGCATGTCACTGGCGGAGAGTCTATCTCTGTGAAATGCAAGGGCATATTTTGACATCTGCAAAATCACTGGATGTTATCTTTGAAAAAATTTTTTTTTTTCATTTGCAGCACCATAGTTTAGAATACTGTTCTTGAGAGTGTTTCGTGCATTTATCATTGTAACACCAGTGTCCACTTTCCCCTGCCCACTGTCCCAAGGCCCCCTCAAGCCCCGGCCCCATTTACCCCCTGCCCTTCTGCCACAGTAAGCTCAGTTCTCCTATGCATATTACCTCTCCCACATATGTTGATGCTACATCTGATGAAACATAACCACAGACATAACCAATTATGGGTTTTCACTCACTGCCTTCATCAGTTTTCAGGATTACCAACTGATTTTCCACAGTATCTTCCTATAGTTACAATCAACTAAATGACATTTAAAGCCAAGTTCTTTGTTTGGTATTAGGCCAGGTGTATAGATTAAGTCAGAAATAGGAATTAGGTATATACACAACAGCGTAAGTGGAATAAGATGTGATAGAGCATCCTGCATTCAAAGCTTAACAGAAGAGAAACTTAGTCAACAGAATCACTTGTATTCCCTGCCTCATTGTCACCTGCTCTCCTTCAGATCCCGGTATAATTAGTCTCAGGCACGTCTAACAATTTAGAAAAGGCTGTGAAGCCACAAAAATAGTTCCAAGGATTTGTATTTTTACTTTCTAAATATATAACTATATAAATAAAATGAACACTTGGTCATTAAAACAATGTTCAAATAATCTGAAGCACGAAGAGAATTCTTAGGCTGCAGAGGGCCTGATTGAGTTCTCGGCACTACACTGACCCAGAAACAGTCTGTGTGGGGAAAACTCTGAAGCGGAGAAGCTGGACCATAGAAAAGACTCTTCCTAAGGGATGCATTTTCTGAGTCTCTTCCTACTCTGAAAGCCAAGTCCTTATAGCCTGGAGGGAGGGGGAGAGGGGGAAGAAGGAGGGGGGAGAGGGAGGGAGGAAGGGGGAGAGGGAGGGAGGGAGGGGGGAGAAGGGGGGAGAGAGAGAGAGGAAGGGGGAGAGGGAGGGAGGGAGGGGGGAGAAGGGGGGAGAGAGAGAGAGAGAGAGAGAGATGAGAGGGAGATTGAAGGAGGGAGGGAGAGAAAGGGGGGAAGAGAGAGAGAGAGGAGAGGAGAGAAAGAGAGAGAGGGAGGAGGAGAGAGGAGAGGGAGAGGGGGAGAGAGGAGAGAGGAGAGGAGAGAGGGAGAGAGGAGAGAGGGAGCGAGCAGCCTGGGCGTGACTCCCAGAGCACAGGCAGGCAGACCTCACACGTGCCCCACACTCCACACTCTTGGTGCTCCTCCTCCCCGCGCCTTCCTTCCTACTGCCAGGCCTTCTGCTTAAGCCTGCAAGCAGACAATGTCCAGCCGAGGCCCGAGTCTCACCCTCCTGCCCACTACAGACCTTTGAAGCTAAGAGTTGAAGTCTTCAGTGGGTGTGTTTTTAATTTATTTATTGCTTTTTGGGTCACACCTGGCGATGCACAGGGGTTCCTCCTGGCTCATGCACTCAGGAATCACTCCTGGCGGTGATCAGGGGACCATATGGGATGCTGGGAATCACACCTGGGTCAGCTTCGTGCAAGGCAAATGCCCTACCCGCTGTGCTATCGCTCCAGCCCCCGGCGGGTGTGTTTTAAACTCCATGTCCAAACCTGGGCTCATCAACTTCCTCACCTCCTCTAATGTCTGGTACTGGCCAAATCAAGCAGTGCAGGTCTGCACTTTTGAGAGCCACTTTGAACTGCAGTCAATAAATCTAAAGCGCTATTTTAAAAATCTTTCCGTATGTTTGGAGGCAGACAGGTGGGAGGGTAGTGTAGGCAGGAATATATATGGAACAAAAATGTTTAACCATGCACTGATGATTGCTGAAGTTGTTAGACGGAGTCACCGAACCTTAAATGTCCTGTTATTGGGTCAGAGAAAGTACCGCTGGATGTGACTTGCAAACCAAACACTGATATGTTCTAGCATTATTTCTTGCCCGACATTCATCAATCTGACAACGATGCAACAATGAAGCCTCATTTGCCTTCCAGTATCTTTGCATAACTAGCTACAGAGGTCCTCACTAATTTTCAAAACTCATGCTTGCTCCTACTTCAGTCTCTCTGATAAAGCTACTTCCCGGACCTGGAACTTGTCTTTTGAAGTTTTAGCCATCCTTACATGTCCGGTTCAAATAATTCCTTCAAGAAGCCTTTCTGGCAAGTTCCAGCCCAAACTCCATTCCATTCTACTATTCTCATAATCCCAAAGTATTCATAAACGCAATCATAGGGGCCAGACAGACACTCTTAGGGCCGGAGTGCAAGTTTTGCATGTGGGAGGTCCAGGTTTGGTTCCTGAACACGGCGGGGAGTGACTCCCAAGCAGGGAGGCAGAAGCAGCCCCTGAGAACCGCCAATTCTGAGTGTGTCCCACCAAAAAATTTTTGTTTTTTTAAAAGATTATCATACATAGATGTGTCCTGAACTATGAAATTATTGCGAGAGGTAAAAATCTCTGTCTTGCACTGGGAAGATGGCTCAGAGGCCTGGAACACATGTTCTGAATATGGGAGCCTCCAGTGGTTCCCAGTACTGGATGGTCCCTCCAGCATCATTGGCTTAGCCCCAAAATGAACAAAAAAAATTTAAAAAATGAAAAATTCCAAATCCCATTTTTGAGCATTTGCAGCCTATCAGAGTAGGGAGGTGGTAAAATGGTTTGGTAAATGCTAAACTGTACAAAGTTTCAATACTATAAAATGAGTCTTAGATGTATACTTATTCCTCTGCTATAAAACAATCATAAGGAACACAAATTCTCTGAAAATTCATCTAAGTTTCACATGATACTACATTTACTTACTTTTTTAAGGTCTTTGCTCCTGAAGATGCATGAGGTTGGAGGTAGAAAGGAATTTTGTTGAATTTGGGCATATTTTTCTGAAACATTAAAAGTGAAAAAAAGGTATGATAGTTTCTATTAGCTAACAAATGTAAATGACATCAACAGGAAAATATGCTTTACAAGTTATCTTATAAGCAAAAGTAACTTTCTATGAAATTAAGAGAAAGCTTTAAAAATTATCTGTCAACCTTAGATAAAATACAGCTGCAAAGCGTAACATTTAGTCTTATAATAAAAGATAGTAAAGACAAATTTTAGATACACTGCAACAAAGTTTTATTTAAAAACTTTAAGCCATACAAACCGAAATCTTAATTCTATATTAAAATATTGGGGCTGACACCTAAAGGCCCACACGAAAAAATGCAAGTCTCTTAGAAGAAACCCAACACATTTGCCTTGGAGGATACCCCCAGATGCTGTGCTGGTGAGCCATGCAGGGGCCTCAGTCATCCGGCTCACAGACCAGTCGGGCCCTCCCACTCTCCCTGATGCCTGAATCAGGTGACATTAGCATGGGAATGGCAGCCAACCACAGAGACGTTGACCTGGAAATAAAACGCACACCAGGCAAAGGGTAAATTAACTGATCCTCTCCTCTCTGGGTTTTAGGCCCCTCCAAGCCTCCTTGTCACATCCGGTCAGGATGTCTCCTCGCAGGGTTAAGCCATAGCAAAGGCAGCAGAGATTTGTGGAGAGCTCGGACGTGAGAGAGAGGACACCACAGACTATCCATCAGGTGTCACACTGGTTTTAAATCCTGCAAGAAATCTGGGAGAGAAAACAAATTTCCGGAAGGTTCTAGAGATTAAATCTCTTTCATACGGCTTTAGGAATATACAAAATAAGTCAACAGCACAGAACAGTCTAGAAATAAATCTATGTATACACAGAAATTTAGTATACAATAAAGATAGCATTTCAAATTAGTAGGAAATAAGATTGTTTAATAAATTGTGTTGGCACATAGGCTATCCACTTGGAAGACGTTAGCATCCTAATTCACACCAAGTAGAATACATTCTAATTAAGATGCAGACATATCATGAATATATAAAGGAGAATGTAGGAGAACATCTTTTTGGGGGGACAACTTTGGAATTAGAAATAATCAAGACATAAAATTCAGAACCAGAAGGATAAATCTGATTATATCAAATGAAACATTTTTGCCGGCTAAAGACACATGAACAAAATAATTCAACGGAGAGGCACAGATAAAGGTAATTAACATTCAATATGAAGAACACCTACAAACCAGTAAGACAGACAAACAACCCAAAAGAAAAAAATGAGTTAATACAAACAGGTGATTCACAGAAGAAAAATACAAATGGCCAATATGAAAAGATGCTTAACCTCCTTACAAATTAAAAACACCACATCAAAAAAATGAGAGATTCGACTACACTGAAGCTAAGATCGAAGAATCCAGCGTTGGTGAGGGTGTGGGGAAACTGGGCCTCAGAGACTGTTGGTGAGAGTATAAAAGGGCACAGCCTCTGTGGATGGCAATTTGGCAGTATCTATCAAAATTTAAAATGTGCATACCCTTTGATCCAGCAATTCCACTTCTAGGAATTTATCCTAAAAAGTACACAAAGATATATGTACAAGGATATTCACTGAAGCATTGTTTGTAATAGAAAACACTGGAAACAACCTAAATGTCTATTAATAGGGGACTGGTTAAATGAAGGCACATTTATACAATGGAATACTAAAGTGAGACAGAAGAAGGAATGATCCAAATGCAGACATGAAAAGATGCCCAAGTTTTATTTTTAAGTGACACAAACAAGTTGCAGAACAGTATTTAATAGATCTTGCACAAAATAAAATGAGCTACACATATGTATGCATATATATACAAATAATATATGCTTGTGTACACAAAGATGGAGGTCTTGCATTATTAAACTATTCATTATCACCTCTGGGAAGAGGATAGGAAGTGAATGAAAGAGAAGAACTGAGGAAGGAATGGGAATTTTACTTTATCCATCTATTATTTCCATTAATAAGCATATATTATTTTTAGAATTAAAAATCAACAAAGACATAAACATAAATAATCATCAATACTTCTGCAACTCTGGAGCTACAGGGAAGTAGAAGATTCCTTCTGGCAGTCTAGTTTTTATTAATGTTGAAGATGATCTAGAGTAGCTTAATGATTTAGAAAATATAAAAAGGCAAAGTGGGGGTGCAGGACACTTACATCCACAGTGATGTCAATTACCCATTGTGGCACCGTCTCATTAAGAAGCATCGACTCCGTCTCGCCCCCAGAATCTCGGCAGAGCAGCCTAAACACAACCCATTGGGTAGTGAGTGACAGAGCAGCACCGATGACAAGGTCACTGTCAACAGCAGCAGCAGGGAGGACCCTCCCAAGGCCCTGTCACACCATCCCCACTGGACCACAGAGGAGAGCAAGTGCAATGGGCACGGCTTGCTCAGCTCAGAGGGAGAAGATCCAGCAACTCAGACTCTGCCAGTGCCAGCAGGCACGCTGAGGACTCCACCTAGAATGGGCCAGGACATGTGTTTGTGCCAGAACTCTCAGGCAAAGAGCTCTGCATCTGAGGGCAAGATGAGCCTTCTTCTCGTCAGGCCCGACAGAACCTAGTCCCCTCTGGCTCCTCCTGGGCTCTGCTGGCCACCTGGGAGTCAGGGTGGTCCAACTCCCCCAGGGCGGCCTAGTCCTCAGGGAGGGCCTAACAGTTCCCAGGAGCAGCCCAGTCCAAGACGGCGTCAGGGGTCTGTGGGGGGCCTGGCAGCAACACTGGAGGGTGGGGAGAGGAAGTGAGTCTGCTGCAGATGCCGTGCGAGAGGCTGCTGGGTGGCCGGATCGTGGCCACATCTGAGCAGGAGGCTCAGCTTGCTGTGAGAATGGGGTCTAGTAGTCTCAGACCCTATACTATATCAGAGAAGGAAGAGTGTCATCCCCCGGTACTCCTGCAAGAAGCACAGGAATCGGTGTTTCCGGGGGCCTGGGCCCGGCCTCCCTCGCCCGTACCTGAACAGGGTGCGGCCTCCAGCCTCCCCGAAGATCACCGGTGTGTGTGGGGGCACTTGGAAGTATCCATTTCCTTTCTGCACGCGGTTCTCCTGCTCCCCGTTCACTAGGCGAAGATTCAGATGGGGTCAGTACCCAGAGTTAGTGTGAAATACAAGACTCTACACATTCTGACATTCTGACTTCACAAGCTTCAAACGCCACAGGATTATTAAAATTAAAAAAAAAAATCTTGCAAGTCAGCCAGAATCCGAAATAAAGGTAAACAAAACAGAATTCTGGAGAACAAGAAATATGGCAGCTAGCAATATACCTCATGAAGGATAACATTTTTGAGGATTTTGATAAAAAGACATTGATGTTTGAGATTTGGAAAGTACAACATGCCCTGCCATTTGGCTAGAGGCAAGTCTAGGATGGTCAGTTATACATGGTTGTCTACTTTCGGGTGTAAAAACCAAATGCAGGAGAATTTGAGTGCGTTTTTATTTTAATGTCTAAAGACAGATACTAGTGAAGAATAAAATCCTCAGAGAAGCCCTGATCTCATTTTTATTGTCCTCTTTTAAGACTTTTGCTCCACCCAGCTTCCCTTATGACCTGGTCCCCGCTTCTGTTCCCCAGCACTTCCCTAGTGAAACTGGAGGATCTCCATGCTGGCAGCCACAGCCCTGTCAGGATTCTCCGGAGCACCTGGCGCCTCTCTCCAATCTCATGCTGAAGCGGAGTGCTCCTGGTCCTCCCGGTGACAGTCCCTGAAGGACAGGGCCCACGCCCACTTGGTTGCCACCAGTTCCTTTGAACTCTCCAAGCATGATCTCAACCCCTCCTGAGGTTAGCTGCTGGCACAGCTTGGGCGTGCCAGACCACCAGAGACAGCAGAATGGTGTCCTGAGCTCTGGCTGGAGCAGGTGGGCCTGCCTCATTTCTACCACACAGTTCACCGGCAGATCTGGAGCTGCTTCTGACTTCCTCTTCCCTTCTTCTAACTTGGGCTGATAGGGGTGGTGTTCTTCAATTAATTTTTATCATCTACCTGGGTCTCCATGGGCCTTGTCATGTTTCTGATACAAAACAAGGAGTTACGAACAAGAAATGGTATGTCTTTGGCTTCGTGGCCAATGACAAGCAGAGTCCACGTCACAATTTAGCTTTCCCAACCCTCTGTGGAGAGATCTTCCCACTGAGTTTCTCTGGCTCACAGTCCACCGAGTAACAGTGGGGGGCAAGAAAAGTCCATGTGGGTGGGGTCAGGACCCCCGTGTTCCCCAGGCACACCAGAAGAGTTGGCCTTCAGGAAAGCATGTAATCCTTGCCAACAAGATTCAAATTCTGAAGATCATCATGGGTCAAAGAGGCAGAGGGAGGTCTCTGGCAGGAGGTCATGACTTCGGACTATAGGAGAGTTGACAGTCTCCATCAGATACCTAGCAGACATCCTCAGCAGGTGGGACTCAAGGACTCTTCAGCCAGCTGCAGGTTACACATGGGCTTTGAAATGGTAAGTTCTAGGGGCTGGAGCGATAGTACAGTAGGTAGGACACTTGCCGAGCATGTGGCCCTCCTGGGTTGGATCCCCGGCACCCCATACAGTTAGTTCCCCAAGCACACAGCAGTGATCCCTGAGTGCAGGGCCAGAGGTAAGCCCTAAGTACCACCAGGTGCTCCCCAAAACCAATAAAAGAGGAAAAGAAAAATTTAAGTTTCCTCTACTTTCATTACATACACCCGGTCTAAAACCTACATTCAGAACATGTTCTCTGATGCCAAAGTAAGTCTCTAGTCACTGCTTATAGGGGTTATACCGGGTAGTGCTTGGGTGGTGGCCATATGCAGTGCTGGGACTCTAACCAGCGATGAGTCTGCAGCTGGGTGCTAATAAGCAAGAGCCTTAACCCCTGTACTATCTCTCCGGCCTAAACACAGCTTTCTGATTCAGCTCTGAAAATTCCAGCGGATCCATTTTCATGAATCTGAGGAGCATTTGTGGAAGAAACCAGCTAGGTTGCCCACTTCTAAGGACTCAGGTCACCTGAACAGGTAAGGCTGATGTCCTATCTTTAGCAGTTTCAGCAACTGGAAACCATCCTGTACTTTACTACCAACTGGAATGGATGTTCTTACTTTGGAATACAGAAGGAGGAAAACAACACAAATATCTAGTATGAAACAATTTAGCAAATGTGTAAAATATTTAACATAATAATCAGAGTAAAAAAAATACAGTATTTTAAACTTCTAAATGTTTTCCTTTTTTCCTGAATGATTTTTAATTACGTATCCAGAATAAAAGCACAAACCATGGTTTACTTCATTTTCTTCTTCATCCATGGGAGTCACATGCGTTCTAGGCCAATATTCTAAGAGTGCCTGCAGCAAAAGTCCTCCTAAATTTACTGCAGAAGAAATACAAAATAGTCACTAGTTTTAATCTAAAACAGAGAGCAAAACAGTTCGTTTCTACTTATTCTAGTGTTAGATTCTTTTTGTTTTGTTTTTTGGGGCCACAGCTGGCAAGGCTCAAGGGTTACTCTCAGTTCTACACTCAGGAAACACTCCTGGCAGTGCTTGAGGGGCCAGATGGGATGCCGAGGATTGAGCCTGGGTCACCAGGGCGAGCACTCTACCTGCTGTGCTCTCTTATTCCTCGACTGTTAGGTTCTTAATGCAATGCTAAAAAATGTTTAAAAGTCAGATATTTTTTGCTTTTTTTTTTTGGGTCACACCCGGCAACACACAGGGGTTACTCCTGGCTCTACACTCAGGAGTTATTCCTGGCGGTGCTCAGGGGAGCATATGGGATGCTGGGAATCGAACCCGGGTCGGCCGCGTGCAAGGCAAACGCCCTACCCGCTGTGCTATCTCTCCAGCCCTAAAAGTCAGATTTTTGAGGTCTTGCCAAATCTGTTTAAAAAAACTGAGGTGGTGAGGATGTTTGGGCTCTACCTGGTAAAATTTACTGAAAAATATTGATTCAGTTCTTTTTGGGAGCGGGAGGGAGTATGGGGACGAGGAGGGGACATGTTCACATCTGGTGGTACGTGGGTCATTCCTTTGGAGACCACGTGGTGCTGGGGCTCTTGCATGCAAAGTGGCACTCCAGCCCTTGGAGCCACCTCCCCGGCACTGTCTTAGAATGCTTAAACAGTGATACCATGGAGTAAAGAGATATTCCATTTGGTTGTCTTCTTTCAAAAACAAATAAAACCAGGAACTATCTACTTTAAAAAGGCTACTCCCATACGAATCGCTGCTACTGTCCTCATATATGTATCTGACATCTGTCTGCTACATTCTTAGAATACTGACTGGCGATGTGACCAGTGAAACACAATGGTCTCTATAAAGATGAGTCTACACAGCAGCACAGACCTACTTCTGGAAGGGGGACAGGAAGGAGGGGCATGGAAACTCACATTTTGGATCTGAGCCATCAGGGCTGCTGAAGCCAGCATCTTTTGCAGAAACCCAAGCAGCAAAGCAATCACTCTCGTCCAAAGTAATAGTCAACATCTGTCAAGAAGAAACAGCAGTGAAGTCTGCCGCATGAGTAAATTCCCCAAGTCCTTCTTTATATGGACTCTTTGGCTAAGGCACCAAGGACTCCGCCACATGTGTTTTGTATGATTTAATGCAACTCAACTCAATTAATGGATGACTAAGAGGCATTAAAACTGGATTTTACAATGATCAAAGTAAAAAAATTATTTTCTTTCATAGCTTTGAAACACCAGACTCACAGATACCGATCATTCACTCTGAATGGGGCTACAGGAGGACACTCCAAATACACCAAACTACACAAATAACTTCTAACTTACCCCCGTTTTTAAGTCTACTGAGAACCAATTTGGCACATACACCATCTTAAATCTTTTCTTAATCTCATCTTCAAAATCCACTTTTCCCAGATCTTCAACTTTACAGGCCTATATGTAAGAAAGATATTGTAACAATTATTCAACTTAAGTACTGAATTAATTTTATTCTGACTCCGCTATTTAAAATTTTATGTATGTTCACATTTGTCTCATAAAATGGAGACAACTGTATTAAAAAAAGTGGTCAAATAATTTTACCTCAAAGCATTTACCTTTACATAATTGTTATTGAACTTTTAAATTAGAAAACCTCAAATAATCCTTTTACTGAAGTCAGTAATTTAATTTTGCTGATATTGACTTAATGTGCCACCACACTTTAGCTAAAAGAATGTCACAATTTTCTAGGAACAAGTAATAGTTACTGATCACCTTAGGAGAATTTCAAGCTACTGTCTGAGATAACAGTTATAATCTGGGTTGCAATTTTATCTTTCTTGGCCATTACAACCCTTTCCTTATTTTCTTTTTCCTTAAACATGCATACTTCTCAAACTGTGTCCTGAGCTTCTAGGATGGCATGGAGTCCTTCCAAACCACAAGGGGTTCTGGGGACTCTGGCCCCAATCTTGATTTCTTGCTTTCATCCTGAACATCATCAATAGAAATAACACACAGGGCATACTGATCTTGCAAATCTTTGATAATATTCCTACTACAACTGTACTGTCTCCAACTTCAACTGAATTACGTTTCTTCTGTTTCCAAAGTCAGGTCCCCACAAACATCTTGCTGAATCTTCACTCTCCTCCTATCTCTGACCGCACCTCCTCCCTTCCTCACTACCTCACTACACCCAGTCTGATCGCAATTCATAAAAAAGAGAAGCCGAAACTAAATCCCGTTACCTGTTTGCAACTATTCCTTCTGGTACAAAGAAAAAGGCACCCTTCTTGCTGTACACTTTATCCTTTCACCTCTCTTTTCTTGGAGACCCGTCACCATTCTGCCATCTTGTGTTTCTACTGGCTTCTCTCTCAGAAAAGATTCCAAACAAGATTCCAAACTCCAAAACAAAACCTTCCCTGGATCTCCTTATTCCTGAATCTTCTACAGCTTTTGACTCTTCCTGTCCACTTCACTCAAGTCTCATCAAAGACCATCTCACTGAAATTCTGTTTCTTTATCTTAGTCACTAGCTTGCTCACTCCACCTAGCTTTTAGCCCTAAGACTCTCTAAGACTCTCTAGCTTTTAGCCCTAAGACTCCATGAATGGAGTCCCTGGACACCATTCATTTTATTGGTTTAAATGCATGGGAGCATGACATTTATCTTACATAAACTCCCAGGAAGCCAACAATGCTAACTGTAAGCTTCTTCCTGTAATGCTCAAATTTTTTTTTTTTTTTAGCTGTCACTGGCTTTTGGTTTTACACACTTCTGTAGCTTCCTCTTGGTCTAACAACCCTAAAAGGGTGATGCCTTGGTTCTTGGTTTCATCCATGATCAGATGGCTTCTGAATCTATTACTCCTGGCTACTCTTTCATTTGTGCTTAGAATACAGTTACCTGCTCAGTGGACAGCTCTTCCCAGAGAGCCCGCATAAACTCAAATTCATTGTCTTTCTCAGCAAGTTTCTTTTTCTCAGCAACTCCTTCATATCCACTCACCAAACTGTCATTCAGAAACCTAAAACTTATCTCCGTCCCTTCCTCTCCCTTTTATTCCAACAGATGTCAAAGGAATACTGTCACTGTACCCTATGCTTCCTGCAGTCTCTAATTTTATCCACTGTCTTTTTTGTCAGTTTATTTTTTCCCCACTCTCCACCCTAGTGTTCCACCAATGAATATCTGATGCTTCGTGTGTATTCTTAGTAAAACAGCCTATCATGCTGACCACTATGATAAAAAAAATACTTGAGTATCACCTCAACAACTTGAGATAGGTGCCGACTACATTGTAGGAATTTAGAGATCTTGTGAAGTTCATGACTTGGCTAACTACGGGAGGACCAGAAAGCAGCTCTGTCCTACACTGACCCTTTTGCTCCTAAACGCTCCTCAAAGCTCTACTTCTGTTAATCTGCAATGTCTATTGCACCTGATCTCAATCTCACTTCAAGGTATAGTGTTTGGCTGGATATGGCAATCTGCCAAGGATACAAAAATGGGGATTACGGTGAATACCAGCTCAGTGCCCGTCTAAATGGAACTGCCTCTGATCCAGACACTCTGCTCCACTACAGCTTCAGCTAATTAGACCAAGAGCAACCATTAGGTGTACGGGCAGAGAGTCAGCAACTCTGAGAAACTAACTAGCTTGCTTAGATCTGGTGGCTACTCTGCAGTGCATCAGGTGTTAGCATGAGGGTAAGACAAGCCACAGAGAAAGGAAAGGGCCTACCAGGCTCCTCAGGACCCTTCTGTAAAATAAAGTGAGGTTCTAGTTCCCAGAAGAGTCCAAGTCTATTGCAGAGAGAAACCAACTGTCTCCGTTCACACCTCTGGTTCTGAAACCACGTGACCCCTGCATAGCTACCCCAGAGGAGAACAGTATTAGTGAGGTCAAGGCTCCTACTGCCAAGAGAAACCCATTCATCTCATTTCTTAGACCTAGAAGTACACTTAAGTAGATCTCTTTTCCTTATAGTTAAGTGTTTTGTTTCTAACCAAGGCACCAGATCTTCTCAATTCATTTTTATTCATAATATGCCCAACATCTGCCTTTTCCTTTAGACCCGATTCATTATGTTTAAGACAAGTACTGTGGAGTTCATGTCCAATTCAATCAGCTTAATCAATGGCTGAATAAATAGCAGTACTCCTACATTAAAAAAAAAAAAGAAAAAAGCTAAGTATCTTTCAGTTACACTCAAGACTACTCCTTTGAACACAGGCATTCCCTGCTCTAAAACTACCTTAGGCTATACCAGAGAGATGCCAATCCTGGGGGCTGTGATTCAAGACTGTTTCTCAGAATCTCTTCTTTCATCCTCAATCCCTGCAACTCTTCCTTGGACTTACCTGAGTCTCCCATTAAACAAAACCATCTATTTTGCCCTGAACAAACCACGTTAGCTTTTCTTTTCTTTGCTTCTGTCATTCATCTTTTCTTCCTAAAATTCCCTGTATTCATCTACTAGAATTCTTATGAAATGACTGTTCCACCACAAAGCTTTCCTGATTTGTTGAGCTGTGAGCAAACACCCTTGCTCATAAGCTACGCCATGATTTCTTATCCTCTAGCTATATAACTTTTGTTTTGCTTTGTTCTGGGGCCAGACCTGGCAATGCTCTGGGCTTACTCCTGGCTCTGCACTAAGGAATCATCACCTGGCAGGCTTGGGGGATCATTTGGGGTGGTGGAGATTGAACCCAGGTCAGCTGTGTGCAAGGCAAATTACCTATTTGCTGTACTATCTCTCTGACCCCTAGTTCTATGTATTAACTAGGTTAGTGCTCAACCACTAAGATATACATACCCTCAGACCCTTAATTTATGTATTTTTATCTTGATTATCAAATGTAATAACATTCAATACAAATAAAGGGGGATTTATAATCTAATAACCTATAGCTTAACATAAAAAAGGTACTCACCTTTAATACATCCCAAAATGCCACGTTATTGTTGGTATCTTTGGTTAATATATGTCTCTTATCATTGAGAATGTGGCATTGAATAATACTAGCACCCCCTAAGGAAAAAAATCCACATAATTAGAAAATTATATGTCGACACTGATGGTATAGCAATAACTGTTGGCTAGCAAGTAACAGAGCAAAACTGTATTTGTTACAAGAAGGAAGGAAACAAATCAATGATGCATAATTCTATCTGTAGTAACTTAAGACCAAAAAAAAGAAAAAATCTGATTTTACTAACAGATTATAGATGAAAAGATTCCACATTTCAATGGAATGCTTGTGGAAAAGTGTGGAGGGCAACAATATTATCCAAAGGGTAAAGTCCCAATGATAAAGGAAAAGAGTCTCATCTCTCAGTGCTGTTTTCTGCCTATCCTTCCTCTGTATTATACCTCCCGAATGGATATTCTAGTCTAAAGGTAATAGCAAGATGGATGTCCATGAACTACAGATGAATGCACCATTCAGTACTTGCATTCCGAACTCTGACATCACAGTCAGAGTTGTCATTTCCAGCTGTGGAATGGAGGAGCTTGAGGTTGAGCTCTGACCTTTAAATATTAAATACAAGTATTTTACAAAGTGGCTGTAGCTTTACCCTGACCATCGGTATACTGGGTGATGCTGGGTAACATAGACTAATTAAAGGAAGTCTACGTTAAAGTAACTAAATATTATTATTAATGATAATAATTGTGGGGATCAAACTCAGGGCCTCACACACACAAATTTTGCAAGTGTTTTATCAAAGCTACATCCTCAGCAAAACAGCACATTTTACTCTTCTGCTAAGGTCTTCCAATTAAGTTTTTAAAATATATATATATATATATTGCTTTTTGGGTCACACCCAGCAATGCACAGGGGCTACTCCTGGTTCATACACTCAGGAATTACTCCTGGCCGTGCTCGGGGGACCAGATGGAATGCTGGGAATCAAACCTGGGTCAGGCCATGTGCAAGGCAAACACCCTACCTGCTGTGCTATCACTCCAGCCCCAAGTTTTTAAAATAATTTTACCTACCATACTCTTCAGTTCTACCAATTCTGATTAGTTTTTTTCACTTCTGATCTCATACTTTCTTGTTTCTGTTTTGTTCTGTTTTGCTTTTAGGTCATACCTAGTAGTGTTCAGAGGTTATTCCTGGCTCTGAGCTCAGGAATCATCTGTTTGGGGGACCATATGTGGTGCTGAGGATCAAATCTGAGTCAGCCACATGCAAGACAAGTACTCTGTCCACTGTACTATCTCTCTGGCCCCACTTTCTTATTTCTTTTTCTTTTTTTTGTTTCGGTTGAACTATACCAGGTGGTGCTCAGGGACTACCCTTCGCTGTAAGCTCAGGGATCACACCTGATGGTGCTGAGGGGATCGTATGTGAAGCTGGGAATCAAAGCTGGGTCGGCCACATGCAAGGTAAGTACCCTACCCTTTGTATTCTTGCTCCGTCCACTCCAATCCCACTTTCTTATCTGTCTGTACTATTGTTTCTGTGAGCTCATTAAACACTCTCATCATGGTATCTCTATGCAATCATTATGTGAGTGGTTACAAAGCTGCTTGGCATCAGCAGAGCCTTCTGAGCTACCTTAAAAATATGAATAGCGTCATAAATTTATGTGTCATACTTCTAGAAGGGCATGCTAATCTTTTGTTGTTCCCATCTTAGCATATATACTGCTGAAGCAATTATTAAATAGCACTTTTTAAAAAAATTTTTTTGGGTCACACCCGGCGATGCACAGGGGTTAGTCCTGGCTCATGCACTCAGGAATTACTCCTGGCAGTGCTCAGGGGACCATATGGGATGCTGGGAATCGAACCTGGGTTGGTCATGTGCAAAGTCGACACCCTACCCATTGTGCTATAGCTCCAGCCCCTTAATAGCACTTTAAAAACAAGGTTTTCTTTTATTAAAAATAAACCATATTACTGGGGCTAAAGAGACAGTAACCAAAGGGTTACAATCTTGCCTTGCACGCAGCCAACCCCTGGCATCACGTATGTCCCCTGAGGACTGTCAGAAATGACTCAAGAGTACAGGACCAGGTGAAGCCCTGAATACGGTGAGATGTGGCTCTCCCCCCAAAACTAACAAAAGTAAAACAGGGTAGGGGCAGAGAGAGCAAGGGAGAGCGAGAGACAGAGCGAGCGAGGGAGAGACAGAGTGTGTGTGTGTGTGTGTGTGTGTGAGAGAGAGAGAGAGACAGAGAGAGAGACAGAGCGAGCGAGCGATCAGCAGGATGTATATATGCAAAGCATGCAGGAGGCCCAGATTTGGTCCTTGTCACTGCACAGTCCACTAAGCCTTGCCCAGAGCAACCCTAAGCACACAGCTGGGAATTGCCCCTGAGCTCTGTCCAGTGTGGCCCTTCTAAACCCAAACAAACAAAACACCCAATACCAATATATTACTAATTATGTTAAAATCAAAATTATATTTAAAGGACGGTCAATTCCTTCTTTGGTTAGTTTCTCACTCTTTCTTTTCCCCAGAAAAGGGCTTACTCCAGGCTCTATGCTCAGGGTTCACTCCTGGTGATGCTCCAGGGACCATATGGGATGCCGAGAATTGAACCCAGGTCAGTCATGTTGTAGGAGGGAAGTGGTCTGCCCACTGTACTATCTCTCCAGCCCGCAAGTCTCTAAGAAACTATAATTAGTACAGTAGAAAGTATAATACCTTCCAAGTTCCATACTCACCTTTGATAACCTGGTCAGGCTGGGTACAAAGGGGTGTTATAGGATTTGTACAGTCATTGTCATAATCTCCAGAGGCTCTAAAATTATGAATTCCTTTCAGTGTCTAAAGGGACAAAATCATTTAATAATTTTATGGTTTATAAGCTTTGCAAATCTTTTTAAAGTGGCAAGAAAAAAAAAGAACAAATGAGAAAAACCAAACAGTAACATCAACCAAAAGTATTTGTCATACAATGGTCAAAGGTATCGGGCACATTGAAAAGGTGAGGCAACTGTGTGCATTAAAACCATAACCGCCAGCACTAGTGTAAGCATGTGACTCATATGATAATAATTAAACCAAAAACAAAAGAGTTGCTAAGAAGGCAGAGAGGGGGGATGGGAGGGACCCTGGGATCTAGATGGAGGGATGCCACACTGGTGTAGGTTTGTAGGGTTGGAACAGTACACGTGAAAGTGTATTATTAACAATATTGTAAATTATGGAGCCTAGATAAAAACTGAAAATGCTTGTTACAATGTATGATTATCAACCATGAACCAAAAAATTAAATAAGGGAATTCTTGTCCATTTGGTAACTCTTCCTGGTAAAGTTATGCTGATCTCAAATCGGCACCCAAAAATATAAACAAGCCATATAACATTTTGTACAAGGCAGAGAACACCTGCATTTAAACAGGATAAATGCAAATAATTCTGTTCTGTTTTCCACAAATACACCAGTGAGAAAGAACTTTTAAATTACTGATTTAAGATTTCAGAACCACCAGTAATTCTGCATGTTTGTTTTTTCCCTGAGTGCAAGACAACTGAGCCCTGTGCTCTCATCGTGAGGTGCGCGCTCTACTGCAGAGCCAGCTCGCACGCCCCGCCCGAGAACCACGAGGCCTTTGCATGACTTCTCTCTGCTTACCCTTTACTTCTTTTTTCTTGTGCCACACCCGGCTGTGCTCAGGGCCAACTAGCTCTGTGCTCAGGAATCACTCCGGGTAGTGCTTGGGGGACCACATGCGGTGTTGGCGACAGAACCTGGGTCAATCACATGCAAGGCAAGAGCCCTGCTGCCGTACTGTCTTTTGGCTCCTACCCTCTGCTTCCAGCCCTCTACTTTCCCCTAAGAAGAAAAGGGTCATAATATGAAAGCAAAACTGACTACTTTGGGTTTAGACAAACAGGATCCTAATGATTTTTCCTGCGGTGTAGATAGGTGGGCTGCCAATTTCCACTTCGCAAGGTCAGAAACTAGTTATATTTACATCTCGCAACAGTGCCCACTTGAAGCACATTAAATGTGTTTTTTGGCTGCTGAAAAAAAAAGGGTCAGAGCCTTGTTTTGACTATTACCCTAATTTTAATACAGTTCTTAGGGTCACAGCTGCACTCAGAGGGATCTTAGGGATCAGCCTGTCCAAAAGCACGAGAGTCATGGTCACACTGAGGCTTTACTAGTGCTCTGCCAGCTCTGTGGTAACAAACCACATGTTCACGAGACTTTCCTGGGGGACAGTGGCTCACTTACCCATTTATTTACTGTCGACTTAGTTGTTGCAACCCAGATTGCAGGAGGTGGGTCAGCTGATCTATCAAGCTCCATCTGAGAACAAAGCACAGACATCCTGTTTGTGGAGGTTCATTCCTTTGAAGTGTCAGGATCGGCTAGCTATACACATGAAGCATCAAGTCGAGTGCTGAGAGCCCTCAGCTGTGGGGTCTTGGAGACAAGGAACCCTAGTACTGCAGGATCTCAGGTCAGCAAGGATCCTCAGAGCTAAGTTCCTGTGGTCTTTTTCTCCACTGCCAAGAGAGCCCTGGCAGGTGCAGGACTTACATCTCCTCATGCCCGCCGTCTCCCATCTGCCTATAAGAATCCAGCGTCACTGTCCTGCTGCTCTAAAGGACTGATGGTGGTGTTCACTAGGGAGCACCGACTGTTTCAAAGATACTCAACCCTTTGCTGGAGCTCTTGGGGGCCCCGGGAGCACTCTCGATGGTCCCTCTGATTCCCTTCCCTTTGGAAGCCCTTCCTTCGCCTGTGATCTGGGTTTCAGATGGCCCTTAAGTGTTACAGACATTGGATATGTACAGTTGTTTCTTGTTTTCTTTTTGTTTTTTATCAGACAATTTCTGAAAAAAGAGCTAGGCTGTCTTTATGACTCTATAAAATCTGAAAATTTACTCACTATTGCTTTAAAATGCAACTCCATCATTCCCCTTGTATATCTTGTCATATGTGACTGATCGAATTTCAGTTGAAGTTTCTCTTTTAGTCTTTTTTTTTCTTTTTGGGTCACACCGGGCGATGCTCAGGGGTTACTCCTGGCTCAAGCACTCAGGAATAGTCCTGGCTGTGCTCGGGGGACCATATGGGATGCTGGGAATCGAACCCGGGTCGGCCATGTTGGCTGCATGCAAGGCAAACGCCCTACACACTGTGCTATTGCTCCAGGCCCCGCTCTTTTATTCTTATTAAAGAATTTTTTTAAAATTTTAATGAGGGAGGGGGAGAGGTACATCCAGCAATGTTTCGCAGCTGGCTACTCCTGACAGTGCTTGGGGGACCAGAGTGGTGCTAGAGACAAAACGAGGGTCAGCTGCTTGCAATGCAAGAGTCTAGCTATTTCTTGGTACTGCCTCTCTGGCGCCCAGGTTTCTCCGTTAACAGCATGGAGCAGCCTTTCCCCCACACTCCTGCTGCCGAGGATCAGGATGGATTTCAGCAGGAAGGACTTGCAGAAGGTCCTGTCCTGCCTCATGAGGCAGTGGACATACCTATGCCTTGCTGCCTGCTCACAGAAACCTACAGGGAAGTTGACTAGCTCAACAGCGATGTGAGTAACTCAACTGGGATCCGTCCACCCGAGGGCCAAACACCCCTGAGAAAGTCACACTTCCTTCCACAGACCATGAGAAATGGCAAACATCCTTTGTGTGACGCCATGGTTAATTCATGTCTAATGCAGACTTTGCTAACACATGATAGAACGTTAACTATAAAACTGAAACATGAGACACACCTTGAGAACAGGTGCTTTTTCTTCACAAATGAGCACCCGAATGTCAGGGTTCCTTAGGTCTGTACAGTAAATCTTCCTGTCCCTTCCTCCAGAGTACACGTGCGTGAAGGCATCGTTGACCTGCAGAGCCCAGACGCCTTCGTCATGGACTCGGTAAGTCGCAATACATCGTTGCTGGCCCAGGGACCACAGGCGAATCGTCCCATCAGAACTGCCAGAAAGGCACTGGAATGGAAACTCAGAGGTTAGAATCCTGGCCCCAAATTCATGCCTGTGCTTTGAACTTGGCCTCTCTCTTAACGCCTTACACGTGACCCCTCCAAAATCTGTATTTTTGTCTCTGATGAGGGCTTCTGGTGGCATGGATCACAGGCTGAACAATCCAAGCCAACAGAACACACTCAAGGAGGGAAACCTCTAGGCAAGACTGCCTGCGGCTGGTCTCCCCGCCACCTGTTGAGCCTCAGAAAACACTGAAGGCAAGTCCTGCCCAGATTAACCATTTCTAAGGAACCAAGAACCGCAGAGTGAATTAAGCCCAGGAGCAGACCACTCAGCCTCACGCAGCTCTCGGTGCCTTCCCAGCAACAGCAACAGCATGAGGCAGCACCAGTCGTGGCCAGTAACTGGTAACGAGCCCAATAACAGGCTGTTCTGGATGATGAGAGTCCAAGAATCAGAAAGTAGAACTTTGGTTGTTTCTTTTTTTTCTCTTCTTCCTGCCTCCCCTCAGTTAGCAGTGATTACAACGGCTGTGTGGCTCAATTCCCTAATATAAATATGCTGAGTAATCAGTGGTTAAATTTACATCTAGTCTCTATCTGCCAATGAGGAAAATGGATGGAGGAGAAACCAGAGGAGAAAAGATGGTTGCTTAATTATATACTTGGACGCTAACAGGTGGCTTGTAAAGTAGTGCCACATCATTGCCTTTGTTTATGGTAAGCGTAGCTGACTTCAAGTGCAATGCATTTATAAGCATACATGCGGTATTTATTTTAAAACCATTATTTATTTTCCCTTTTCCTTCCCTTCCCTTTGTTGCTACTCCAACGACAGGGTTATATGCGATACTTAAATCATCCCAGCTAACAATGAGGGAAACAAGGCACGGAGGGCAGTGAACATGAGATATTCTTGGACTGAGTTTCTCAACCAGGGGCCACAGCCCTTCTGTGGGCCTGTGGGATATTCCAAGGGGGCCACAGTATATCCTGCCAACCGGAGATTGGGGGGGTGAGAGTGGGGGGAGGCATAGGGAAGAAACAAGGTTGGAAAGGTAGAGAAATTCTGCTTTAGGTAGTATGTAACTTACTTACTTACTTAGGTAGTATGTAACTTCCCCTAGTTCTTCCCCCAGAAACCACCATATCTACTTCCTCCTGCTTAAGGGTTACTGCCATGCACACCCTGTGATCCTGTCCAAACCTGGAGGAAGTTAACAGAAGAACAAGGCCAGGAAGACCCTCTTAAGGGTAGCCTAGCAGCAACACAGCAAGACAGTGGGGAGTTGAATGCGCTGCACTTCTTACACTAATTCACATGAAAATGCAGCTGCAAAGGATTGAGAGTTCCAGAAAATGCTATACATTATAGAGTATATTTATTACTTCTAATTTTGCCTGCAGCACAAATGCAACATAGGAGTCCCACTGCAGAGATGTGCAAAGGAAGACCAGTATGGAGAAGGTCCTGCTCTCAGGGTTCCCTGACACTGAGATCCTACCTCAGCCCAAACAGCTGCGGGGCAGGCATTTCCAAGACTCTTGTGTGTGTCAGGTTCTGAAAAATTATTTTCTTCCTTTGGCTCATTCTTCAAAACGTCCTATCCCTCTGATCAAAGGTGTTTCTCTCTCTCTCTCTCTCTCTTCTGGATATAACTTCCACAGCGGCAGAGGAGTGGTGCCTCTAAGCTCATCATCTTCTGACTACCATTCCATCTCCATCAGTTCTAATTAGTCAGCTTGGAACTATAATTTGTAATTCACCAACAATGTAGCCCACAGAGCATTAGTACAAAGTCAAATACTAACTGTCTTTGTAGTGCTGGATGGATGCGTACATGTTAACTAACTCAACATACAGGCTAATTTAGAATCTGTCCTTCATTCAGACCCATTTTTAGAAATTTTTTTTTTTTTTTTTTTTTTGCTTTTTGGGTCACACCCGGTGATGCTCAGGGGTTACTCCTGGCTCTGCACTCAGGAATTATTCCTGGCGGTGCTCGAGGGACCACACAGGATGCTGGGAATCGAACCCGGGTTGGATGCATGCGAGGCAAACACCCTACTCGCTGTGCTATCACTCCAGCCCATTTTTAGGAACTTTTTGGATGACTCTAGGAGAAAGAATTCATACTAAAGTTTCCTTCTGCTTCTGCATAGGCGCCAATTAAAATTATCCTAACCCCACGTATTATACAGCTTATCTCCCTTAGAATTATTCTGAGGAAATTCCTTTACTCTGCCTTTATTTAAAAGTGATACAAACAAAATAATTCTAAAATATACAATTGAGTAGTTTGAGTAGTTGCTGTTTTGTTGTTGATGCTTTTGGGCCACACGTGACAATACTTAGGAGATCCTCCTGGCGGTGCCTGGGCATGTCAGGGAATGAATCCACGTTGGCTGCATGCGAGGTAAGCACCCAACCCACTGTACTATCTGTGTAGTTAATTACTGCGAATCAATGCATGTACAGAAGACAAAGTAGTCACCAGAGACATTCCTGAGCAGGTCTCGAGGCCTGGGCCCAGGACGACTGCATACCTGGGTGCCGTCTCTGTTCAGCAGCAAGGCTTTCACATTATCCGTGTGGCCTTTAAGCTTCATCAGTTTTGCACAAGTTCTTGGATCCCAAACCCTTAAAACCTGTGATTCAACAAAATAACAACAACAAAAAGCAAACGGATTATATCTGATCAAATGTAAATGACGTGATAAACATTAAATTCTGTGAAGTAGACATTGCTTCTGCCAATGGGCAGTATCCATGGCTCCCAAGCTTTTCAAGGAGGAAGACTTTTAATGTCAAAAAGTGCGCAAACCTTCGACACCTGTAACCTCCAAAGTCCCCCTCTGCCCCCTGCCCCTGAAAGTTATTACACAATGATACTCTTGTTCAAAGTAAAACCTTTCTTTAAGCATCCACCAGGCAAAAAAGTCTGTACGTTTTCAAATTATTTTGATTTTGTTTGCTCGATTTTGGGGGCCACACCCAGTAGTGCTCAGGGATTACTTCTAGTTCTCTGCTAAGTATCATTCCTGGTAGGCTTGGGAGACCATATGGGGGTTGCTGGGGATTCAACCTGGGTTGGCCGTGTACAAAGCAAAAGCCCTACCTACTATAATATCACTCCAGTCCCTTGGTTTCTTCCTTTTCTAGTGTTAAAATAAACCCTTTAAGCTCCCCTTACCAAATGCCCTACCACAGAGGCAGGGTGGGATGGGGTTGTGGGGGGTGGGAGGGATACTGGGATCGTTGGTGGTGGAGAATGGGCCCTGGTGGAGGGATGGGTACTCGATCATTATATAACTGAAACCCAAGCACAAAAATTTGTAAGTCTAAGCTCCCCCTTACCTTCTCAGTGGATCCTGATACAATAATTGTTCCCAGTTGATTCATTGCCAGGCTATAAATGGAATCCTTGTTCCCACTTAGAGAAGAAGCTATTAAGGACAAATGGAGCGAAATGTTAACAAAACCAACAGTTGTTTAGTGTACAGTCAGCAAAATCATACGTTTAATTATTTGATTTATAAGACATTTATCTTTTTAAGTGCTTTAAGAAGAAGTTGACCTCTCATGGAGATAATTCTAAACAATAATACCGTTAACCAAAGTTTACATCATTCTGAATTTGAGCATATTAATTACTCAATAAACATACTTGAAAAATGGAATTGCACTGCTGTTAAAGTAATATATATATATATATATTCAAAGATGTACAAGTGCTAATAAAATGAAAAGTATGTCCAAATTCACCATTACTCAAGGAAACAAAAATACCATTTTCATCCACCAGATCAGATACAGCAAAAGGCAATACTAGATAATGGTACTATTATACACTGGAGAAGAATCTGTCACAACTAAGAATCACGCTCATGACCTTTGGCTCATAATAGTGCAGTGAAAATGCCGCACAAAAAGCTGCCTCTAACGCCTGCCCTTCATTTTACAATGCCAATATAAAGACGTGTGGAAAATCTATAAACACAGATGTTACTACATGAAGACTATTTAGAAAAGCAACTGCCTGCAGGAAGTGCTCAACGAAGGCTACCTACTTTAATATTCCTCTGTACTCCTAAAGGCATGAGATATCTTCCCTAAGCAAGTCTAAGCGTAGGCATAGTTGTTACAGATTCTGTACCACTAAAACCTAGTTTCTGAGTTTGAGACAATTCTTGACTTTTATTTTGGTTTTTGACTCGAACCCAACACTCCTGGGGGCTACCCCTGGCTTCATGCTTTGGGGTGGTTCCAGACACAGAGGACCATGTGGTGCTGGAGGGGTAATACCCAGCACCTTACACATGCAAGGCAAGTGCTCTACTGTGGAGTCACAAACTTAGTCCAACCTGCCTTTTTGTATTGTCTGCACTAGTAATTTTTTTTTTAAAAGAAAGGCCTTACATCTGTAAAAAGCGAATAACTCTTCACAACAGCCCCAGTAGGGCCCAGCTGCTGAATCACTGATAAAATGCAGGAGAAAAAAACAACATCTGGTGGAATATCGGAGCACACAGTGTTAGGCCACCACATGTTTCCTGGGAGAAAGGGTAAAATAAATTCAAGTAGTTATAAATACCAGTCTTCTAACTTTCTTTTCTTGTCACATACCAAGTCATACAAAAAGTTTCACATGTCAATGTGAGTATTCCAGTCATTACAAATTGAAACTACAATGTAGAGACAAAGGCAGTTCCAGCCCAAATCCTGAACAAAGACCTTTGGGGCTGAGTTCAGCCTAACAGTCCCTCTGATGCCTAGCCAGAGAGGACTGTAACAGATGAGGCTACACCTGAGGCTCAATTTCAAGCCCAGGATGTGTCCTGGCAATCTGGCCTCTCTTAGCTGATGAGGCATCCATGCTATAAATCAATCTGTGAATGTCCCCAGATAGGCACTTGAAGCACCTGAGATGGACTGGTTTCCACAGAGCTGCTCTGAAGGGGTTCCACAAAATAGGTACCGAGAATGTTTGATTTTCTTCCCCCCTTTAGTATTTTCCACCTTGGCCATTAACTCCTAGGGTCTTAATATGCATTTAAAAGTCAACAACTGCCAACCTGACAAAGGCAATCACCACCTCTGTCAATACCTGCAGAGCGTATGGCTCTGGGCCAGGTGATGCTGTGGCAGATGAAAAGGAGTAACAAGATCCAATCCCCTGCTCTGCAGGAGCCTACTTTAGCGAGGGAGCTGGAACACGCACGTGTTCACAAATAACCAGGTTAGGCTGCGGGAAGCTACCAGTTTTAGACTGCAGTGAGAAGTCAGAGCCAACCAGTTCAGTCACACTCTGGGATGCTATTGGGAGAAGTACTTTCGAAACATGAGCCACTGCCCTGATGTGAACCCAGCAAAGACGTTTTCAAGAGCATTCAACCTGCATCTTTTTCAAAGACATTTTTCTCAAACACCTTACTTGTGACAGTGTTATTTGAGGCAGTCAATGCTGTGAGAGTATTCACATCCCAAAGGAATATCTGTCTGTCCAGCCCAGCAGATGCGACCAGTTCTTTATCCTTGGCATATGCTAAGGCCTTTACATAATCCTAAAACAGAATATACATACTATTATTTAGTGTGTAGAGCAATAATGAAAACAAGCCATATAAGCCACTGAGATCCTAACAGCACACCAAAGACAGAGAACAAAGTTGGATGCTTTACCTTATGTGTCCTTAATGTTGACATGCAAAATCCCTTATGTGCATTCCATACTTTTACAGTTGTGTCAGAAGAAGCAGATATTACTATAAGAGAAAGAGAATTGCCAAACTCCTTAACAGAATGACTTATACTTTTAAAAACTTATCTCAAAAGAAAAAGCAACAGTTTTAAACTAATGTTCACATACACACTATATCAAAATATTTATAGCAGCTGTAACATTATTTCAAACATTTACTATTCATTCATAAAACAGACTGTGCCCCTAAAAGTTGAACATTTACATTTTGTCTCAAATATTTTTTAAATGGGCTGGAGCGATAGCACAATTGGTAGGGCATTTGCCTTGCACACGGCTGACCTGGCTGACCCAGGTTCGATTCTTCTGCCCCTCTCTGGAAGCCGGGCAAGCTACCAAGAGTATCTCGCCCACACGGCAAAGCCTGGCAAGCTACCTGTGACGTATTCGATATGCCAAACACAGTAACAAGTGTCACAATGGAGACATTACTGGGCCCACTCAAACAAATCGATGAACAACAGGAGGACAGTGACAGTGATTTTTTTAAATAGATAGGTCACACTGTTTTAAAAAATGTGTTTTGGCTGAAGAAGTGACTATATCGACTAAGAATAATTTCTCTAATAAGGAATGCGTAACCAGGGCCGAAAGATAACATGGCTGCCTTGCACATGGCCAACCTGGGTTCAATCCCTGGCATGCAATACAACCCCCTGAGCCCCATCAGGAGTGATCCCTGAGCAAAGAAGCAGGAGTACACTCTGACCACTGCTGGGGGTGTCCCAAACAACAACAGTAACAAAGAACGCAAAACCAATAAAAGGATCTTACCATAGTAAGAAAAAAAATGTTATTAATAAGGCTGAAAGTACATTTTCTGTATGAGTTTATTTGTAACTATTGAAATGTGGACAAAACCAGTCAACAGTATTTAATAGATGAGCAGAGAGCAATAAACCAAGGCAAGGGGCTGTAATGGAAAGCACTGCAGCAGGGGTACTTTGATAACCCATGTACTTTATAATAACATCCTTCCTCTTTCCTTTGTTGTCGTGGGTGCCATGTTTCCGCAGTGTCAGGGGGTCACACCCTTAGGTGCACCAAGGGGCACTCACACAAGGGGAACTGGTCATTGTGATGGCACCAAGGATCTCACCAGCAGTGCTCCCTGGCACTTGGCGATGTGAGTGAGTGCCAGGGAAGAACTTGGGACCTCACAAGTGCAAGGCAGGTGCTCTACCACTGAGACTCAATCCCTGGGCCCCAGCTGTTTCTTGATCTAAGTTTTTCTCTTGCAAACTTTTAACGAGCTGAGCTCTCCCAGTGGGTTTGCTTTTCTGTGTGTAAGGAAAAGTTTACAATAAAAATGTATTATACAGAATAAAAACTTTCAGAAGTCCAATAATCTAAAGAAGTACTTACATGTTTTCCCATTACAACAGAGTACAATGTCATTTACCCAATCGGTATGGTGTTCCATAGAAGCTATATAGGGATCTTGCTGAAAAGAAAATGAAAAACCACAAGATTTCAATAGTTTATATCAGAGGAAGAACTGTAACAAGTTACAGATTATTAGAGGATGAAACATAGCAAGTTACAGATGTTTGGATCTTCAATTAAAGTGACTTATTACTGTAAGGTCTTAAAATTGACAACTGAATTCAGAACAAAATTTCATCCAAAAGATGATACTTTCAGATACCAAATGTAAACAGAGGCTTTGTTTGGGGAAAGCTTTCTTACTAATCAAAGTCTAGTTTTCCAGGGCAAATGCTTAATCTGTTCTTGTGATAGAAAAATACCAGGATCTGGGTTAGGTACTGTATGAGACTTACAGTGCTATTAGGAAGGAGTTTGCTGAAAGGACAGGACCTGAACAAGCCTACAGGCTAGGGAAATGAGCCACAGGTGACGGCTCACAGCAGGGATCCCAAGGAGGTGACTGAATCCCTAGCTGACTGCAGAGGGAGCTGAAAACATTTACTTTCAGCTTCTTATAGCTGTTTTTATGGTCTGACTTAACTATTTTCCTCATGACATCTACAGTTCTTCAGAGAAGAAATGGAAACGAAGAGTATTACCCATTTCACCATTTTAACTCAGTAACTTGAGATTCTTCTATTCCTCTGACCTGGCTTCATTACCAGGAGAGGCCAGGTAATTAAGAGGCCAGTATTTAATTACAGCCTACCTCTAAGACAGACAAGTACAAGACACATTGTGGGTAAAGAGAAACGCTCTCCTCAAGACACTACTCAATTGTTATAAAATAATGACTCAAAAAAAAAATGGAGGGCAGGACAGGCAACTTTCTAGATTGTCCCAGGTTAATCCTTAATTTGTGTGAAACAATGTAAATTCACAGAAAGGTGGCATTCCAATTCATATGTAAGTTCCCAAAAGTGTTTTAAAACCAATTTGTTTACTATCCATGTTTTGAACATGGTAGCCCCCACTGCTTCCACTGGAACAAAAGTCCATTTAAAGAAACATTAATCAGCAACTGTGGAACTTAAAAAATTGTTTAAAAGACATAGACTTTAAAAAGTGCAGGCTCTACACCTGCACTCTGATACTGGCTGGGTTTTCATAGTGCCCGGTCTACATCAGCGCTCTGATGGGCTCTATTTTTTTTTTTTTTTTAGTTATTTCACTGCAGACTTCTTGATGCCTTTCCCCCACTCTGTGAATTTGATCCTGGGGCTGGCGAGATGGCAGAGGGGTTAAGGCTCTTGCCCTAAAGTGGGCTCAATCCCTGGCACTGCATATGCTTCCCAACACACTAGGGGAGATCCCTGAGCACAGAGCCTGGAGTAAGCCCTGAGCACAGCTGGGTGTGGGAAGGAGGGAGGAAATTGAAAGGAGGGAAGCTTGTAGGATTATTTAAGAATGAAGTAATACTGGATATGAAAGTGCTGATATACAGTTAAGAACTCAATCAATACTCCTTTTATTTTCTATGTCATTCACATTATAGCCTTTAAACAAAAATATAAAGGGGCCGGAGAGATAGTACATTGGGTAGGGCGCGTGCAGTGTTGACCTAGGTTTGGTTTCCAGTACCCATACGGTCCCCCAGCACTGCCAGGAGTGATCCCTTAGTGCAAGGCAGCAATAACCCTGGGCACTGCCAGGCGTGGCTCCAAAATAAACGAGCAAAAATCAAAACCAAAATAGAGAGTTTTTCTTCACTTGACTGGGGATTTATCTGTATACCTACTAAAATCCTGCTCCTGGCTTAAGAAAAAAACGGTCTACTAAAGAAAAGGAGCATGCAGCCTTTTTTTTTTTTTAAATGTAGGAGTACTGCTATTTATTCAGTCACTGATTAAGCTGACTGAAATGGGCATGTGCTCCACGTTTTTGGGGGTGGGATGGGGAGCATGCAGCCTTTCTAATTTTACAGGTTTTATTTGATCTAGTAAGTCCAATGGATTTTTTAAGCACCATAATTGCTTTTGAATGAAGAATCAAATATTTATCCAAGATCAATTACAACGCCAAAGCATAGTCAACCTTTTGAAGGTATAACTGAAAAACGGTGCCAATCTTTGGGGGCAACTTTTACCTTTTCAGTGAGACTCTGGGTTTTACACAGGCAAGGACAATGTTCTACCACTAAGCTCCCCTTCCTCTTCCCTGGTTCCTCTGGCTGTTGTGAGGACAACAAAGTCAGGGAGACAGGAGGCCATGCACAGGGGCCATGGCAGTCCTCCTGAGAGCGACAGTGTGTAGGCCTGAGCGGATTACGTGGAAGTGGAAATAGGCCCAAGAGAAGAATTCAGAACATAAGTAGAAAATAAACTGTTGAACATAACCCCCTCAACAGACAAACTTCTTTGTCCATCAGTAGCAGAGAACATTTTTTAGTTTGCGGGCCAAACCTGGCAGTGCTAAGGGTTTACTCCTGGCTCTGGGATCAGGGATCATTCCTGGTGGGGCGCAGGGGATGACAACGGGTATTGGGGACGGAACCCAATTGCACTCAGATTGGCCTGGTGCAGTGCAAGCACCCTGTCTGCTGTACTAGCTCCTCAGCCCCAGAATTCTTATCCCAAACCTAGTTTGGGGAGTTCCCACCTTTGCTAAAATACTCCTGAAACTCCCCAGGGCGTTGATGGTTGGTGTCTCCCCAACCAAGAAGATGCCAGAATTCTGGATGCAATTATTTTAATGCAGCCATTAAAAAAAGTAAACCAAGTAACTCAGGGCTCAAAAAGAGAAAATCTGAAACTGTAAAAAATCTTTTAAAGATCAAATTTTACCAAGTAAAGGCTTAAACTGTAAATTCAGTACTGCTTTACCTTGTGCTGATTGACACTCCATATTCTTATGATGGAGTCTCGCCCGGCAGTGAAAAGTCTATTGAGAGCTGGATCCAGCTGTAGGGCATTGACCCCGTTTCGATTGTACTTCTCTACTTCGTCTCGAATCACATAGGAAACCTGGCAGAAAACATCAAGATTTGCTTCTAAGAACGTTATAAAACTTAACAATAACTGAATGTAACTTAGGAGCAGGAAACTGGAAATTCAAAATTCCGTGTTTTCCAAATGAAATTCATTTCTGATTCAATCAAGTCTGTTGTTTTTTTAAAAAAACTCAAAGGGTAAGAGGAGAATAACAGTAATCATCATGTACAAAATGAGCTCAGCTGACACTAAACTATTCTTGTTGCTTCCCAACGGGGCCCTTCCACCCTCCTTCCTTTCTTTCTTTTGCTTTTTTTCTTTCCTTTTGGGTCACACCTGGCGATGCACAGGGGTTATTCTTGGCGGTGCTCAGGGGACCATATGGGGTGCTGGGAACTGAACCCAGGTCGGCCGCGTGCAAGGCAAACGCCCTACGTGCAAGGCAAACGCCCTACCCGTTGTGCTATTGCTCCAGTCCCTCCTTTATTTATGTATGTATTGGTGTATTTATCTGGCTCCTGCCTTCCCCTCCCTCTGCTGTTGCAATGAGCAGAGCTTACACCAACTTGGTAGTGGTGTTCACATGATACACGGGGCTTGCATACTGAGCAGCAGCATTCGCACATGCAGGGTTGCAGGGTGCTTGAGATGGTGCTTTGTTGTGCCACTGGACTTGCATGGAGCATGTGGGGAGGTGTTGGGGTCGAAGCTGAGGCCTCATGCCTTTAAGGCATGTGGCTCCATCACTGAGCCAATTCCTGGGCTCTCTCCTGCTGGCCTTTTGGTCAACTTACCATTCCACATGCAGAATTTCCTCTGTCTGGAAACTCTTTCTTCCACTCTGTCTGGCTAACTCCTAATGCAACCTTTAGCATGTATGTGTCGTAGGGATTAAACCCAGGGCCTCACGTGTGTGACACATGTGTTCTATCACTGAGCTGTACCTTTGACCTCAGTCCCCCATTTACTCCTCCACAAAATTCTGCCCTAAAGAAGTACGACCGAGGGGGAGAAAACATCACACAGCAAACATGTGGAAAAGGGCTAATATCGATAAAGCACTCACGAAACCCCATAGCAGAAAAACAAACTCCTGAGCAGGTACTGCCTCCAACAAGACATACAGAGTCAACAGGATTATAAAATATGTTCTTCATCCCGTGTTAACAGGAAAATGCAAATCAAAACAACAATGAGAAATCATCTCACTCATGTGAGACTGGCACATATCAGAAAAACCCCAAACAACCAGTGCTTGTGAGTATGTGGTAGAAAATACACTGTCTCATACACTATCGGTAGGGATGTTGTTCTGTTCAGCTTCTATGGAAAACAGCATGCAAATTTCTCAAAATATTAACAACAGCGCTTCCAAATGACCCAGCAATTCCACTTCTTGGCTTCTACCCCAGGAACACAAAAACATTAATTTGAAAACATATTTGCACTCCTATTCATTGCAGTGCTATTCATAATAGCCAAGATCTGGAAACATCCCAACTGCATAAAAACAGCTGAGCAGATAAAGAAACTGTTATATACGAATAAAATACTACAAGTCTTGCAGTCTGCTTCAACTTGGACGGAACTGGAGGGCATCGTGCTGAGCAAAGTGAGTCAAAGGAAGAAAAGACAAATACTCAATGATCTCATTTATAAGTGGAGCATAAAGAAACATAATAAGGGAAAAAACAATGGCTAATCATAACAGACTCTGAGTGCCTACAGAACTGAGCTTGCTAAGAGGTGGTGGGTGGAGGGGCAGGGGCGAGGAGGGGCTGAGTGGCAGGGATAGACGGTACTGATGCTCTGGCTGCCGGCAGTTGGGTGTGGTGAAGCAACACTGTATTCCTGAAATGTTAAAATTAAGAATATTGTCTTCAGTCTTCAGCTGCCGGGGCTCTGCTCGAGGCTGGGAGGGTCCTCCAGAACCAGCCACAACCATGCCGAGACCACTCTCCACACGCATGAAGGAACCAGCAGAGGAACACAGGCATGCGGGTCCCAGGGCTGAGATCTCCAAGCCTGCTTGGATTGGGGCTGAGCATCCCCCATCCAGATCCTCCATCTTTCAGTAGGCAGGGGTCACACCCACCAACTGCCCCCAGCGCCGTGTAATCCCATCAACAGCCAAGACCCAGAGACTATAAAACCCAGCCCCCAGCCGCGCGACATTTTATTATCTCATTCTTACTTTGGACAACCTGGCAGGCTACCGAATGTAACCTGCACACACGGCGGAGTCTGGCAAACTCCCCGTGGCTAACCCAATATGCCAAATGCCAGTAACAATGATGGGTCTCATTCTCCTAACCCTAAAAGAGCCTTGCATATGGCACTTTTCAAAATCTCAGGGCTAGGACGAAGGAGACGTTACTGGTGCCTGCTCGAGGCAATCAACGAACAATAGGATGATCGTGATCGTGAACAATATTGTAAATCATAGGGCCCCACGTTATATATATTTTTTTTTAAAAAGAAAAAAGTTGACAAGTTGGTTGACAATCAAGAGTAAAAACTTTTCTAACCAACTTAAAAATATGCTTGTCAAGGAGGCAAGCAAGGCTGGCAGGATGGGAGGGAACCTGGCGGAGAAAAGCTGCCACTGCCTAAAATTCAATTAGGAATAACTGTAAATCTTGGTGCTTTAATATAATGGATTTAAAAAAAAAAGAAAAACCTTTCTAATACAATGAAGTAAACAGTTAAGCATACAATAGGGGAAGGGGCATCCACTCACAGTAGCAACAAAAACATCTAGAAATAAGGAAACCAGGTAACTGACAGGACAAGGTGATGAAACACCCTTTAAAAAGACCTGTAGAGGCTGGAGATATAGCACAGCGGGTAGGGCATTTGCCTTGCACACAGCTGACCTGGGTTCGATTCCCAGCATCCCATATGGTCCCCTGAGCACCGCCAGGAGTAACTCCTGAATGCAGAGCCAGGAGTAACCCCTGGGCATCGCCAGGTGTGACCCAAAAAGAAAAAAAAAAGGCATGTACATATTTATATAGTTTCAACATAGAGAAGGCTCTACTAACACAAGAAAGACCAATATTTACTAAGGAAAAAAGCTACGCCGATAATCAAAACCTCTTGTATTTGCAGCTGCATCATTTATTAGCCAAAAATATGCAAACATCTGTGTTCATCAAGTGAAAGAATTGTGGTGTATCCAACCAATGGAATATTATCATTTGCCCACAAAAAAGTGTGAAGGGGCTGGGGGACAGTACAGCATTAGGATATATGCCTTGTGTGTGCCCACCCCAGCTAGATTCCTGGCATCATAAGGTCCCCCCCAAGCATAGCCGGGACTCCTGAGTCCACCAGGTGTGGTTCTGAAGGTTCCAGCACACAAGGCCCTGAGCAGCCTGCCGTCCTCAGGTCCCTGTGAACCCCCATCTGTCGGTTGGCCAAGAAGTGCTGGTGGGAACCCCAGACCTCCTGAGCACTGCTGGGGAACCTCTCCCCAAAGTCGTGAAGTACCTGGTAATGCACAGGGGTTACTCCTGGCTCATACACTCAGTAACCCCTGTGCATTGCTGGGTGTGACCCAAAGAAACCAAAACAAGACAAAAAAAAGTGTAACTTAAAAAGATAAAATCCTTCTGTAACTGGCCTTTCCCTAGCATAGTGTTTTCTTTGCTTCAGTACTTCACTCCTTTGGGGAGAGGTTCCCCCAAAGCATCGCCAGGACTGAGTACAGAGGCTAAAATAAGTCCTGAACAACTCCAGGTGTGGCCCCAAAACAACAAAAATAAATACATTTTTAAAATAAGGTGAAAAGGTGAATGCCTGGGTCCAGAGGAATAAACAGTGCAGTGGCTAAGAGTTCCTGACTTGTAAGCAGACAGTCATGAGTTCAAATCCCTGGTGGAGTGGGCTAGGGATATGGCTCAGTGGTCTAACACTTGCTTTGCATGTGTGAGGTCCTGAGTTCCACCCCCAATAATGCAAATAAAACAGAAACAAAAACAAAAAAACCCTTTTCTTAAAAGAAAGGGGGATAAAAAAAAAATCCCTGGTGTCCCACATGTGTGTGTATGCTGCAGGCATGACTCAGAAAGCTCACCGGGCAAACAAGGATGCAAACACCATTATTAAAGGAGCGCGAATCTTGGCGAGCACGGCGCTGAAGTGCTCGCAACCACCAACCACTGCAGCAGCAGCAGCAGCAACAGCAGCAGCAGCATCAGCACCATCAACAAAGGGAAGGGAGCAGGGAAAAAAATAGGCGAACAAAGAAAATGACCAACAAACAAAATAACCAGACATGGAAAGGGCCAGGCTGCATGTATAGAGATGACAAAGAGGGCTGGAGAGAGGCAATACAGCGCTTGCCTTAGACTGAGCTGGCCTGGGTTCAATCACTGGCATCACATGTGGTCCCCAAGCCCTGTCAGGAATCATACCTGAGCACAGAGTCAGGAATAAGCCTTCAGCAGAACTGGGTGTAGCCTAATGCTACCCTCCCCCCCCCCACACACACATACACACACACACACAAGGGAGAAAAATGAGGAGGCTGTTTAAACCCATAGTTTAGGAAGCAAGTAACGGAAATCTACTCAAACCAGTCAAAAAATTTATTATTGGGGCCAGAGCAATAGTACAGTGGGCCTTGGTAGGGCTTGTACACAGTCGATCCCCAGCATCCCATATGGTCTCCTGAGCACCTCCAGCAGTAATTCCTGAGTGCAGAGTCAAGAGTAACACCTGATCATTGCAGGATGTGATCCCAAAAGAAAAGAAAATTATTATTAATTTTGGTCCATACTCAGTGGTGCTCAGGGGACCATCAGGGGTTGCTGGGGAATCAAACACTGTACTATCATCTCTTTGGTCCCTCAAAAAAAAATTTTTTTTTATCTTTAAAGAATTTAACACAAGAATATCTAACAGAGCCCAAGGGCAAAGAAATCCAGTCATGACTCATAAGAGACATTTTAAAAATAAAACCATGGTACTTCTGTGCAAAAAGCCTTTTCACTGCACTTCAAGTCAAGCCCAAGCTCCACTCATGCTTT